TTTGTTAGTCTTTTGTCTTACGGTCGAGCATTGTTATCGCGCAGATCAGCGTGTTTTTGTATTTGTGATTACAATGTCGCTGGTTGAGCAGTTCGATGCAGAACTCCAAATACGCTCGTTCTTGCCGCTTCAACAATCACGGCTGTAACGTTTCGTTAATCGCCTATAGCTTCGGCTGCGACTTGGGATGTTCGATCAATTGTCACAGTCGTGTCCATCGGGCCCGCTGCCGCGCGGTGAACTGGTAGAGGGGGCTGATTTAGTTGTGCGGGTGCTGGATCCGCGCGAAGAAGCCCAAGATCTGTTGTTATGGTTGCACGTGTTTCTGCACGCTCGCCTTGTCCATATACGTTTGCAACAATTAATACGATAGCTCGCCCGTCTGCGTGCGTACTGTTTCTTTAGTGTAATATATATTAGTCGTTGACTAGATTTTCGCCTACAGGCCAAAATCTTCTTTTTATATATATATATTCTCATCCCTTGCTACAGATTCTATAGTCCTTCTTCATCTTCTTTCATATCTATCAAAATGCATGTCTGTTTTGATTATACATCTTCCAGACTGTCTTTCACGCGTCGTTTTTGTGGGCCGAGATAGATCTCGAATTCAAGGAATTTGTGTTATTCTTGATTAATAACTCAATACTGTTGTTGTCGAGTTTTAATGTGGTCTGGAACTATTGTATAAAAATAAGAAAGACTTTTAGTTTTCTTCTATCGTTGCAATTTATATTTGCGGCTGCTTTTGCTTTTTAGTTCTATCATTCTCTGCCTTCGTCTCTTGATTATCAATCTCATGTCGCCTCTTACATGGCCCTGCGGGGACCTCAAACCCTAAGAATTCATGTCACTAACAACTGATTTTCCGATACTGTATCCGCTGTGTCTTCATATACTCAGAGATCTTCTGCAGTTTCCGTGCGTAGATTGTTTCAGCCAGTCAGAAAGTATGACTGGTCTGTTCATTTACATTGTGGTGATTATTTATTCAATAATCCCGTTTGAATTTATTGCAGGATAGATGGATCTGGGAAATTGCAATAGCCGCATGCCGATAGAGTTTAATATTCATTTGCGTATTTAAATGAGCACGTGTCTTTTATTTTAGCACTGTTTGTAGGCAATTAGCACTCCAGCTTTCTTGATTCTTAGGCCAGAGAAAAGAAGAGACATTAATAATTTGCTTTAGAACTATCAATTTTAGATCTTGTCAAAAGAGGAAGACAAATTAAAAATAGTAGATTATTAGTCGGCTGACTGCCATTGATAAGTAACAATGAATAATCTTGGTTGAGTCTAGAATATGATATCCCTTGTGATAGATAGTCACAAGACTGATCAGACTCTGTTTCAGAAAAATATTGTGATGACATTTATGAATATTATTACTATGTCGGAGGCTGAAGAGTTCATTTTTTTGGTTAAACTGGCCAAAAATAAGATGATAGAATAAAAACAGACATTGAAGAAAGAATTTTATTTGTTGAAAATATTTATGCACGAAAAAATGCTTCCACTTCATCTGGTCCCGGATCTGATGCATGTGAAGAAATCAAGATTGAAATTGATTAATATAAATGATTCGTCGAAGGAACCATTGTTTTTCAAGAACAAACAATGTCTGATTATATGAATCTTGAAAGAAGTTAAATCTTGTTTGATTTTTAGTTATATTATTGCGAAGTTGATTCAGATGAAAAAAAAAAATTGCGATCTTTTAGAATTGATTCTTTCTTTTTTTCTTTTTTTTCAGCAAAAAGAAAGTGTCCAGAATCTGCCCGGCCAACCGGATCTGAAACTGAACAAAATTGTGAAAAATGCCCATGCTCAATTTCAATCTTTGATAATAAAGGATCTGTTGATTATTATTCCAGTAGATCTGGTCTAGATTAGTGGTCATATTTCGCATTTTCTTGTCAAAGACGCGCAGTCGTGTGATCCAGGCGAAAAGGAAGCGGATATTATAGAACATAAATCGCTCGCGCATTTCATTCAGGGCCTTAGATGCGTGGAAAACCTCTTTCTAGATGACTGTCTGTATTGTTTGTTGAATCATCAGTAGTTGGGCAATCTTAATCAAGACAAAGAGAAAACTAATATAAAAACAAGTATCTCGGAAAATCTGTTTTTCTGTATCTATCTTTAAAACAATTAGAAATCTCATTAGGATGTTGTCAAAGAGATCTCCAGTAAGTTAATAGTTCAAAAGGATAATAGAGAATTAAAGACATATTTGGTTTAATCCAGTTTATATCTCGTTCTTCTTATCTTCTCTCTTTTTATTCCTTTTTTTTTTTTCTTTTTCTTTCTTTTTCTTCTTCTTTAATCTCTGCAAGGTCTGGACGCGGCTCATCATGCAATTGAGCCATGCGAATTAGGATCGGGTTAGATAATGGACCAAACAAGTAAACTGACCGGGTGCGATAGACCGATACGTGAAACAAATCAGTCGCTGTCAGATCCGAATATAATGTTGGTAGGTGATGTTCTAAAGATTCATTAATAACGGGCGATCTCAGACGCGGGTGCGAACAAAGATGTTATTAATTTGCATCAGATCAAATTCATTGATTTTTCTTTTCCAGATGTATTGACAGACCTGACAAATCAAACAAAATATATTATTTGCAAGATAATCTAGCAGCGGTTCAATAGTAGGATCTGAAAAAGCATTCAACTAAACGATTGCAGGGAAGTTCTGTCTTTGAATATAACGCGTTTATTGAGTTAGATCTAATCAAAAATAAATTTCAATGATGTTCTGACAGATAAAAATAATGTTATATGTATTTTGTGTTGTTGTTCGACGGATCTGAATATCAGATATTACCTGGATGTGGGTGAACTCTGCCTCGCGGAGTAGAGGAATCTGGCGGGACTTTGTAAGTAAAGTAATAATAAAGAAGCTGCTGTCTGCTTGAAAAAAAAAGAAGTGTTGGCAGCTGATTGGCAGAGAAAAAGTAAAAAGGTTTTGAGTTGTATAATGTTTTTTTTTAGAAGCTGTCGTTGAGAATCATGCGTCTTATTTTGATGTTTAAAAAATGTTTTTTGTGACTAGATTACGTAAAAACAATGGAGACAGCGATAGTCTTAATGAACAGAAAGCTCTGAAATCGGCGTATTATCGAGAAATAGAATAAAGCAAAACTTGCCGGAAATAGGATTTCAGAATGATCGTTTGAACATTTAGACATCGATATCCTGACAAAAAGTCTTAATGACAGCAAAAGAATGTTTGGAATGACAGAAGACCAGATGGACTGAAACATGAGCTGGTAGCACGGCAAATTCACAGAGGATATAGATCCATAATCGATAAACATCACAATAAATGAAAAGATTCATGAAAGATAGATCGATAAATAGATTGATTCGTAAAAAGACTGGCCAATTGATGGATAGGAATAGAAAGAGAGAGAAGGGCGTACAGGAGAAAAAAAGATAACTGTTGTTGATGAATTTGCTTTATCGCGTCTCTACGCGTTAAACACATGCATATAGAGGAGTTTCAAATTTCAAGATATGATCTGTCTCTTTTCGTTTGGGCGGGCGAGGAAATGATGAGGGCACGCACCCTGGGAGACGGGACGACGTACAGAGGACGAATCAGGAGGGGGGAAAGGGAAGTGCAGGTCGGGTGCGGGACGGCCTACGTGGTACAGGGTCAGTCGGATCGCATAGTAATATCGCGCAGGGTCAGTTGGATCGCATAATAATGCCGCGCAGGGTCAGTCGGAGGAAGCCGGGGCAGAATCGGGACGGTGCGGGGGATGCAGAGACACATACAAATGCCGCGCAGGGTCATGCTTATGTCAGAAAGTGCGCAACGGGATCCGTATGGGCAACCGTAGTCGGCGGGCCGGGCGCCGCGGGGGGGCGACGAATGGTGTATCTAGGCGACTGTGCTTCGAAAGCACCACTATCTTACTTTTTAAGTTGGAATAAGCTGTTGGGATTGGACAAGGATACATCGTTCACAGCCGATTCGGGAAACAATAGCGTCAATGTTTTCACGTGAGAGAGGGAGACAATGCAGAATGCCTACAGAGGAGTAAACACGTTGACTAGTGTGATACTATATTAGATGGTTATTGTCTAGACTTTGGGAGTTGCTCTAACGGGAAGGCTGTGGTCCTGGGTCCAGTAGCAAGGAAGGCTTACAATGAGACTTTTCAAACTTTGATTAGGATGAGGACGCCAATCATCGAGCGAAATATACCTTGTGTTTCGGAGATACTACTGACACATGGAGATGGTATCGCAATCTTGCGGAAGGGATGGGATTTTGCCAGCCTGATTTAGCAATATCTGCATTGGTGGCGGACTCGGGGTTGAGAACGGTATTTCGATCTATAGTTGTGACGCGAGAAAGGCCGGTTGACTTAGTCCCGAGGAATCATTGAGCCTGTCAATGTCTTAATGAGGGTGGAGAGAACATGATCCCAGATATTCTGGTGTCTAAGAATAGGTAGAGACTCTTCTTAAGAGCTATGTATCCTTGTCTAGTTATAATTTGTATAATCCAAGATTTCCACCAGTTTATTTGTATATATATATATATATACCTATCTATCTATCTATATCTCTCTAAATGAATGTATTCAAAAAATCGTTCTTATCTGGCCGCGGAGAAAGTGAGGTAAAAATCAAGAATGCTAATGACTGGACCTGCGTCTAGCTTTCACTTCTTATATGTCTGCCAAATAGACTTTTGTTTAAGTCTTATATCGCATTAAGCTAAGAATCCTAATTACCAGTTCAGAGGCACGAAATCTTTTCATTGACTGAGGTTAATTGAAAGAATTGGGTGTATGAGCTGGCTTTGAATAATTCTAATAAGGAAACGTTTAATAGGACAAATAAGAAACTGAACGGCATTGTTGACAATGTCCGGTGGCGGAGTCTTGACAGACATTGCTAAATGCATGAATTGTCTAAGTGAATTGAGCAACATTGTCCCGGTGCAAGTACTCATGACTATAGCCTGGCTACAGGAATCATGCATCCCTAGGCTCCCTCCATCGTCTAGACACCAAGTAGAAGCCAAATCCAAGAATCCAGAGCACGGCCAGGATGATGGCCTGCAGTGGCGCAAAAACAGCCCCCCTCACGACAACAAACCCACTAACCACGGCAAAAACACCCGGAACCAAAATCAAGGGTTTATAGGGACGACGAAGCTCTGGCTCCCTGAAACGCAGAACAATCGCTCCTAGAACGGTCAGGAAGAAGAAGGAATACTCGCCGAGGCCGTTGAACGTCAGCAAGGCTCGGAAGTTGCCGAACAGAATGTAAAGGATCGGGAGTCCGGTGGACAGGATGATAGCGTTAATTGGTGCATCGGATCTGCCTGGTGTAGATGTGCCGAAGGCGGCGTTGTTTGACTCGTTCGATTTGATACCGACATGCCCAACGAAACCTAGAAACCGCGGAAGCCAGTTCAGATTTGCAGCTGCGACAACCATGCGCCCGGCTACGAAGGAATTGCCTAGCAGTGATCCGGCAACAACCAGGCAGATTACAATTGCAGCGAGAATACCAAATCCACGACCAAGGAGAAGGGTGATGGCAGTCTGGAATTTTAGTATATGTTTCTTTTGGTTCACAGGGGACGACTTACCACGGCCACGCTATCGGTTGTTGAAACCACGTTCCATGGGAGAAGGATGTAGTATGCTGCATTTGCCGTGATGAAACAAAATATGATGATCGGAACTGCGGTATTGATGGCCAAGGGGAGTTGACGGGCTGGCGCTGACAATTCCGCCGACACATAAATAGCCTTGATACGTTCGTTAGGTGGTCTCTTCACGCCGCATAGGCCCAACGTACCTTATCCCAGCCAGAATAAGCCCACAGGGCGCCATACAGCGCCGCTGAATAGTGGCCCAGGAACTCCCAGCTGTGCAATTGACTCCAGTCAATCAGACTTCCGTCGGGGGTTACGGTGTCCCTGAACCCGAACCACGGTTTGGTATGCCAATCCCTTGGTCCAGCATCGCGATTAATTCCCGACAGCTGAAGGATGACCACTACAATACCGGCTATCACGATGCCTGTGATCGCGACAAATTTGGTGGTGACGAAGAAGCCATTTAACCGCGTGCTAACTTTGGTACTAATCGAGTTGGCTACGCTGACAGCGACCAGCACCAAAATCGACAAAAGCTTATGTCCGATACTACCGGCCTGGTCGGTAACACCGGCTGCCGAGGAGATACTCTCCACAAAAACAATGCTTAGAATGGCGAGCGTTGCAGGCATCACGGCCACGATCCAAGTCCATGCCGCCAGGAATCCGAAGACGTCACCAAAGATGTATTGCAGATACGGCTGCACCCCTCCTATCCAAGTGTGAGACCATGGCTCGGTAGGAGTAAATTAGGATCACAAAACACACCTTCACCTGGAATTGCAGTCCCCAGCTCCGCCATGGTACTGGCTCCCGTCCAAGCCAGAATACCGCCGACCAGCCATACAATGAGAGCAGCTCCTGGCGATGGTACGTTGGTATCGATGGCACCGGGCGACGTGAAAACTCCACTCCCGATCACAATACTGATGACGATGCCGAATGCTTCAATGGTTCCTAGATTGCGTGCAAACGAGCGACGCTCGGCCGGTCGCGTAGACCCGGGTTCGGACGCAGCTCCGTATTCGGGCTCTGCACCACCATCCAGGAGGGGCCTTCCTGCTTCATAATCAGACGGTGTTTGAGAAATCGACATGATTAAGAGATGGAAGTGAGGTTAGAGAAAAAGAGAGAAGGAGCGATGAAGGGCAGCGAGGGGAGTCGGTCAGCGAATCACGCCATCGGCATCGCATCACGCGTTCCCCGCACATGCAGCCTCGAGACTAGCGGTATCTTGCTATCTTGGCAGTACCTGAAGTATGACTCGGTCAATCCTATCATATGAACCACATCCGAATAAGAGACCTCCAAAGTATACTGTTGAGGGTTTCCCTTGGTCAAGAGCAACCTTCTCTTGTGTCTTCAGTTCCACGACTGCCTGCCCTTGCGCGGATGACAGTCTCCCGGGCTAGATCGTTGCTGTATGGATTATACGTCGGACAGAATCCCAAGCTGCCCCTGGAGACACCGGAAAGTCATCGAGGTAGGTTTGCCAAACTGACGATGAGAGTAATCCTCTTTTGAGGGGCGAGAAGAGTGTTGAAATCAGTGTCTCCATCGCGTGGAGAAGGGAGGGACACCACACTGCCCCAAACGGTTAGACTGCCAAGGCGGATACGCGGAAATCCCGAGTCACTGATCGTTTTAATCTCAAGTGAGATGGATCACTTCTCTTCCCACGAATACTGAATAGTAACCCCATTTCCTCTTGCCATGGATGTTCCCGTCGCGGCCAATGCCCTCGGGACGATCGGTGCGGTGAGTCAATTTTTCTCCCCGTCTCCCCATATACCTCGAATTAAGTTCACTGACATGCGTTTCACAAAGGTATGTTGGTCGATTCAGGTAGGTTAGATCTTGAGATCTGGGAAGTCGAGTGAGCCTGGCATAGTATCAATCAGCTACTCCCACAAATAATCATCAATTATCGGCGCCATGATACCGAAGGTCTACAGCCGTCGATGATGTTGTTGTGGGCTGCAGCCGGCGTGCCACTCGGGGTGTATAACATTGTCGAGGAGTTCAACGTCGCTCTCCGCATCCAACCCCAGATTTTGACAGCTCTCAGTTTGGCCACATGGGCACAGTGTCTATACTATGGCAAGGTTTGAGCCCCTTTCTAAGTGCTTTGACGTGCATGACTCAGGCTATCCAGGAATATTCCATTCCAAAATGTATTGCAGCTGTTGTTCCTCTGCTAGCGGGGCTGGGCGGCATTGAGGTAGGACTGGTGTTTGCCCTGAAGGCGGCCGAAAATCGCGACCTAGGTTGGCCCATGACTTTGATGGCAGTGCTCAGCGCGTGCCTTCTAGCTGCCGGCGTTCTCACGCATTACTGGGACATCTATGTCCACCGGACGGTTCGAGGAATCAGCTTCTTATTCGTTGGCATTGATGCGGCTGGAGACTTGTTCTCTCTGGTATCTGTCTGTGAGTTTTTCGTTTGGCCGGCCGAGGAATATAGCTGATTCTGTTCACCAAGTGTTCGAACCGACGGTTGATGTTCTTGGAATGGTCATATATGGCACGGAGCTGGTACTGTGGATTGGTATCTTTGTATGCGGCGGCATCTTCAATCTCCGACCTTGGATCCAAAGTTGCACGAAGAAGCGCAATGAACGCGAACAGGAACCTGAGCCGGTGTCTTTGCATGACATGCCGTCTTCGACGTCGGTCTTCCGGACGGCTTCGGGGTCGGATGTCGTTGCTAGGAGACCGCGAACTCATGTGTTTGAGTTTTAATCACGATTGTCGATCTACAAGGCTCTACCTTATAGACGGGGTAAATCGTAATCATAGTATATAGAGAACGTTGCGTCACTATCTTGTATCTGCGGCCTGGAGAGACAGAATGGCGGGCCGAACGTGACCAGCCGGGAAGCGTCCGACGCCGCCCCACCACTTCTCCCCGCCACCCTCGACAACCCGAGCAACTCCCTATCCCACCATCAACGTGTCTAGATCGCAACCATGAGCGAACTGGGTCACAGAACATCTCAGGTGCTCCGGAAGTCGTTCGCGTGCGATGAGTGCAAACGGCGCAAAGTCCGCTGTTCCGGGGAAGAGAATTGCTCCAATTGTCTCCGAGATGACAAAGCATGCCGGTACACCTCCCCGTCTCAGCGGCTCTGGTCGCTTCAGAGGTAGGTCTTCTGGATCTTCAATTTGGCTGTAAAATAGGCTAATGCGTTTGTTCAAGACGCCTCCACGAATCGGAGAGAATACGAAGGGAAATGGAAATTGCCTGGAAAGCATACCTGCCCACGGTTGATCTGCAAGAGGCAATCCGTAGCACACGAGGCAGCCCTCCAGACACAGCCGCGACCGTGAAAAGAAAGCGCAAGCTGAGCAACGAAGTGGAGCATCCTACCGAACAGACCTCGTCGGGCATCACGGAGCACAGCAATGCGGAGGACTACGAGTTCGACGAGTCGCAAGACTTTGACAACTCGATTGACGGCATGGGCTTCCTGACGGTCGATCCGCACAAGGCAGGCTATACTGGTCCGCAGTCTGGCATCGCCGCCTTGAAGTTTCTGCAGTCGCTTCCGCTTTACCTCCCACTGAATAGCATCAACACTCCTTCGTCGCTCGATGAGGACGGCCTTCCGACCGCATCTCAGCCAATCGAGGTATTGAACCGCTATATCGATGAGTATTTCTCCCTCTTCCACCCCGCCTATCCTATTCTTCATGAGGGTACTTTCCGTGCTCGAGTTTCGGGTATGTCTCCCAACGTTGACCATCTGGAAACGCCCTGACGACCGGTAGGTGCGCTTGCAAAACCCAGAGATGGCTCTTGGCCCTTACTGTATAACACTGTCCTTGCAATCGGGGCCTTTGTGGGCGACTCGAACGTGTCAAAATGTGATATTCCATTCTACCAAGAAGCGCCGCGGCATTTGACGATGGACGTCCTCGAGAAGGGGTCGTTGAGTTATGTCCAAGCCATTACGCTGATGGCGAACTACCTACAAAAGCGCAACAAGCCAAATGCGGGGTTCATTCTTATCGGCATTGGCTTTAGCATGGCCCTCGCCATAGGGTTGCACCGGGAATTTGCTATGCCGAGCACGTCACCGTTCACAATGGAAATACGTCGACGAGTCTGGTGGACACTGTTCGTTTTTGTTTCTGGGGCGCAGTTGACGCTAGGAAGGCCGGCCGTGTCTCTGGTTGGCGTGAACATCAGACTCCCTGCGAACTTGGATGACCACGACCTTGCCGTTGATATGGAAGAATTATCCGACTCGAGACCAGAAGCAACGATAACTTCCTGCTTGATCGCCCAGGTCAAACTGGCTAAGATCGCCAATGCCATCCAGGTAGAGCTTCTAACGCACTACCGACCAACCTACGAGAAGGCCGTAAAGCTAGAGGAAAACATCGCCGATTGGTGGAGAGACCTTCCGCCCTACTGTCATCCCGATGCGCACCTGCAACCACATCTTGAATTGGCAAAACGAGTGCTCATATGGAGATCGTTTCATCTGCGTATTGTTCTCAATCGGCCATTTCTCTTCGAAGCTATAGCTACAAGGTCGGGGTTAAGTACAAGCGCGGGACCTGTCAAGTCTTGCCTCACGGCTGCGGACGAGTGTGTTGTGTCCATTTGTGGATTCCTCGACTCCACCGAAAATAGGAAAAGGGGGATAGCTTGGTACGCTACGTACTGGTTGATTACAGCAAGCTTTGTCCAGGCGACATGCTACATATATTGTCCCTCGCATCCGCTGGCTCAAAGCTGGAAGAACCACCTACAACAAGCGGTTAGTTGTCTGGGAAGACTTGGAGCCTCGCACGACATGGCGTTACGCGCTCAAAACATTCTGCAAAAGCTTCTTGGTGACGTTCCCTCTTTCCCATTCCCGAGGGAAGTGACTAACAATCAACAGAGCAAGTGTACGAGCAAGACGTGGGCGAAGGGTTCGGCGAGAACCTCACGGCTACCCCATTAGGATCGTCTGTAGTGCCCCCTGCAACATCCCAAAATCAGGCAATCTATAACCCGTTATCAATGGGTCTAGAGGATAGTCTGACTTGGTATCCGCAAGGCGCATCCAATGCAGAGCTTTTGGATGCGGCCGGTGGTTTTATGATTCAAAACCTTTTTGAAGGATCCGATGATTATGCGGGAGCCCCGTGGATGCCGATTTAATTGAGGCCTCCACAAAGACAGTTAAACTATGACGGATCATCCTATCCTATAAGAGCAATTAGAGGTGGTCCTCTTTTCCGACGACCTTGGCCTATTCGATGACGATTAAGGAGCATATCCCGCCTAGCCGGATATCCATGCTAATATACTATATGGAAGGATTCAGATTGAACGGGTCCCGCAGGTATTTGACGGATACGTGGAAAGAGACGAACCTCTATTCCCGGCCAAGGGCCTTACGAAATACATGCCATGACTACACGTGCGAATAGATACCATAAGACTCATGCCTAATCCACATGCTCCGTGCTAGGCGAATCCCGGGCCTTGGAAGGGACAACATACTGAGACTGCTTTGCGTTCCGCTGGACCTCTGCATCTTCATGTTCGATGAACCGGAGTGGACGTTTTGTCGAAACGGCATCCGGATCACCGACCACAATGAGCGGCGGGTTAGAACGATAATAGGCGTCAATGTCTTCCAGCGTCCGGTTTGCTATATCGCAGTCAGTATGGAAAAAACGAGATCCTGTCAAAACTTTTAATGGACATGAACGAACCTGTCTCTGGGTACAAGAAGTAAATTGTTGGCAGAAAGACCGCATTCATAACTGTCCACACGATCCAGAATCTCCATCCAATGTTTTGAATGCCGATGGGTGTGATCTCGACGATAGCAAAATTCGTGATCCTTGATCGTCATGCATTAGTTTCGAAGTAAGAATCGACTCCAAGGACAGTTCGAATCTTACCAGTTTGTCGCCGTCGAGACTGCTGCTCCTTTGGTTCTCATTGATAATGAGTTGATCTCAGTCGGGTACAACCACGGCACACCGAGCATGCCGATTCCAAACGCCACATGGTATAAAAAGAAAAAGGCGACTGATGCAGTAGCGTACACTCGATCCTTTTCGGCGAGACTAAGGAGAATAGTAATAACCAGGAACGAAACAAACTGGCCAAATCCAGACAGCATCATTAATCCTCGGCGACCAAATTGTTCCACCATGGTGACGGCCATGCAGGAGAAGAAAAAGTAAGACGTTGCATTGCAGGCTGTCAGTAGTCGTGACATGCTATTTGAGAGACCGACCGAGTTTATGAGCACTAGGGGGAGGTAGTAGCTCATGATGTTGATTCCTACGGGGAGATATCAAACGTTAATGAAAATGAAAGAAAAAGAAGGTTGTTACAAGACTCACCCTGGAATTGCTGCATCGCTTGTGTGCCAGCCCCTAGAAGCAATCTCCGGAGGGTCTTTGTACCGTCAGACTTGGTTCCCCGCAGAAGATCCCGCCACCGAACAGCTTCTTCCCTCTCATACCGAATACTGAATTGGATCTCGTCATGCTGAGTGGTGATATATGGGTCGTCGACAGCCTTGGCCTCAATACATGCGAGCACTTGAAGTGCCTCGTCCTTGCGACCATGAGAAATGAGCCACCTAAGAGTGTGCGTCAGTGTATTCTGTGTTTCGCACCGGATGGGAGCATAGATACCTAGGAGACTCAGGAAGCCAAGGTATGGTAATAAACAGCACGAATATAAAGAAGAACTGCAAGGCAATCGGCAAACGCCACGCGATAGGTCCCTCGTGGAAGGATAGGCCGTAATTGATCCAATTGACAATACAATAACCACCGACGTTCAGCCCCAGTTCAAATATTACCAGCTTTCCTTTCCATTTCGCCTGCGCTGTTTCGGTTTGCCAGATGGGCGCTGTTGCTGTATTGATGCCGTTGCCGATTCTGCGCAGTGTTAGCATCTTTCAATTCTGGGTGCAAAGGAAGGTGGTTTCAATGGCACAGATTACATACCCCAGCACAACCCGACCCACGAACATTTGCGCCAGACTGTACGAAGACGCCTGAAGAATGGTTCCGATGGCCATAAAGGCGGTCCCTAGCAGGATGCATTTCTTTCGACCCAATCGGTCTCCGACGGTGAAGGCTAGAATGGCACCGAGAAAGCAGCCAACATCATAAATGGCGGTGACCGTGGAAAGTGTCTTGGTTTTAGTAGGGCCAACCAGATCATGGAGTTCGAGAAAGTCGTCCGTTACAACAACGCCGCCTGGAGATGGATGTTAGTCGAAGAAGGTGCAGCGACGAAGGAAAGGAGCGACTGACTGAAAACACCCTGATCATATCCAAACAGCGTCATATCGGTGCCGCAAGCAACCTGCAGTTCATCCCCAGGATGTTAAGAAATTGCCGAACACAGTCGAATGCGATATAAACTCACCGTCAGCCAAAACGTGAGCCATCCTCCGGTCAGTCCGAAGTAAGGCTTCTCCGCGGATACCATCGTACGAGCTAATCGTCGGGGTAGCAAAGCGTACAGCGTTGGAGAAAACATTGCGAGTAGTACCGCCCCCTCCCCCCAGCCGGATTTTATACCCTCTCCCATTTCAATTCGGCCCGGAAGGGGCAAGCACAGTGGCCCGACGGGTTACATCTCAGACTAGAGACTAGACTAATCCGGGATGCGGGGGGGCCAGACCGTGGGGGAACAGTGAACAAGATGCCGTTGATCGGCCTGAAACGCAACACAAGTCATGCGATGGTTCATTCAATCCGGCTCCCATCCCCTCGAGTGACCATCTCGGTCTTGTCCGTAATTTGTGGAATTAGGCTGTAAATCGACGCCCAGTCTGTCGTGCTTCGGGATGCCAGTGGGGGTGCAGTGCGTCATGGTTGATGGCTGAGAATCCGGGGATGGCACGCCAAGACCTTTCTCCTTTGGGTTACTCCGGCCTCCCCTGACCGTGCATCCGTCCAATCACGGCGTTATCCCCGAAGGCTCTCGGATCACCCCCGAGGCTCTTCTGGTCCTAATTAGCCTGTTGTCACCCTGGCGGGTCGACAGGCTTCTTTCGGCTCGCTGGTCTGATGACCTCGGGGCGTCATACTGATTCGGACGGCTTACTACGCCTAGCAGATCCAACAAAAAATTACTACAGTCTACCAAACCTGGGCGATGACAAACTATGAAACCGGCACTGCTGATTTTGACTAATTCATAGAGGGGAGCATATCTTCACTAGTTCACATCATCAGGCATAGTCCAATTCTAACTGCCATGAGCCGAGCGCTCAATGGCTGACATGATCTCGTTTTCATTGAGCAACTCTTTCTCGATCACAACATCTAGGAACGGCCTTTTTTCTGCTAGGGCTGCGCGAACAATAGTCGAGACCTGCGCATAACCAAGGGTAGGCACGAGGGCAGTGGCCAACGCACTGGATGCCAGCAAATGCTTCCGCGAAACATTTTCATTTGCAATGATGCCGTCTATGCACCGACGAGCAAAGGTCTCGGTCGCCCCGTTGAGTAAACGGATGCTATCGAGAAGGCGGTCGCACACCAGTAACTCAAAGTGATTGATTTCCAGCATCCCTTGCTGGCATCCCATTGCAATCGCGGTGTCGTTACCGGTAATAGCAAGGGCCACTTGACAAACCGCGATAGGGATGACCGGATTTACCTTCCCCGGCATAATTGAGGATCCGGCCTGGACTGATGGTAGAATGATCTCGTTAATCCCGCCATTGGGGCCGGAGGACAGAATGATCAGATCATTGGCGATCTTCCATAGTGAGTTTGCAGTATTGCGCAATTCCGCTGAAAGACGCGCGCATGTGTCCATGTTTTGCATGCCGTCAAACGCGTCATTTGTCGGTTGTATATTTGCGTGGAATAATGCTGACATATGCCGGAACACAGCATCCTTGTACCCTTGTTGAGACCCAAACCCTGTCCCGACAGCTGTGCCTCCCAAGGGAACCGTCAGAAACTGCTCACGAACAGATTTAAGTTGCTCTGCGTGTCGTCGGACGACCGCTTCGTAGCCTCCAAATGCCTGGCCGAGGGTCATGGGTTGCGCATCTTGAAGGCAGGTCCTCCCGAGGCGGAGGACCGATTGATATTCCTCACGTTTCCTCGCCAATGCATCGGCCAGCTGGCTAAGGGTACGCAAAGCCCCTTCCAATGCATCATGCACAGCCAACTTCATAGCGGTGGGAACCACATCATTCGTGGACTGTCCTAGATTGACGTGATCATTCGGATGAACGAAGCTGTAGTCTGAAAGCTCCCGGCCAGAGGCCCTCGCCACGGTGTTTGCAATCACCTCGTTCACATTCATGTTGGTCGAGGTGCCACCTGAACCCTCTAGCATGTCAACGACAAGATGTGAGTCGTGTTTTCCGGTTTTAATTTCTGCGCAGGCTGAGAAGATAGCATCTGCCTGTTCCACCGTCAGGCTACCAATTTCACGGTTTGCAAGGGCCGTTGCTTGTTTTATTGTGGCGAAAGCGTTTATGAAGGTCGGCCATGTTGCAATAGATCGACCGGAGAGGGGGAAATTTGTGAGTGATCGATAGGTGTTGATGCCGAATAGTACATCGACGGGGAGTTCTAATTCGCCGATATTATCTTTTTCAACCCTTGAGCTCTTCATTCGCAAGGACTTCTCGGAGCTCTGGGCTTGCATAGTCACAGTCATAGCGTTATTCCACTGTATGTCTGGTTTCGGTATGTGCAGAGAAGTCTCTCGATATTTCTTGGGTTGCCGTTTGCTGGCCTGTTGGGATCGTCGCTTTGCAAAACACTGGAGGCGGAGCTCGAATTAAGAGTCAGTCGCAGGTGATCAATCAGATGATAGCTTCTTAGAAACCAGGACTACTTACCGTATAGATCGCTTATTCAATGGGCAGTCGTGCGTTGGACGAGTACACGGCGATATATATCTTCTCTCTTGAAGCCTCTGCGGTCCAAGAGATTTGAAGCGGAGTAATTTGTCATGAGCGGATGAAGCAAGATAAATACACACGGTAGATCACGCTTTCGAAATTTCGTGTCTTCGCAGCATGGTGTCCAGGTGAGGGAATTCTACCGCTCCCCAAGAGCATTCCATGAGACCCCACAGTCCGCGTCGGCCGCTACGGCCCATGTGAAAAGTTTGATTGGCCGATTCATGCATCCAGGTTCTTGAGCAATTTAGAATCCACGCCATTCAGAACATTAAGACGACAAGTGCGGGCACATATCTTCACCGGAAATCATTGCGAGAGTCTATAGATCCTCAGAGAGCGGAACATCATTTGCCATATTCCCTGCCGAGTACACTCCTCATGACTTGCCGGATCTAAGCTGGGCTACCAAGTCTTGTGCTCTGGCCGTAGCGGCCGAATGGACCCACCGGACTGGTCGCCATGCCCCACTCCGTGATGTCATCTGTCCAGGGCCATCTACAAGGCCCCGGTCATTTGTTTAGCCAAAGATAACGCAGATAGGTTAGCATTGCCTACTCCGGGCTATGAAAATGTCGAGGAATTTACACCAGACCGGGGGCCTTTCGCATGAACGTACATGGCTTGTTGAAATCAGGTCCCGTCTTACAATAATCCACACCTATCTACAGAGTAGTGTGATTAGACGCCCTGGCCTAAAGCTACCGTTGTCTGTCTATGGCTTTTCCATGGTCATGATGATCTAGCAATTGAAGTCTTTCTGAGTACGATACATAAACATATTGCTATGATAGCCCTCTTCTTCCCTAAACTGTTGTAATACATTAATAAAGTCACCTACATCGGGTATCTGCGATCTGTTAATTAAGAGAACTTACATATATGTTACCTTAGTAGCGCAAAATTAACAGAAAAATCCTACCTACCTGTTCACAGCCCTCAGAGTACGACGAAAGAGAAATGAAGAACAGTAACATAAGGGGGCGGAGACTCGCTAGTGGTCACCCACCCAATTAAGGTACATACCAACTGGCCGGCGTGTGGCTTAAGAACGGCTGAGCACGGGAACTGTTCTCCGCACCCTATAGCCGTAGCCATGCACTCCCTTGGTTCTATTTAGATAGTAGGTAGGATAGAAAGGTATGTTAGTATTGAAATCTGTCATCCGATTACTTTCCTTCGGCATCTGTATACCACCCATGCCAGGGGATGCATATTCATTCATCTGTTATAACCTTAATCTATCATTATGCCATGGCATGACGGATTGCAAAAGCTTGCAGGTACCTTAAGATGGACCATGGGTCTATTGATTGGAAAGAATATCATTGATCGTGTATCACTGTCTCATAATAGACGCATCATGGCTATCGATCAGACAGTGGATTGCTACCGGGCGACAAGCCTTCCCTATGTTTGTTCATACAATATACACATCTTCGAGCCTAGTCAAGTTCCGTCTTCTTGGTATGTGGACATACCCAGAATAATCGACAATCAAGTACCGACCTGCTAGAACCGCAACTCAACACGCCCGCCAACCCAAAGGTAGATGAACCCGAACTCAGGGGTGAGATGGGCAAGTATGCTCGGCGAATACAACCCGCTGAGGTGACCAGACTTGCGGAGGCCCTGGGGAAAACAAGTATTCTGGAGACCGGTTCCTCATAGGAAGATGAAAACCAAGCGGGAGGAGGGATAGCCATGCCTGTCCAGCCGCTTCTTCTTGGAAAGTCCCCCAGCCTTACGGAGCGCTTAGGGAAGACGGGTACTCCGGAGAGGAAGGGAAAAAGCACATTCGACCTTGTTGACACAATCTCTTCAATGGATAGAATCGTCGAGAGATGCCAAAATCTACCAGTTTCCCCCGTCTCTTTTCATCGACCTGGAAGGCGTCAACCTTGGTCGTGGAGGAAGTATATCTATTATGCAGATATACATCAGACCTCTTAACCACACCTATCTCATCGATTTCTACACTCTAAAAGAGAAGGCATTTGTTCAGAATGGAGCTAGTGACAAGATCCCCTGTGATACACTACAGGCAGCCGAGCCCCAAAGGTTATTTTTGACGTTCGTAATGATTCAGACGCTCCTTATCACCACTTTGGGATCAAGCTCGCCGGAGTGCAAGATTTGCAATTGATGGAGCTTGCAACACGCACCGGCAGAAGAAGTTTCGTTTCTGGGTTGAAGAAATGCGTCGAGCGTGAATTGGTCCTGACTATGGCAGAACGACAGGCGTTGACCGCTTCAAAGGAAAAAGGGATAAAGCTTTTCGCCCCTGAGCACAGAGGAAGCTAGGAGGTTTTCAATAAACGACCACTGCACCAAGACATTGTTCACTACTGTGTACAAGAAATCCACTACTTGCCGAAGCTGTGGGAAAAATACAATAAGAAATTGACTACACAATGGAGGGCAAAGGTGGAGGTGGAAACCAAGAACCGCGTTCGGTTCTCCCAGTCTCCGGGGTTTGATGGCAAGAGTAAGAATATGGCCTCCGGGCCAAGTGGTTGGAATTGATCTAATGACATGCTATGTATGTCGCCGCCCAGCGAGTGAGAATGTACAACAAGTAATGAGTGAATGCGTTAGCTGTGCGAAATTCAGATTGATCACTACGCAGAGACTTCATCCCCGCGTAGATTTGATAGTCTGTAATAGTTTTGTCAAAAAGGCTCGCTAGATCTAACAATCATAGTACCAACTTGCAAGTGTCTGGATACAGCGTCACCTGGTTGAATTAATGAATCTGGTAGGGCATTCTGAAAACATTATATGCTCTGGCCCGGGACTGCAATTCGCCCTTCGCCGACCGACACAGCGTCGCCCTGAAGCAATACCTCTGCTAACTTCTCCCCATCCTCACTCCGAGCAACCCGAACATAGATATCGTTTCTCCGCCCCATCTCCACTCCTTGAATTATGTGATAGTGGAACGGTCCGCTGCCCTGCTCCTTTGGTTCTTTCAATGCCAAAAAGCAGGCTAACGTAGACGACGCGCTGCCAGTTCCGGGGTCTTCCCAGGTGACGAACATCCTTGTTCTAAGCTGTCTGTAACCTTGATCATCCTTCCCCAGGTCAACAAAGTATTTGGTCCCGATTAAGCCCACGTTCCATCCTTCGTCCAGAAATGGTGGGTTGACGCAATCCTCAATCAATCCGCCAGAGAGCTTGGCTAGAGACTCGACATCACTGACGGCGGCTAGGACGAATGAGAGGCCGTTCACAATAGACACGGCGGGCGAGGCATCAGAGACTGAGGATATGTTGGAAGGAATTTGCGCCTGGTGAATGTGGAAATCTACTGGAATGTGCGCGCTCACAAGGCCAGTTTTTAAATCCTGGGAAAGGGGAATATGGCCCGCTTTAGTCACCAAGGATTTCAAATTTTCAGAGACAGCCGGGGAATAGTTCCGAAAGACATAGGCGGCGGTTCCAATCGTGGGATGACCGGCAAACGGAATCTCACATTTTGGTGTAAAAGTATCGATGGCGAGAGTCTCGACTGGGGTCTGACAATCTCCGGATGGTTCATGTAAGAAAATTGTTTCCGAGAGATTAAACTCCACAGCGATCTTTTGTTTTATCTCTTGAGATAAGGATGATTTGTAGCTTGCAGGAACGCGCACAATTGCCAGTGGGTTTCCTAGGAATGGGGTGTTTGTGAAAACATCCACCAAAGCATAATTCAGGAACATCTCGAATTCAACTTCTGGGGTAAAATATAATGGAGGTCGAATGGCGAGGATTGAATAACGGCGAGGTTCCTCGGGCGCAGAGATGTCGTTTCGCTCCTCTTATAGGGTCACCGCGAAATCTCCTCGGCCCATCCGTACGCCTTGCTGTCATTGCCGGATATTCGCGGGTCCGAACATCGGTTAGATTGCGGCATCGGTTCGCTCGGCAGGTATCCATTTTTACTGCGACCCTGTCCGAGCCAACCAGCACCGGGTCCCGCTGTCTTGATATTGGGATGTAAAAGATCTTCAAGAAAGACACAAGATGAAGCTTTTAATGGGTGAATTCACTACCATATCTCAACATCTTATTTGAAAGCAAAACCAATACATTCCTCTGTATTCACTATAGAGATCGTGAGTACATCACTAACCCCTCGTCAATGGGCAATACAAGACAAATGGAGCACCCGGCGAACTGACGCCTACCTCCAAGTACTCACTACTATTTCCGGGGCCAGCTATAAGTATTGTGACGATTTACAAAACTCTTGGCACCTGGCACCTAGCTCCTATTCTTGCCATACAGTCTCTTCTAGTAGATTAGGTCTCGTTGTTAAGTCTCGTTGTACTCGATAATTTACCAGCCGAGCATCCATTTCTAGCGAGTTCGATTTTCCCGAAACATCCTCTACCCTATCTGTGCGCGTTGTAGGTCATGTCAAGGATACAGTACTTCATATAGCTTCAGTAAAACAATCTATTTTCTTATCAGTTCGAAGTTCCTCAGTCCTTCTTCCTTGGCTAAAGTGATAACCAAATTTTAGCATTGACTCGCTACTTAATTTCGGACACCGCACTAATTTAGTTCTCTAAGCGACAAAGACTCATTATATCTGTAAGAGAGAAAATTGCCGAACACCTAGGTACGCGCCAAAGGAATGGCGTTGAAGTCTTCAATCATGAAATTCCGCATCTCCTGCAAGGCGCCTGCCATCTCCGCCGTGTCAATAGCGGCACCCACCCGGACGTATCCCCGGAAATCGCCACTGTCCCCATCACTAAAGCATACACTGGCTGAACATAGAAGGACGCCACGCTTCTTGAGCAAATGGAGGCAGAGTTCCTTGTCGTCCACTGGCCTCCCGTTGCGCGTGAACAGAAGCATGGCGGTGGTTCCTGCCAACGGCTTTTTCCACGAACATACTCCATGGTGCTCCTCCACAAACTTTTCAAGAGCGCAAATATTTGTTGTTGCCAAATGGTTCGCGCGGGCGATCAACGGCAGACGACATCGTTCGGCCAGTGCTTCTGCGGCAATGGCCTCGTCGATCTGCGAAACACTGATGGTGGTGTAATGACGCATGGCAGCACATTTTTCAAGCATATCTCGATTTGTGGTCGCGATCCACCCGGTCCTGGTACCAGCGAGGCTGTAGGCCTTGCTCAGTGAGCCGATGACGATGGCTTTACTGTATCCCAAATCCAAGAACGACTGGGGCATTTGGGGCGTTTCTTTTTCCGGCCGAAACAGCGGATAGAAGACCTCGTCGCAGAATACCATCAAACTATGTTCCTCAGCAATGGAGACGATCTCCCGTTGCATCATAGCTGATAGATGAGCCCCGGTGGGATTATTTGGGCTGTTCAGCACAATCATCCTGGTATTCGCCTTGATCGACGACCGCAGAAAGGCCAAATCCAATTCCCAGCCTCCCTCTGAGGGACTCAGCTTCCAGAGAGTCACTTCGGCTCCGAGCATTCGAGGTGTCTGATACAGTTGCTCGTAAGTCGGATACATGACAATGACGTGGTCGTCGCGCGACAGAAGGGCCTGAAGGATGACTTGGTTGGCAACAATCCCGCCATTGGTCGTTAAAACGCTGTCTCTTGTCACGGCTGGGTTCCGGTATAAGGCAGCGATGTTCTTGCGCAGACTGTCTGATCCTCGCATTGGTCCGTAGCTCAGCTTTAGCGATCTAGGCGATAAGTTCTGCGAGGTCGTCGCTTTGTGGAGAGACAGTTCTTCGAGCTCGTCGAGCGATATACTAGATGCACAGGTCGTGGCGAGGTCATATTTACAACCATCTTCAAGTTGCTCAATCCACTTTAGGGCAAATTATCAGTTAATGTCCAATGGCGGAGTGACAAGATCTATTCTAGAATCTAGTATATGGCACATAGCAATAGGGACTCACGATGGTGACTTCAAATGGAGGAACGTGGACCATGTTGTGATTGATTGAATGTAGCCAAACTCAATCAGACAGAATTGGGAGGCTTTTGGGTCAGAGCTACACGGAGTAGTGCCATGGGCGCAGCCCCTGCTTAAATTACTTACCAATAATGAGTCAACGGTTAGGTCGGCCCAGGCGCCCGAATTATACGCCAAATCTCGGAGACCTTCCCCGAGATATTATATAATCTTCACCAACACCGGTGTACCGCATAGGTACAATAGGTACATGACCCACATTCAGACGCATTAGAGGTGTTTTGCAACATGGGCTTCAGCCCAAGTCCCATTCCGGATAGGAAAGGGGTCCACCTTTGTGGCTGCACTATCGCTAAATCGGGATTTTACAACGATGGGCTCAACCACTAAGCCCATCTCAAATAGAAAATACAATCAAATAAGATATAGCTCATCAATACTACAGGCTTTCAAAGACTATAAGGTATAAAGTGTAGTAATTTAACATGTAGACATATGCTATATAAACTATAGCTATTATAATAGTAGCTATAGTAGCTTTAATTGTAGCTCTTTTTTACTCTTAATTATATGATTACATGATCATTATCTGAAAATAAAACCAAAATTGGTTGAAATTAGCAATATATATATATATATATATATATATATATTTAGCGTACAGGGTTCACTTAAGGTCTAAAAGATTTCGGAATAACTATATTTTACACTAACACGCCGATTCTATGATTGAGTAATCTGAAATTCTTTTTCAATGGCTTCATTTTTGAATATTAGAGGTGGGCCCGCTAAACCTCTTCAAATTCATGGGACTTGGGCTGAAGCCCATGTTGCAAAACACCTCTATTAACATAAATCTTTGATTTGAAGCTGCAACCGTATACCCCGGTTTCGTCCGCACGGGAATTACAATGCCCGATCATGATACGCACGAGTGGAGCTATTCCCCGTTAGCGGTGATTGTGATATTAGGGACCTGGCACAAGGAATCAGACCGAGCGGGGAGAGCAATGGTCGATTTGTCGTGTATCCCTTGGCGCTCGATGGCATTCCTCGCCGCAAGGGGCCTTAGCTTACTGTGGGAATTTTTGGCCATTTGCGCCTGTACGACGACCGCACTTCTGTGCTACCATTTATTTAGCTATATCCCGCATATGAATCCTTTGCGTTGCATCATGGTATTGAAATCGCGGATTTACTTTGCCGTTTCTGTCATGGCCACTACTAGGGTGTCCAGTCAACGCAGGTTTATCCGTTTGCATCGCCAGTGAGCTGCAGACGGAATGAATCATAGGTCAGATCCAAATTATTCAATCCCAGTGTTTGCATGAACCCTTGATCGGTGCTGTAATAAGTTGAGTCATTCGAAATATTCCAGGAAGTATCGTTACCGGGGGCACTGGTAATTACATTTTTAAGTTCAATTGCAAGCATGATTATTGAATGATCTCCAGGTGCTGAATTCCAGAGCTAACCCCAGACACCGTTCGGAATGTGAATGACTGGAGCAAAACTTCCAGGGCGAAAATTTATTTCAGCCAGTACATGTCTTCTCAACCTAGGCTCCGCCGTTATGTACAGAAGAGGTGCTCAAGCTTAGGGTATTATCCAGCGATGAGGCGATGATATCGCGTCGTATTTCCGAGAGAGTTAAGGAGCCGTGGACTGATGCAGTTGCGGTCAGTATATACCTTCTGCTGCTTCACTTCCGCTTTCTCACGCGGTATCTCGTTGAATTCTGAAAACTTCAACTCAACCAACACCAATACCATGTACTTCTCATCATGAAGCACCCCAATCTTTCGCCCTCCGTGTCGAATATGGTCTCATCATCAGTTTTCTGCCCGTGTCAGCAGATACAACTCTCGCTCGAGTTATAAGCAATCCAATATTGGTATGCTTTTGTTAACGGCTAGTGCTCTAGGGACGTCCTTTGCTGGCTCCCTCCCTCATTCCCCTGTGGATAGCTGCCAGCAGTCTTCAAGCGCCCCAAATGACACCAAATCCGTGATGTACTTTCTCGTCAACAGAGAGACACTTATTGTCGCCCACAATCGCCGTCTCCCCCCAAATATCACACTCTCATGGGATGTCGGGTTCGAGACCAGACTGCGGAAGTGTTTGGTCGACAAGAGAAGCGGCCGTCTCATTCTCGCGGAGTGCATAGACGGTATCGCGCGCAAAGTCCTCAAGTCTATCCGAGGTATGATAGCGATGCAACCTGTTGATCCCTAATTGTACTTCCAGAGAGATACCAGGCCTATCGATAGTTGTTACGAAGTAACTTCAGCGGTAGGGGTGCGCACTTGACAACCCTTAGTGCCTCTGGTCAAGTATGGGTAACATTCGGTCTTATCGTGAGCTGCAGGCACAGTCCCTACCACAGTTCAAATAACCCCAGTATACTTCTCTTCATTACACCACTTTTTCCTCCTATCGGCTGTTTCTATCCAACCCATCTCAACCTGATGAACGCTATATCGCATCTCGATGGGGCTGTTCTACTGTAATCATTGGCTCTCCTACGACCGCCAATCAACTCTAAACCTAGCAACTCCTCTAAGCACTGCCACTCAGGAAAGTTTCAGGCCTACCAGGTACCGAAGGCGCTGCTTGTTCTTCACGTGATGAAAAGCTTAGAGGAATAATATCTCACTTCGTGCTATGCAGAACAACTAATTGTTTCATGATTTTAACGTGACTAGCAAGCACACGTACTTCATCTGTTTATCCTTGCTTTGGATAACACATTCATCGGCGTCGGTCATTTTGTCCGTTCTCAGTGTCCGTTACATGGAGTTCCTGTGCTTTGCCGCTATTCTCTCGGGAATGGTCCGCGGCGTATCTTCGCGTAGTTGCAACAGTCCTAAGAAACAATAGCATTAATGCCGTAGTGTGAGTGGGGAGGTGTGGGATCCGGAAAGGCGAGGACTAAGGGGGTGGAACAAGTATCCGGAGTCTGCTTGGTGACTGAGATTACCGTGACATCGATTGGAGGTGGGGCAAGACAGCCCGGACTTGGTCAATGGTCTACGCTGTGGACAATAGGCACATGTGGAGTTACGACGTTGCTTCCAAGTGCTTTTGTCAATTGTAAGGACTCTGGTGTTGGCGCACCAGGATAGACGGAGTCTATATCCGGCTGCTGACATGACATATCTAGTTGCTTGCGGAAAATGTAACCGCATCGCTTGTTAAACAGTGGATTGGAACTCCGGATAAGGGGCTCGACTCATTCTATACGTCTACATCATTCTAAGTTCACATCAGGTTTAAATAAGTGGCTCGGAATGCCCTTCTTGACTCAGAAGTCCATCTTCAGCAGCCCTGCCTTCTCGAAAGTCCTAGGGTTCTCCAATAACGATTCCTCCCCGCAATGATGCGCAGTCACTTCGTGTTCGCAACTGTACTTTCCCACGCAGGCGTTTTAGCGTTTCCTGCGTATACAGGGGGGCCAGACATTGTGGGCGAAAACGGCTACACCAGCGCCCCTTATCACGGCCCCTACACAGGGACGCCCACCACCACCGGGGCAGTCCAGGCTCCAGCAACATTGGCTCCATCTATCGAGCCGAAACCACCAAACCCAACGGCAACATATTATAATAGCGATGGGGTGCCACAGGAGCCCATGCCGGCTCCTTATGTCCCTGCCGGCGGCTTGGGGACGAACGGGACCCTCCCCCGATACATGGTCGAGAGCGATTGGGACTTTGAATCTATTGCTCTGGGTGTATATCAAGAATACATCGAGCTGGACCTCTTCCATGACGGCCTTGCCCGTTTCACCGACGACGAATTCGAGGCGGCCGGTCTGGGCCCTGAGGTACGGTCCCTGATTGAATTCATGGCCAACCAGGAGGTCGGACATGCGACGCTACTGAGTAATATGTTGGGAGAGGCTGCTCCAAAGGAATGTGTCTATGATTACCCGTACAAAACAGTACGCGAGTGGGTTGACTTCATGCAACGCGTTACCCGGTTTGGGGAGTCCGGCGTTTGGGGCTTCTTGTCACATCTAGACTCTCGCGAAGTCTCGCAGATGCTATCGCAGTCAATCGCAGTCGAGGCACGCCAGCAGATGGTCTTCCGCCAGCTGTCAGGCCTTGCACCAATGCCAGTCTGGTTTCAGAACGGTTGGCCACAGTCATGGCAGTGGACCATGCTGGCTCCCTATATCAGCTACTGTCCGGAGGGAACCACGCGACTTGCCTGGCAGAACTTCCCTACTCTGCACATTCTCAACAACCCGAACATCAACCGCGTCAACGCCAAGGAGACTCGGCAAGATGGGAGCGAGACAGTGGGCGACCGAATCACCGACCCGTCCATCGTGGCCATCCTCAATGAGCAGAGCTGTATCAATGCGGAGGAAATTGGAAGTAACTGTGCACCGGCCATTGCCAGGAATCGGTCTGAGCCTCTTTCATATCCTGGCAAGCGAGTGTACTTTGAGTGGGATGCCCCCGGCCAGCAAGTTGGGCCTAACAACTCCTACATCACCGCCACTACCGCGGGCGAGCCCAAATTCGTTGGATGGAGCAACCAGCTTAATCTCACCTACTCCCCCTTGACGGTAACGGGGCCTAACCGAGGATGGACCGAGCAACCTAGCGGCTTTGTGTTCGGTGATGATGGAATCATCAACGACACTATGGCAGTCATGCTGACTGATGTCGACTTGTTCGTGACACCTTTCAACACGACGCAACTGAACCCGCACATCGTCGCCCTGGGTCTTTACATGGCAGGCTGATGGGCCATTAGAATTGGCCAGGTCACGGATATTATTTATGTGGCGTACGGGTGAGAATATTCTAAAGTAACGAATGAAGGGATAAGCTGTGCGAATGTCATGTGGAGTACTGAGTGAAGACCTCATCGTCGCCTGAGATTGACAGACTGTAGTAGAATTTTATTAGAAGCTTTTATTGATAAACAATCAATTCAATATATCTGGATAGAAATTTCTCTTGATAAACCAATTAATCAATTCGCAGGTCTTTGAGAGCACCGTCGATGTATTACTTCTTTAATTGGATCAAGACCTGGGCTAAGTCCGGTAGTTGTGAATAGTTATCCCACAAAACGTTTTCCAAGGATACCCTGCATCAATCCTCGCTATCTCGTGACATGCCCTATAGCAGATAGCGGAAGCCCCCAATCGTCCCGTCTTCAGCATCTCTTCTGTCCAGCTGTCGATTAATCCTTTGAAGGAGGACGCGGGAAACGGTGGCAGTGAGTATCGAAAGCAACGATGTCGCCGCATTGACGCTCATGGCAAGTATAAATCGAGGAGCATCACTATCTGGATAGAGATAGGGTGTATATATCGATGAACAATTGGCGATCGCATTTGCAAGTGCAATAGCTGCAGCTCGCTTCGACGATGGTTTGGGAATGGTGTTTGAGACCCAGGAAATGCCAATGATGAATGCCGTGTAGACACCCGGCAGCATGATCATCATCGCAAAGTAATCTTGCCCCGATGCTTGTGGTGGCTGCGGAGATGATGAAGCCAGCAACCGAGATCCACAGTGGCAGGGTGAAATGAAGATAGCGCTCGCCGGTACGGTCCGCATTTCGGGAGACACCCATTGCGACCATACAAGAGAGCATGTACGGTGGTACAGTGAGCAATAGTGTGTGGATCCGATTCTTACCCAAACCGCCGACTACAGTGGGGAAGAAGCTGTTGATGGTGCCGCTAGAAACAGCGCCGAAATTGAGAACCACGAGGAGCCACGTCTTCCAGTCGATCACGCAGTCTTTAAAGCCCTTTATTAAGCTCGGATCGTCGTCAGCATCCCAGTCTTCCTGGCCGATGTCTTTTGCCAGCCTCCACACTGCGAGCTGCTTTTGTTGCTCGGTCATTCCTCGTGTGTTGTGTGGGAAGTTTGGCAAAACGAAGTATGCAGCGAAGGCAATGACGACTGTGATTGATCCCTTGAGTAAACATCAGCTCCTGAGAAAACAAAGTATTGATGTTTTCGCAATAGCACAAACCTCAATAATAAAGATCCATCTCCATGCGAGAAGCCCTTTCACTCTTGCATGATCTTAGTCGGCAGCTATAGCACGCAGGAAGAGACTCAACTCACCCATCCATGCCATCGTTAATACCGGCGGCGATTAGACCAGAAAATGCACCGGAGAGAAGCGATCCGCAATAGAGAATGGCGGTGCGTAAGGAAAGTTCTTTTCGAGTATACCAAGCGCTCAATGTGGCCATACATCCCGGCTACTTCGATGTTAGTTAGCGTTCCTAAAACACAATCTGAAAATATATGATTTATCACTGACAAAATATGCAGCTTCAACAAACCCAAGGATGAATCTGAAAGAGTTAGCCGACCACGCATAATGACTGTTCGGCTCGTGCTCTTACCGGCATACCACAAGGCCAGCGTAATTTTGGACTGCACCACTTGCGCCGCATAGAATTCCCTATAATGAACAATTATAAGTTGATTTTTATGGGCAGCTTCCGGTCATTTTCAAACTAACCCATATCACCATGCATGTTGGAAGGTAAAGTGCAGGTTTTCCGATTTTATTCAAGAATAAATTCGATGGGACTTGCATGAGAATATAACTGGAGTGCATCAGTATGTAGGCACCTTCCTTCAGACACTTGGCACATACCCGACAAATAGTATGCTAACGCAGGTCTGGTTGGAAGTTAAAAACGGGAATTGTTTCCAATGTATCATGGAATGGGTTAAGTACCTGGAACTCAACGGACGTCAGGTTGAGCTCCTCCGTGATACCGCTTAATTTAGCTGCTGCGATCGCGTTTCTGGGAATATGCTTAGTATAGTGATATTCTGTAGTATAAGGTAAATATACCTGTCTAAGTAGTTCATGATATAGATCAAGACTAGCATTGGCATGAGCCGAAGGTCGAGCTTTCTAACCAGGGCCTTTTCCATTGCTGCTCTGTCTTCCTCTGTAGTACCCTGGAGCGTAGGAGGCATCGCCCGAATGGCAACCACTGAGCCCAATTCGAGCTTCTCCTCCGGGGCTATCTTAGGGGTTGGAGGATGGCTCTTCTTATCATCTGTCATGCTGAGGGATATTTTCTAAAAAGATGGGTTGACTAGAACCCTGCATAGTGGGAACTGTGCTTGAGTATTTATATCTTTGCTATCTTGTATGAAAATGCTGTTATATGTCCCCTTGGCCTCCAACAGGTCTTATCTTCCGCTCGGTTCGGTAAGTCTGGTCCTAAACTACATACATCTTGGATAGCGCTTCCCCGCATCTGTAGGTTGGGGTTTGGAAGGATTGTTGATTGCCATAGTCGGCCGCTACGGCTGCGCTCGTTCCTACAAGTTGCACAGCCGATAAGGAAATTTCTCCACTCCCAGAAGCAGGATTAGTTTGAGCTTTGGCTCTTTTTGCCGTAGCGGCCGTAGCGGCCGATGATAGGCGAACATAGGAAGTCGATGGATGGCTCGTGGTCCCCGGAAATTGCGGGGTACCCAGCATGCTCACACTATCTCTTAGATCAACACAAGATATGAAGAGACAAGATGACCGATTATTGTTGAGGCAGGGGAGGTTCCTTGCTGTATACTCAGAAGGGAAACAGCCGAATGCTTGGCATGCTGCACCTCCGGCATCCACGAACTACCCCAGAAAATAGCCGTGCCAAGCTCTGTCTATAAATTTGACGTGAACGAATCCAGTATTCTGACTGTGAATTCTTCATTCGGGTGAAATAAAACCCCTCGAGTTAGTTACTGGCTTCGACCCATCTCTAGGCCAAGAAGAAGGCGCGTGTGGACTAGAAGCTACCTGGGCTGGTCTCATTCTTTTGGCTATTTCACATATAGTCTGCAATTTTCCAACATACATACAGTTCAGTACCGATTTTATTTCCTGGAATATATTTTGCAGATCTTCTTACCTACGCAGCTAGCACACACTGTCAGACATACCCGTCAATTGGCAGAACTCGTCAATAATATGTCCATAGATGTTATCGCTTTTCCTCCTCAAGAACCTTTCGAATAGTTTCCGGAGATCTGGAGCCTGTTGACTCCACTCCACTGCCCCATCAACAATATCCCTCCAATCCAGCCTCATGCTAACCTCCCCACTCTTCGCAGCCGCAACAATGGTCAGACCGCACCAAAAAGCCACACGCGCATATACCAGGCTCCATGGTGCCGGTGCTGCGTGTTCACGTGTTCTATAATCTCGTAGCATGTATCCAAACAGCGCTTGACACATTCCTATACCACCTGGGGCTGGCGGACCAGCGGTAACCGCCAACGATTTGTTATAAGCGTGACTCTTGGTATTTTCTCACAATGGAACGGAGCGTGTTCATCGTCCTACAGAATAGTTCCTTGTCAGCTAACGTGTCCGTTATACAGCGTCATTGTCTCTTACTACCTCACCCCTATCCTGTAAAATACTGGCATCACGTCCGTGTCCCAACAAAGCCTTATCAACGGCTTCCTGTAACTCTGGAACCTAAAATATGGTAGTCGCGGGCTCTGTCCTCGTCGACTACGCTGGGCGCCGCATACTTTTCATCCTATCCACCTGCATCATGCTCACCAGTTACATAATTATCACGGGCCTTACGGCCAATTTCGCATCTAATGCTGTTAATACGGTCGGGAACAGCGTGATCCCATTTCTCTTTAACTCCTACGGCGGTTACGATATCGCTTCTACTCCTCTCCTCGTTTCCTATCTAGCTGAGATCTGGCCCTACCCCTTCCGAACCAAGGGATTGGTGCTTACAGCGGTGAGTATAATACTGGTATTGTTGTTCAACCGGCTCGTAAGTCCGATCGCGCTAGAGGCGATCTCTTGGAAGAAGCACTATATTGTGTATATTGTCTTGTTGGTGGTGATCTTGGTCACCATTGTTTATGTTTATCCTGAGATGAGGGGATACTCGTTGGAGTAGATGGCAGTGTTGTTTGATGGTTATCATGATGTTCTTGCCGTGGGACAGCAGACATCCACTGAAGTTGTGGAAGATGAATCTAGATGAATTAAAACTCGGAGCAGAACATATTGAACCAGGTCCAAAGGATTGAGTTACGGTCGGTTTCCTTTGTCTATAACTCCCCCAATGCTCGTGCTTTAGTCGCACTTACTCTAAATTATCCACATCGCAGATCAATTGAAATGATTGTCCCCAATATCCCTGATTGAAACTTTCAAGTTTGTTCAGCAATAAGACATTCGAACCCCTTTTCGAAGTATAAGAGCATAGTGCTCCAGGGTTCTAGTACTTGAAGTGCATTCAATCTCCTCAATCTACATGACGTTACTTTAAAGTTATAGAAATTTTAGCCAAACATTTAATAGGTATAGTTATTTAAAATTATAATGGAACCAAATATATGAGGATCATAGTCCTAAATTCTTATTTGGTTCATTCATCGCCAGCAACAACATATTGTTTCTCTGGACAGTGTGTTAAAAGGACATGTGGATTATACAGCCAATCAGTTCGGTACTTGAAAAAAACCTCAAATTGCCGCTTTCTTCAACATGATATATATCTCACTGCGTGAGCGGAGTACAATTGAGCCAAATATACTAGAAACATTATAGAAGTTTACTCTTCATCTAGAAGCGTTTCAAACACACACACAAAGACAAGAAAAAAAAAATTACACCTATCTAGTTAATATAGACTGCCAGGCGCATCCGTCATCAGCATAGGTGGGGAAGATGGTCAGGTGATCGGATGCGGTCGAGGGCGGGCAGTGGAGAAATACGGACCCCACCGCGCGATAGAGATGACATCTTACGAGCTCAATCTGCCCAAAATACGGGATATGGCTCGGTTTAAAGGGAGGTCTGCCAGTGCCTGTCAGTATTGTCGCAGCCAGAAAGTAAAATGTAGTGGTGGTAAGCATGGTTTTCGCGATTCGTGGCCAACGCGCTCTAACCGACCGAGGAACAGCACAACCATGCGCAAGGTGCATTTCAAGCCAGAAGACTTGCATCTTTTCTGGTCGGGAACGGATAATGACTGTTCCTGAGAGTTACGTACGGGGGCTAGAGAGTGAAATCGCACAGCTACGGCAAACGAGTGGCGACAGCCAAAGAGCCATGATTCACTCCAGCCACCAGCAACCCACAACCCCGTCGAGTAATGAACTCCAAGAACAGACACTGTCAGAGCGACTTGTTGAAAACTCGACAACTGAACACTTTGTGCGCAGGCTCAAAGGAGTGTGCTCGCATCCTCACCAAGACAGATCCGGGATCTCTCCTTTTCCCATGACATCAACCCCTGACGAAATAGGGTTCCGTGAGAGCGACGCTCAACCCAAGTCGTCTAACTACACCTACATTCCCTTGGAAAGTGATAATCTACGTATGTCAAGTCAAGAGGTCCGGTTACCCCTCCAGCTAACCTTCACAGGACCCAAGGTACTCGTCAAACTACCACCGCACTCTTACGCTCTTTACCTTCTGGGCCAGTTTGAGTCCTTCATGGGGTCTGATTATCACTGGTACCAGAAGAAGCGATTTCGTGCTCAAGTAGACGCCATATACGATCCATCACAATCTCAGCAAATTGAAAGAACATGGCTTTGCTGCTTCTCTGTAGTATTGGCCCTAGGAGAGTCATATAACGATACCGTCGCCCCGTCATTTTTGATTGACACTAGAACTGGGTACTCTACAGATAATGCTGCTCCAACAGATCTCGACCCTCTAATTCCGGGAATTGAGTTCTTCAAACAAGCGCTACTCCTTCTACGACCGTCTTACGAAGAGCCGACAATAGACCAGGTCGAAGCCCTCAATCTCATTGTAAGCCTTTTGCGGATTTATTGTCATTGTTGCATTGATTCTGATTCCCCATAGACATTCTACTGTTACTCTTTGAATAGAAGAAAGACAGCTTATGCATACGCTGGCATGGCCCTCCGATTGGCCGAGCTCCTCGGGCTTTCGAAACCACAGACACATCTGAGTCCGTTGGAACAGGAACACCGTAAACGCATCTGGTGGACGACGATTTGCATGGATGTGATGACTTGCATCGAGCTATCGCTGACTCCCTCGCATGCATCTCATGAAGACGGTATCAACCTCCCGGATAGTTCCCACTTATCCGCAGCAGACGCCGAACAATTCTCAGACCCTCAGTATCTCACGGCGCAAATCAAACTTTGCCGTATCAAATTCCGCATCATCAGGACAGTTTCAGAGCTCCGCTTTGGAGATACCGCTGAGGCGCAGGCACTTATTGAACCCTGTCTACAAGTTTTGAATAATTGGAGATTGGAGCTCTCTCCGACCTTGAAATTCACCGAAGAGGGAGGGTTCTCGGATGAAACCCTGGCTTTCACCCCGATGCGCACGGTCGCATCCCTGATGCTTCGCTTTAATCAGGTAAGAAGTGTTCTCTAACAGTTGAAGTGAGATACTGATAAATCAGTGTATCATACTTCTCATTCGCCCATTGTTGTTAAAGCAACTTCATGATATCATGCATGAACAAGATGTTTTAATGCCTCGGAATGACTTCGCCGGCGCAAACACCCAGTGTTTGCAGGCCGCAGCTGATAGTACTGCGGTCCAATTCGCTCTTTCTAAATGTCATAAAATTGGTATGTTCCTCTGAGAAAGTATCGTGGATATCAACTTTTGAAAGTTCAAGCAATCTAATATCTTTACAGCCAAATTCGGATTCTGGGACTCTCTACACATATTCTCCAGTCTTACCGTACATGTGATCTCTGAGCGCCTGATAGAGAAGCGTCCTACGGCATTCGCTACTGGCCGGCCCAACATTCCATACGGTCCGGTCAGAGGTTTACTCGGAGAAATGGCTCGGGTTGGAAATGCAGCATCAAAGGATCACGAGAAAATGATACGCGACATCGAAGAACTGTTCACAGAGACCCCATCTAATCCAGTTCTTACTGAGAGGATCGAAGACCTGGTAGATTGGCCAGAGTATATGGACACGGGAAATATGAGCTTTGAGTTCGATGAGACATTCCCTTCGTTTGGGTGGTCATGACCGGAGACATACTGATGATCGGTCCTCCACAGGCTGCCGAAGGTTGTGGGTCTCGGACATAGCCCCGACGGCGTCAGGCCGAGAGCAGGCTGTATCAACCTCGGGACAGAAATCAGAAACAATAACATTAACATTCTCTTTAAGCCTCTAACAGAAATAGCTTTCCTCGATCTCTCTCAATATCCATGAGACCATATCATCTCCTTGAATCATCATAATGTCGCTGGCCGGAAAGGTAGCCATCGTCACCGGCGGTGCTAGAGGCATTGGAGCAGGAATTGTACGCTGCCTCAGTAAGCAAGGAGCAAAGGTAAGATCTATACCCGCAGCCAATACTATCGCATGACTAACTCCGACAGGTGGTCTTCACCTATGTCTCCCCATCTTCCAAGAGCGCCGCGGATGCTCTCGTCAACGAACTCAGCAACAACAGTAACGACGTCATCGCTATCCAAGCTGACATGATAGACTCAGCATCCCCAAAGACCATCATACAAACCACACTCTCTACGTTTCAAACGGATAGAATCGACATCCTCGTCAACAACGCCGGCGCAGGTGAAAATCGCTCTCTGGAGGACGTCACCCAGGATAGCTACACCCAGCTGATGGACATCAACGTGCGCGCCGTGATTTTCATGACACAAGCTATCTTACCATATCTGCCTAGTCGAGGAGGTCGAATCATCAACCTGTCCTCGATTTCGGCCCGTGGCGGCTACGCTACCCAGTCTGTTTATGCGGCTACCAAAGCTGCCGTAGAGGGTCTTACGCGTGTCTGGGCCACCGAACTGGGACACAAGTATGGCGTTACTGTCAATGCGGTGAATCCAGGCCCTGTGGATACAGATATGTACCAGGCTGCGGGGCCGGTTCATCTGGCGCGCATGGAGGAGCAGAATAAAAAGGTTCCTGCTGGGCAAAGGTGCGGGACCGTCCAGGATATTGGGGATATCGTTACATTCTTGGCGGAAGAGAGGTCGAGATGGGTGACCGGAGATGTTATTTGCGCTAATGGGGGCATGCTGTATACTTGATTTTGTTTTATCTGTGTATCTGTGTCTTAGTTCGAAGCTTTCCAGAGAAGATCGGAGTTCCTGAGAAACGAATCTAGCATCACCATGTTCCATCTTAGGCCCTTGTTAGAAGGAATGGCATTCCCACTTTGTGTACTCTATAGATTATCTACGTACTAAACTAAATACATACGACCACAGGGTGTGGAGAACAGGGCTTCCCGTCCGCTCAGCCGTACTTAAGCCACACGCCGGCCGGTTAGTAGTTGGGTGGGTGACCACCAGCGAATCCCGGCTGTTGTATGTTCTTTGTTTTATTTTTTGTTATTGTGAGAATAAACACACCAAAGGAAAAAAGAAAGCGGAGGAATGCATGCTCAAAAAGTAAACGATATCCATAGTACACATGTAAATAAGCTCTCGTATTTGTGGATTAACTCAGCGGAGGCCGATCCCGAAACAAAGCTCAGCCCAAGGTCAACAACCTGTATCCAAAAATCTACCGGCTCGTGCGAGCAGCCGGTGTCAAAAACCTGCAGAGATAGTGACACTTTTCGCGCGAGGAAGATGTCGAACGAAGGGAGTCACGGCTTCTGTGACGTCACGCCATGCCGCCTTTGTACGTTCAATTGAGAACCTTCAATCGCTTCCCTGCTAATTACGAGAACGCTGCGAATCTTCTTTCTGTCCTTACTTGGTGTTAGGCAGAACACACGGGAGAAGAAAAGGAAGGCCGGAATATAGCTCGATCAATACTACAGTACTGCCTCCGGGTTCCCATGGATACTGCCTATGATTTTCATACCACCTAGTGTTTATGCTTCACCTTCGGGTGTATTACTCGGATCTTTCCGTTGGTTCTCTGTGACGAGAGAGAACGCATCCGAAAGCAATATGATATCCGAGGAGGAAATTGTGGTGACTTCTGGGAATCAGTCTACTGCACGGGCAACGTCCTCGTCCAGTCCGAGCTGGAGACCCTAGCGAAACGTGCTTTCTTCTGGAACTCTTCGGCCGTACCAAGCCGTGGATGAGATGAGGTAAGATGCGCAGTAATCAGTTAGTTGAGCAACTACCGAGCAGTGGAGGAGATACTTAATCAGCACATGCCCTTCTCACCATTATTAGGCAGATCTGTTCGACTTTTTCTCACGATCCTTATATCTCGTACTCCGTACTCCGTACTTTTCATTCCATCATAGCTCGACAATGACGACTCGCCGACCACATACTAAATCCCGACTAGGGTGTGTCAGGTGCAAGCAGAAACACCTCAAGCTCGACGAAGTCCGACGCATAATGTTTCTAATTCCAGGAGAGCTATAGTATATGATCATTCATCTATAGCGGATTGGTGGACTTGGAATTCGTTTCTTCTAAGGGTACATGTAGATGATGCTTGTGTGAAATGTAATAAAACATTTGCTGGACCAGCGGTGGCTTTCCATCCGGCATTCACTTCGCAGTCTTCCGAAGCGCTCTTGTTAAGGCTTCGAACTCTCCGGTTATGTTGAACTGGCCGAGTGTATTGCGAACACAAGTTGGAGTGTCGTTCTGCGCAGCCTCACTTAAACTATCAGAGTGAACTAGTCGGTTGCGTACCGCTTCAACGATCTCGCCTTCTGCTGATCCATACAAAATCCAGATGACATTATTCACTCGGCGATAACTCCAGCAGCCCAGCTCCGCCTCGTCCAAACCTCAGGGCCGAGTCGTCTGGAACACGCCGAGGCGGAAAGCCCCACTCGGAGCTATCTCCGACATAGTGAACCCTAACTTCGGAATATACAGTCGTTCAACAAAAGCATTATATTCATAGTAATAATACAGCAGAAGATGGTTAGATCTATATAGGTATCCCTTTTCTTGTAGACTGCTTATGTCGCATTCCTTCAAACTTCATCTTTACACCACAGCCTAAGCTCAGAGATCTTCCGCAGCCCCAAAAGACAAGATGGACATCACTACCCGCAAACCACAGAACCTCGCCATTCACACAAGCCCCAAGAACGACCTCCGTCTCGTACAATCAGACATTCCTTCCCTCAAGCCACATGAATGTCTCATCCACGTCCGCGCCACGGGCATCTGTGGCTCTGACGTCCATTTCTGGAAACACGGCCACATTGGACCCATGGTCGTGACGGGGGATAACGGACTCGGACACGAGAGTGCAGGCGTCGTGCTGAAAGTAGGCGAAGAGGTGCGGAACTTTAAGCCAGGTACGTTTCAATATCATATTACCATACCCTGCATGCGTTGGCTTCCACATCGATCACATATTTACGCAATACCAAATGGACAGGCGATAAAGTCGCCCTTGAATGCGGCATTCCATGCTCCAAGCCTTCCTGCTCCTTCTGTCGAAGCGGCCAATACAACGCCTGTCCGGACGTGGTGTTCTTCTCCACTCCGCCTCACCATGGCACTCTGCGCCGATACCACGCGCACCCGGAAGCCTGGCTTCACAAGCTTCCAGACCACTTATCTTTCGAGGAAGGTGCACTGCTAGAGCCACTCACTGTTGCGTTGGCGGGTGTGGATCGCTCGGGTTTACGACTTGCTGATCCGGTCGTGATCTGCGGCGCCGGGCCGATTGGTCTGGTGACGCTCTTGGCGGCGAATGCGGCGGGCGCAGAGCCGATTGTTATTACGGATGTTGATGAAAATCGGTTGCAGAAGGCAAAAGAGCTTGTGGGTAGAGTGAGGACGGTGAAGGTCGAGATTGGGGAGACGGCGCAGGCTGTGGGTGAGAGGATTGTGCAGGTGTTGGGCACAGAGGCGAAGTTAGTGATGGAGTGCACCGGGGTAGAGAGTAGTGTGCAGGCGGGCATTTATGTGAGTTTCTTCTTCCCTCTCTTCTTTTGTCTTCACTTGACCTTTCGAAGTCAAAAATACGGCAGCGATAGTCGGCTATACTCCACAGACGAGAACTAATGTGTGATACCAATCTAGGCAACACGCTTCGGAGGCACGGTGTTCGTGATCGGAGTGGGCAAAGACTTTCAGAACATCCCATTCATGCACATGGCAGCCAAAGAGATTGACCTGAGATTCCAGTACCGGTATCATGACATTTACCCGAAGGCAATTAGTCTGGTGGCGGCCGGAATGGTGGATCTGAAGCCATTAGTGTCACATCGGTTTGCCCTGGATGATGGGATCAAAGCGTTTGACACGGCGAGCAACCCCGCGGCAAAAGCTATAAAGGTGCAGGTTGTTGATGAAGAGCATTAAGTCAAACTGAAAAATAAGAGAGAGTGATATATGGTGCTGATCAGAAATAATGAGTATTCTTCAGGTGCATGATTCTGAATAAACCTTGCATTTGACTGCATACATATTTCTTGCTGTGTAATGAATCAAATAAGAGCGCCCAAGGTTAAAGCATTTTTCTCATATTTCCCCCTCAATCTCAAATCAGTAGACTGCATATTGGTGTGACTAGATAGCCCAAGCTAATCGTAGAGTATAGGCTGTCCAATTAGTGCCATATTAGGCCTATGATAACCTGTATGAGCCCTATTGCTTGTTTCCCCTACTCTAGGCCATACATGCAGGTGGCTAGGTGTGATTGGATAACCGCATATGTTTATATATCAAGTGAAATCTAGGATGTTATGAGGAAGGCCGTCAGTTGATCCATTTGCTATCCAGTCACTTCTTCTGTCCTTGTGCTTTTAGGCATGTAATCTGTGGGTTGAAAATTAGAGATAACCATAGATTGATCTTTCTGTGCAAGACATGGAAGCTGGCATGGTCCTTATTGAATACTAAGATAGTCAGTGGGGGATGGCACCGATGCCCAAACTCCTGTATGATGATTTTGGACGATGCATGCACTTGAAGGGGTGTAGGGCCACTGCGGAGTTCGAGACGGCGAATTTGGCGGTTGTTCGTGCCGATGAATCTTTCGCAAGTCTAGCATTCCATGATAACAACTTTTGATGTCTCAAGTGCGCTTTCCGAATATGACTACATGTATAGGTATTAGTTAGAGATTATCTAGGCGTTGATACGTGCTGACCGTCTGCAAATACCACCACAGCCCTTTCGGGAATCCCGCTATGGGACTTTGCTATACCTGTTGAAATATTGAGGCGGTAGTTGCCGGATAATCCGGCTAAATTCAGCTGTGAGGAACGACCTAAAGATATGGCTTAGTGAGCAAGGGTCAGCCGGTGTGTAGAACCTGGTGCCTTTCTCAGCCAAGCTATACGGTCCAGTTGACTGTACAGGTGCATCCTCATTTGCCATCCTCCTTAGAGTCCTTCCTGCGATTTCTCGCCGAGTTGACCAATGTCTAAGACACAAGTCGATCTAGAACACCTCGAAATAGCCTATTACGAGGTTTGAATCACCGGAATGACCATATCAGACCTAGTGCCGTCTTCTGCAATCTATCAAACCTTGGCATGTAGCAGGTTTAGGGCAAACAAGTATAAAGATAACAGAATGTCATCATGATCGATAAACCCCTCGTCATATATTACCCTGCATATGAACGAACAAAAGCAAACATCAAGGGTAGGGCTGAGTGGCGAGATCGATTGGCGTGGCTTGTGTGCTACCCCTGAGCGATGTAGCAGTGCCAATGGGGCACCCCTGTCGTTATTGTGGCAAGATGGTATGGGCCGCGGATACACCGTACTCTCCTAGACTGTTTTCCTCTACGAGAACTTGATAGCATCCTAGCAGTCCAATTGTCGAGGTAATTTCATATGCCTTCAAAAGGCCTGACCGATGATAGGCTGTTCAAATGAATTGACAGACTCTGATCGAGAGTGCAGACACAAGTATAGATTTCGACATATAAACAAGCAAATATGTTCTCATGTTCCACGCCGAGACAATTTAAAAATCCTTGTTGGGGGGCCTTATTGCGCTAGGTATTGGTGGTTTGCTGTTTCTGCTTATTCCTCTCAACAACAATCGCCGAGTGCGGACCAGTCGATCCGGATCACCGCTGTCAAACTCTTATCTTTAATCCAGGGTTACATCCATTTAACTTAATCTGGGTAGCTTGGCTAACTTGTTTATGCATTGGACAAAGTACCAGGAACTTGACCATTCAATCTTCCCCAATAAAACGCGCCAGGAATCTAGTTACCGCGCTAAGGTGGAACATCGACATAATGTCATCCTTCGCAACGTTCTGATGTGCTACCGACCCTACGAGTCCCATGCGAAGTACTAGTATCTGCTCGTAAAAGGACTGAGATCAGAGCAGGCCGATTTCGTCGAGTAAGTTGATGTTACGTGCATGATCAAGGATAGCGCGATCGGTCCTGATTGATGGAGAATTAATAAGTCATTCCGACATGTTACATTCCCAAGTTCATGGCATGTCTTCCGGCTGAACAAGCGCTCTGGGAGTCCCGGTCCTCTTTGCCATGAATTGGGACCGTGTGAAGAACAATGTAATCGATCAAATGTAACCATCTGCCTCACAAAAGCCAAGCACTCGAGTATAAAAGCGCTGATGGCTCCTCCTGTTTGGAGCTGTTCAACAAACAGCAACCATCGTTTGTGTCAGTCTAGCATTCACATTCAACCTATACCACTCAAGCTTCCAAGATGCGCTTCGCCATTTCCCTCACCACTTCGGCCCTCGTCCTGGCCTCTGCCATTGTTGGCGAAGAGACCATCTATCCTCCAGGAGGAGCGGGTGTAATCCGGGTTAACCTCGCCGGCGAGAGCGAATTCACCGGCTGCCTCAACGCCGACGGCAAATGGACCGTGACAGAAAACTGCGCCCAAATCTTTGGCAACGGCCAAGGAGGAATTTCTAGCGACAAGGGCTGGTTGATTCTGGACGACGACTCCACGATCACCACCACCTCCGGTACTTGGTCCGTCGCCTGGGTTGGCACTCACGATGGAGATAACGTAAAGGAGCCTTCCCTATCCGTGTTTCATTCACTGTCGACTAACTTACTTTCTCTTCCTCCGCAGAGAGACACCAAACAGTTGATTGGCAACATTGGCATCGACAATGACGATGTCCCCCATGGAGGACCCACGTGGTATGCGGCAGCAATTGCAGCTCAGGATGAGACGGTGCAAGTGAGCGGTGCAAAGACGGAGGATGCTCAGGAAATCTATTTGACTTTCATTAGTACTTTTGAGGAGTAGTTTGTACCGAATCATTACCCGCGAAGGTATCAAAGATCGAGGGCATGGAAGGTGTTCTAGAGCTCAAACATAGTGGACATTAGATCTCGAACAATCATGAGGTTCAGTCTCTTTTGTCATACTTGTCAATAGCTGTAACCTGCTAGGTCAGCATAATTTAAAAAGCATTGATGGTCGTAAGTAAAACAAAAATCTCGGAGCACATACATATGCTAAACCTTTTCTCCTACGCAATTCATTGGCAGTTAGTTGATTTTGTCTTCGAATCCTCTCAGAAACATGGCGTCCGGTCCGTCCGGTCCGGAATATGGATATCGACAAAAGGACAAAAATGGGACAAGGGCCAAAACTAAGGTTCTAAAGTGGGGACGACCCTATTCGTATTTGTGATCAAGATTGATGATTTCATGCTCTATCATATTGAAATGAGGCTTACAACTAGGCTTCGGAAGTCAAACCCGATCTTCCTAACTGCAAATGCACAGCACAATTTGGACTTACAAAGATTTGACGTCGAAAAGAGTGGCCAAAGAGAATACAAAAGAAAGGAAGCAGTGAAGAATCTTCAAGAAAACTCAAGAAAAGTGGGTCTTACAGAGGGCTGAGGTCCCGAATGTCTACTCGGAAACGACGTGATGTGCTCTCATTCGGGACATTGATGACGAAAAGCAACAGCTTAGTGGGAACTAAGAGCCAGTTCTGGCAACAACTCAATCCACCGTGTTCTCGAGGATTGTCGTCTAGAACCGGCCATCGTAAATGCGATGGCACCTATCCGGCGACCGGGTACCTGTACCCGGGATATCGCCATACAATCCCACGTAGTTAGGTGACAATAGATGCAAGAGTCATAACAAAAGACATGCCAATCCCTTGAATCAAACTCAGTCCTCCCCTAAAATGACAGTCAATGAGTCACGCCACAAAGCACTCATCGCCTGATGATCGACCAGGCACGCCTTGTCCACAACAAAACCACGCAGTGAATGGTGTGATCGAGCCATTCGGGGCACGACCCGAGGCCAGGGGCTCCACTCGCCAAAACTCTTCAAACCTGCTCGGGTCCCGTTCCCGAGTGGCTTCCCGGCCAGACGGTCCGGCCACGGATAACTATAAATAATTGCGAGGCCGTCGTGATGCAGGTACAAAATAGCTTCAGGATATCATTATTCGATCAACAGTCCCTCCATTGAAGCCTTTACAACATCCCATCTCACGTCTATCCCGAAGAAATCGTCCACCTCAATAATCATGATGTTCCACGCCGACCCCTTCCCTGAAGTCTCGCTTCCCAAGTTCTCCCTCCGCCGCGCCATGAACTCGCATCGCGGATCGTCACAAACAAGCAGTTTGCTGGGATCGAGGAAGTCTTCCATGTCTGAATCGCGCAAAGGATCGATATTCACACGGTCGGCTCGTTCGAGCATTTCCGAAGAGAGAATGCAGTCGAAGATGGTGAGTTCAATTGTTGGTGTTGATTGTTTAGATGCGGCAATACTAACTATATTTTTTTCCCTATAGCAGGCTTCTCGGTGAGGTCATTGTCCTTGCAGGGCAATCTCAACATACAAAAGTGTTTTTCTAAATTTGCGAGTTCAATCGATATGGTATGTTCTGATGGGCAACTGCATTCTGTTCGGTTCGGTTTTTCTAACTCAATGACAGAGTAATATTTTCGAGGGCGCGATTATTTGACAAATTTGCGGCATTTTTTCGGTCGTCAAAAAATTCATGACTTATGACATCATCTTTGTTTTCGGCGGTGTAAGTCAGGCCACTTCCCGACGGTCTAGATTTCGTGGGCTAATTTTAGACTGCAGTTTTCCCAACAGGCCAACACTACTATCTAATACCCTGTTCGTGATGTAAAAGTGGTTGCATGCTTAAATGGCATACCTTCCGAGTATTTTTTATAGATCTTAATATTAATTCACTATTTTTGACATCTTCATTGCATCCCACAAACTACAATCTGATTTCTTTTCTTTTTCCAGGTGGTAACCACTGTCTCTGGGGTATATATGTCCATAGAATAGTCAAGCTTCCAGTACTGTACTAGACCTCTGCCTTCGTGTCATGGCCTCGCTCATGCCCACGAACATTCCACCTTCCATCTAATTTATCCGCATCACCTCTTTGCCAAGGGAACACCTTCTCAATACCCCTCACCAGCTGCTCGTGCTTTTCACTCCGTGGCGTAATTGTAGCCGTGAACGGGTGCGGATGGCTAACAACCCCCGGCTTGAACCCTATATCCGGCTCAATGTCTACCCCATCGGTTGTTTTCCCCTTGCCGATATTAAACACTGCCAGTGACTGCGCAATGTTCAGAAAGATCATCGAATCGGCGAGGAAGCGGCCGGGACACATGCGTCGTCCAAACCCGAAAGCAAAGCGGTGGGGATCAAGCTCCGATGTGGGTTTCTTGTCTGTCGGTAGGAAGCGTTCGGGATGGAAAGACATTGGGTCGGGGTATGTTGCTGGATTATGTGTGAAATACCTAGGTGGCAGTGGTTAGATATCGCATGGTAGATAAAAAAGGAACTCGTAGAGGTCATTACGACAGAGTACATACCAAACGTTCGCCAACACCGTCGTCCCCTTGGGGAGAAAATACCCCTCGAAAATATCGTCTGCTGTGCTGGTATGCGGAAGACCCATAGGCGCTACTGGCTTCCATCGTAGGGTCTCTTTGACGAGCGCATCGATGTAAGGTAGGCTCCCGCGGTCTTTGGCGTTCGGGAGGCGAGTGCATCCCACCACGCGATCGATTTCTTCTTGCGCTTTCCGCTGGACCTCTGGATAGATCGTCATGGCGAGGAAGAATGATGCGATGGCTGAGACTACCTTTGGAATTGTTAATGAGGCGATCGAAGACATGGTGTCAATAGACCTAGACATACAGTATCTGCCCCAGCTGCATACACAGAGAGGGCAAGCCATTTTTGTAAGTGCTCGTTCGCAAGACTCAATTGCTTCTGATCAAGGAGACTGGAAAGAATAGATGGGGTGTGTTTGCCATGAGACATTTCACTTTTGACAAAGGCATGAGGCGTCTCCGTGAACTCCATTAAATTGCGACGCCATTTCCGAGCTGAGAGCTTGAACTTGGAGCCTGGACACCAGTCGGGTATCCATTTTACTTTCTACCGTTAGTAATGCAATTGTAGGATAATATGAGGGCAAGAAAACTCACAGCAAGGAAGTATATCGACGACCCAAGAACCTGGAACAGCTGCCTGAGCAAATTCGATTCCAATCTGTTCGGCCCCATCAACAAGGGGATCTGTCCCATGGGATTCAATCGTGTAGCCGTAAATACACTTGAGGATCACAGCACCTGCTTCTCTGGCGTTTGTCAGAAGGCGATCACCAATGTAAACTTGGATACCCCCCCTCTGGTAAGTAGAAACTAACCGTCGAATATATTTCAATAGTTCACTCGAGTCCCTGAACGTATGAAGTAAAAAGTGACCACATTCTGCCTCCACGAGAGACCGCAACGGCAGATCCGTGACTTTCTTTCTTGACCCAATGAACCGGGATGTGTTGCGCCGATGAGTTCGAACTTTGGCAGAGTACGGGAGCAGGGCCAGTGCGTTTTCCCACCCGAGTCTACATATTGATACTTAGCACCATTTCCAGGATCAGGCATAATCTACTAAAGGGAAAAATAACAGAAATCAACCTTACAATTCACCCGCCATCACCTGTTTAGGCCGCGAAGAATAGATCGGGGCACGTTTCTCCAGAAGTTCGAATGCCATCCGGGCGTCGTTAATGATGACAAACAACTGCCCCATTACATTGACGGAACTTATTGGGCCTTGTTTCAAAACGTTTGTCAATTTCTCTAGAATATAGGAGAAGAATAGGACACAACAGCGACATACCATATAAATCCTTATGTCTCAACCAATGCAGCGCCTCGGGTTCGTCGAATTTAGGTAGGTCCGCTAGATTTCCAACAACAAAACTGCCTTTTGGCCCGGGAGGAAGGGGTAGGCCATGTGTCCTACGGTGTTTTAGGTAGTGATGGAGGGAGAATAGCCCTGAGAAGAGAATAGCCAATTTGATTAACGTGTATAAAAAGGACATGGCGGACAGCTGGAATATGTGGAGGACAGCTAACACCCCGGAAACGTACTTTTTCTGTGTCTATCATGGATTTATATATACATGAATACACAATGAGGAAGGACCGATATTTTGAGCACTTTAAGGTTAGAGTTCCACTGGGCAGGATGCAGACATGTCCCGCTTCCGGAAAATCAAGGCGAACCGCATCAACGAAAACAAGAAAATAGGCAGCGATGCCTAAAATGATCTTTGCAAGAAACAAGATTTGGATTTACTCTCACGGCTATTGCCGCATACTGGATCAGGCCCTAAAAACAGTTTTCTCTGTCTTAGAGCTTATCTTGGCAGCGGTCGAGTTATGTGTCGTTTATATTCAATTCGGCTGTAGAACACTGTTGCTTATGTTCGCTTATAGTAGCCAGAAGAGAGGGACAGAAAATAGAAAGGAAAGAACAGAGAGAGGGGAGCGAAGATAAAGAGACATAGCAGTAACAAGGGGCAGTGAACGAAGGGCAATGGCGGCAAGGCAGTTAAGGCATCAAAATACCGTTCAAGACAGGTGGAGCCGACTAGATGGGACGTAACTACTTGTAGATTGGTTGTATGTACTAGGATAATGTGATGTCTGTGGCTGGACGATCAGTGTTGTAGTCCAGCTGGGGCCTGACTGCAATATTATAACGGAACCCCGACTATTCAGCCCTTTGCCTAGGTCTAGTCTGTCTATAGTAAGTATGTTTGCCAAATGTTTCCGCGCCCTCTTAACACATTATCCGATGGACTCCTGGAAGCCAACCAACATGAATCCACTTATTCTTCCTCCGGCAATGCAGCCACGACATCCAACCCCATGGGTGCATTCTTCGGGAGTTCCCACACCTTCAATGTAGCTCTCGCTGGCATATGGTCACCCAGATATTCCGCAGACACTTTGTTGAAAGCCTCGACTTGCTCAAAGTCGGTCAGGTAGACGTTTTGCTTGATGATGCGGTCTAAAGTCGTCCCGGATTCCTCGAGGATGATCTTGATATTATCGAAGATGCGTCGCAGCTGGTTCTCAGGCCCGCCTCCAACGATTGTCATGGTGGCAGGGTCGAGGGGGATGCACGCTGTGGTGAAGACAAGGTTGTCGTGCACCACGGCGTGGATGAAAGGGCCGTTGGTACGGGGCGCGCGGTCCGAGTAGACTCTCTTCATTGTCCCAGACGAGTTTTGACTTTTGCGGAATGAGGTGGTGCTGTTGGTAGGATATTCTTCCCTCAAGAGGGGCTTTATATAATACTTGAATTATCAGGTAGTTATCCTTGATTGAGCCGTCCTGCCATTACGGGCCATGGCCCAACAGCAGTCTATTCGTTTAACATCCGATGTCAGCACAAACAAAGACTATTGATGTGTGGAGAAACGTTGTTTCCAAGTTGTGAAACATACTTAACAAGTAAAAGAAGATTGCATGCGTCACCACCATTACTATTCTATGTTTGCTCCTAGTAGACGGTAGCATGGGGCAGCCTGCTGATGCCCATGATGTGGAAATACCCTCAAAGATTCTGCTGAGTAACCTTTCGACAGGTTGTTGTATATTGATCGACCACTCTTATTTCAGACCCCTTTCTAATACACATATTCTGATAGCATAAAAGGGCATTTACATTCTACTCGCCACTAAGTTGAGTGAATATGAGTGAGGCATTCTACAATGCCTGATCAGAAATTTCTGTGTCTTCTTCTTTGATATACTTTTTGTGATAATCTGCAATCAATTTCTGGGCGTGGGGACAACAAAAGACTATATCCCTGAGACCCAGGCCGCAGAGAAACATTGAAACTCTCCTCGGCTACAATGTTGAGGCCGAATTGGATGAGTCAAGTAAAGACCCCGGTTGAACCACAGTCAGGTACAACACTCGACGTAGGAGGCCTATTTCATGGTGATGTTGACTGGATTGATGGCGACTGGCTATAGAACCGGTTTGTTGGTGATGACGACGAATAATAATTGCCATGTTCCTTCTAAGTATTCATCCCAGGACACGGTTGTTCGACTGGTGTAAATTTGTACGTACCTACTTGGCCATTCTACGCCGAGCGGCCGTTGATATGTACATATCGTTACGAGTACCGCACCAGCGCATTCCTCCCTCACACATTGCAGCCTTGAGCTGGATCAGTTTTCCAGAGTGGAGAGAGGCTGGGGCCAAATGGACTGTAGTTGTATATGTACAAACAACCGCGCTGATGGCGGCCCGTTACCTGGCTTAAGATAGGTCTATTGTATTGCATCATTGTCTTGGTACATGGATATGGGAATTGAATGGGTGTCTTCAATCGATCTGGATGCAATTTTTGGATGCAACGTTAGTTATGCACTAATGGATACTAAAAGTAGAGTATAAAGAACGCCCGTTCAGCCCCAACCTATGTATTCCTAACGCCTATACTCTACATCTGATACCGATCAAGAAAAATGCATCACGTATATATTCCTCCTAGCACATCCCATCTGAGCTGCTACCGATACTCGTATGACTTGGCGACGTGATCAACAAATGTTGGTCCGGATCTTTAGATCTCTTGGAGCGGCCGCGCGTCGAGGACGGATCAGGGGGCACCTCCCGAGCGTTGATCGAGCGTCGACCGGTAAAAGACGACCCCAGGCGCGTGTTCCTGGCTGACCTTCTCCACTTGGCGATTGGGTCCTTTTCTCGTATATGGCTAATGAATTTCGGCAGCACCGGAAACCCCGCGACCATGATTCCAAACGACATTTCGGGGACGGCCCAGGTGCCTGCCAGGTAGCCGTAGTAAGCTCGATTCGAAGTCTGGCTGGTAATGATCGAATAGGCGAGTCGCACGATCGAGGCGATGCAAGCGCTGGGAATAGTTAGCGAGAATAGCTGTGAGGGCCTGGGGTCTGATTGTAGAGGGAGGGAGGAGTACAATAGACCGAGTGAGAATAGCCCAGAGACCGCCAGTTTCTTCCGTAGCGGCGATTGTAAGCCCCAGATACGCCGCTGCGGCAGGATTAGAATGAGCAGGTCCGAAACGGCATTGATTGCGCCCGCGACGAGAGTAATGAGTCGCGTGTTGAGACATGTCCCGTTCGTTATGAATACATCCCAGCTTCTGCTGATCGGACGGCATGAAAATATCTGAAGGAACGTAAAGACAATGTAGAAAATGCCGTTCGCCCACATCAGAATATGACACGTTTTGGAGAGAATTTCGTCAGACCAAAAGATCTCGAGGATGTTGAGCAAAATAGCAAGTTTGGTGAAAAACATGCACAGGCCGTAGAAAGCGGAGCCCACGTAAAAGCGCTGACTGTTTATCAGGGGTTTTCTCTTTTGAAATCGTCCGGTTCAGTCATAGACCACGTACAAAAAGCAGGTCGATAAAATCCTTAAGACGCAGGTTCCATTGATCGACCATTGGAGAGGCATCCGCAGCTAGCCAGCCACTGACCAGGTAAGCGACAAACATAAGCTGGTTACATTAGTCTGGCGTTGAGTGGGACTCAAGGAGAGTCATTCCTACCCATCCAAGAATAAGAGAGTCTGCAATCATTAGATACACATCAATAAAGCCCATATTCGACTCACAGTCCGCTACTTTTACCCGACGTAAGATAAAGGCTCTCGTGTAAATACGAACTATCAGCGCAAACGTCGCCAAGAGGCCGAAGAATATGATGATAGTATACGATGCAGTCTTCTGATTAGGAGGGTCCGTCAAGTTTGACTGCAAACCTGGAGGGGGGGTGGCAGCTGGGCCCTTGAGAAGCGCTTCACGCTCCTCTGGTGAAACTGGCTCCATCGTAGCTGATGTTGAGCAAAAGGGAGATATTCGCAGCCTTTTTTTGAACACGGACACCGGATGACCAAGATTGCACAACCTAACGCATGGGGCCAAGATGTTTCCATTGGCCCTGCAAACCACCTATCGGGTCGGACTTTTCAAGCCCTTGTCCTTGTCGACCATACGCGTACCTAGAAAGAGGCGGAACGTTCGAAGGCCGGTTAGGCACACAATGACCAACCATGGACGTCACAATGTATCGAAATAATTGCACTCCGATCTATCCATAGTGAGCGTGCGAGCCTCGCGAGGAAAGGAGACAGGGAGGGAGGCGTCTCACGTGCAGAAGAATTTCAGCTGGCCCGGCGCAGACTCTCTGAACGGCAACCCTCGGCCGTTCGCGAAACGCTGGCTTTCCTCATGCTGAGTCTGACTTTGACCTGCTTGCGTTCCCCGCTTAGCCAAGAACCAGTGAGTCAGAAAAAGCTGCAGATCTCCCCAGTTGTCAGCCTTAACCCATATTAGGGTTAGTCGAGTCAAGGTTGTAGATTGTATGAATGACTCGAGGCCAGTCTTTGACCCGGTGGCTGGCAGGACACACTTAGTGAAGCTTAACTGGAAAAAACAACGAGCGCATGGTTGTTGAATTAAATTATCGAAATTCCATTCAAGTTATCGATCACTATATCCAAAGTCGTGAGAAAATATTTATATTTCTTAAATATGCCGTCGTGCAACCTCGGCATTGGAAAATGTAGAACGCAAGGAGTCAAACAGAAACATGAACATTCTTCGTAACGTCCGGTCGGCTTTTATTGAACCCCTGTACCATAAAAGAAGCAATAAGAAAACACTAAAGATGGTTGCAAGGCTAATGGTTGGCTTCAGTTTAACCAACCCATCTCCTGGCGCTGTAGAAGACACGTCCCCAAGGACCAATGTCTCCCCACTGATGAGAGCTCGCAGGCAGCCAGCTGGCGATACCGCCCATGACGGTTCGCTCCGGGTGAGGCATGATGGCAAGAACACGACCGTCCTCGTTGCGCACACCGGCAATACCTTCAGGACTGCCGTTGGGGTTGAAAGGATACTTCGTGGTCGGCTTGAGGGTGGCGTTGTCGACGAACTGGACGGGAGCAAGGCCATCACGAACGAAAGTCTGGGCCGTGACGCTGGAGGATTGGGCAAACGAGGCACGTCCCTCTCCGTGGGCAACGGCGATAGGCAGCGAAGAGCCGTTCATGCCGTGGAGGAAGACGCTCGGTCTAGCGGGATCCGGGTCCGAGACACGGACCATACAGACACGGCCTTCATACTGCTCACTAGCGTTGCGCTCGAAGCTCGGCCAGTTCTGGGCGCCGGGGATCAGCTCCTTGAGACGGGAGAGGAACTGGCAACCGTTGCAGACACCGAGGGCGAAGGTGTCGGGACGCTGGAAGAACGACTGGAACTCATTGCGCGTGTTTTCGTGCAACAAAACGGACTTGGCCCAACCCTGTCCGGCACCAAGGACGTCACCGTAGGAGAAACCACCACAGGCGGCAAGACCGACGAAGCTGGCGAGCGACACCCGTCCTGAGATAACATCGGTCATGTGAACATCGACGGCAGAGAAACCAGCCATGTTAAAAGCAAAGGCCATCTCAGCTTGGCTGTTAACACCTTGCTCACGCAGAATAGCCACGCGCGGCTTGTTGCTGAACGGAGACATCTGCGTCAAGCTGGTGAGGAACGGCACGGCCTTGTCCTTGGGGTCGAAGCTGGGATTCCACGACAAGCCAGGGTCGGCATCATCAAGGATATTGGCAAATTCCTGGTCCGCACACACGGCATTGTCACGCATTTTCTGCATGTGGTAGGACGTCGACGACCAGGTCTGCTGCAGGTTGGCACGGCTGTTACGGTAGACCAAAGAGGCCTTGTGGTAAATTGCAAGGTTCTGCTTGTGTCGTTCCGAAACCCGTCCGATCTTGTGAATCAGGCCAGCGGGAGGACCACAGGTGGCGAAGCACGAGCGGAACTGAATCTCATGCTCCTTGCGCACCTGGAAGACGGCACCCAGCTCTTCGGTGAACAGAGTCTCCACGAGACTCTTCGTGTCGATACCAGAGCAGATGTTGTCGAGCATGATCTCGACGCCAGCGCGCCCGGCAAACATCATTTCAGCCAGAGTGGTGAAGAGACCGCCATCGGAACGGTCGTGGTAAGCCAAGACAATGCCCGCTTCCTGCAGCTGCTGGGTAGCATCAAAGAAGTCCCTGAAGATATCGACATCACGGACGTCAGGGCACTCGTCGCCGACCTGGTTGAAAACCTGGGCAAGAGAAGAGCCGCCCAGGGTCTTGCGGCCGAAAGAGAGATCGACAAACATAAGAACAGTGTCGCCGACATCCTCAGGACGGCGAAGAGCAGGGGTCCATGTCTTTCTGAAGTTGCCGACCGGAGCGAAAGACGAGATAACGAGAGACATCGGGGCAGTGACCTCCTTTGCCTCCTTTGAGGCTTCATCCGTCCACTTCATCTTCATGGACATGGAATCCTTTCCGACGGGGATGCTGATACCGAGCTTGGGGCAGAGATCCATACCAATTGCCTCGACCGCCTCATAGATAGCAGCACCTTCACCGGGGTGGCTGCTGGCTGACATCCAGTTGGCCGAGAGTTTCACGCGGCTCAGACGATCGACGAGATCAGCAGCCGCGATGTTCATGAGGGATTCCGCAACGGCCATGCGAGCCGAGGCGCCGGGAGAAATGAGTGCGAGGTTTGGCTTCTCACCCATTGCCATGGCTTCACCCGTTTTCACTCCCTGGAGCAAGGTGGTCGCCGTGACAGCAACGTCAGACACGGGGGTCTGCCATCTGCCCACCATCTGGTCACGGGCAGTAAGACCACCGACAGTCCTGTCGCCGATAGTGATAAGGAAAGACTTGGAACCGACGGCAGGGAGGGAAAGCACTCGGTTCGCCGCCTCGCTGATCAGCTCACCCCGGTTAGGTGCAACTTCAGGCAAGTACGTGGTGAGGCCTGCATCAATTGCGGGTAGCTTCAGTTTCCGCGAGTCCACGGTACGAGTCATCTTGGGCGGCTTTCCGAATAGAACGTTCAGAGGTAGATCAATCGGCTTAGGGAACTCCTTGGACTCCCGGTCGAGAAGGATGAGTCTCTTTTCCTCCTCCGAGGTACCGCCTCCGCGGCCCACGACGGAGAAACCACAGCGCTCACGATGAGCGATGGCGGTGAACTTGTTCATGGACTCTTCACCGACAGCCATGACGTACCGCTCCTGAGCCTCACAGCACCAGATCTGCATAGGGCTCATGCTGCGATCGGCAGTGTCAATCTCTCGAAGCTCGAACGTGGCGCCCAGACCAGAATCCTCGATCAACTCAGGAAGAGCGTTGGAAAGACCGCCAGCACCAACGTCGTGGATGAACTTGATGGGGTTGTTCTCGCCCATGGCCACACAGGCGTTGATGACTTCCTGAGCTCTGCGCTGGACCTCGGCATTGCCTCGTTGAACACTGGCGAAGTCAAGATCCGCTGATCCTTCACCAGAGGTGATACTAGAAGCAGCACCACCACCAAGACCAATCAGCATGGCAGGTCCACCCAGCACGACGAGGAAAGCACCAGGCTTGACAGTTTCTGGCTTCTTAATGGCATGTTGAGGTCGGACGGTACCAACACCACCCGCAATCATGATGGGCTTGTGGTAGCCACGGACCTCGGTCTGACCATTGCCAATGTCAATCTCCGTCAAGAGGGTACGGAAATATCCCGAGATACAGGGCCGGCCAAATTCGTTGTTGTAAGCAGCACTACCAATAGGAGCCTCCAGCATGATATCCAAACTGCTGGCGATGTGGTTCGGCTTGCCAACCTCCAGTTCCCACGGCTGCTTGAAGCCTGGAATCAGCAGATCGGAGACACAGTACCCAGAGAGACCAGCCTTGGGTCTTGAGCCACGTCCCACAGCTCCTTCGTCACGGATTTCTCCGCCAGATCCGGTGGCAGCACCAGGGTAGGGCGACACGGCCGTAGGGTGGTTGTGGGTTTCGACCTTGGCCAGGAAATGAACGATCTCTTTCGTGTGATTCCACTCCCCAGTAAACGAATCAGGGGCCCAGAAAGCGGCTTCATCTCCTTCAAGGACAGCGGCGTTGTCGCTATAGGCGCTGACGGTGTGGTCGGGGTGTTTCTTGTGAGTGTTCCGGATCATGGAAAAGAGACTGTTCGGCATCTGTTTTCCATCGATGACCCAGGATGCATTGAACTGCTTATGACGGCAGTGTTCCGAGTTGACTTGGGCGAACATGAACAGCTCAACATCGGTGGGGTCACGAGCGAGGGGGCCGTTAGGACCATAGGCTTCTGCGAGGTAGTCGATTTCAGACTCCTCCAGCGCCAAGCCCATACGCTTGTTGGCTTCCTGCAGAACCTCCTTTGGGGATTTGCCACTGCCGTGAAGGTGCACGGTCTCGAGGGGGAGCGGGCTGTGTTCGGAGAACATCAAGTGCAGATCAGGTTCATCCTGACCAATGATTTGTGTCATCCGATCATGCAGAACATCCTGGTAGCCTGGCTTGTAGTCGGAGGAGTCGGCACGCAGACACGAGATCTTCAAACCACGTTCGATGCGCTTCACATACTTGCGAAGACCGCAGACATGGGAGATACCCGTAGCCTGGGTGCTCCACGGCGAGATGGTTCCGGTCCGGGGGAAGACGTAAAAGACATCGAACGAGCCATCCTCAGGACTGAAAGATTCCGGGATGTCCGTGATATCACCGTAGTGAAGCAATTGCTTCAGGACGGCCTGTTGGGGTTCATCCAACGGCTGCGAGGTGTGGACGTAATGAACCCATTGAGCTCGAACGTCCTGAGCACCAATGCTAGCAGCAATGGCGTGGCCTCGGGAGCGCGAGAACGCAACCGAGCCGGGAATGGCCAAGTAGGTCGAGTCGGAGGCCATCGTGAGGTTGACGGAAGAAATTCTGGAGGTGGGGTGATTCCCGGGGTGAGTCAACTATTCGAAACGCGGGGGAGGGAGGCCACAGGGGCGCAAGGAGGCAAAGGGAAGCTCCACGAAGGAAAGAGACTCACTATAGAGAGATGTCGAGAGACAAATCCCCGAGAAGTAGTTGGATTGGGCGTTCACGAGCACCGCGAGGGCGTTGAAGCTGCTCAACGTCGTAAAATTAATTCTTTCTCTCTTTTCCAGCCGGCAACCCGGCCCCGCGCTAGTCCGCTTCCGGCTTATCGCCTGCCTATCAGTCACGTGGACACGCCCGGCGGAAGATCATTGACCCGCTGTTGCCTCAGGCATTCAGCACCATGACACTCGATACTTCATAGTTGATGTCGTCTTCGTTTGTTCCTCCTGGCGTGTCCTCAAGGCGACTGATCCTTGTCCTAGAAGTGTATTCTCTCTTTGAATGCAACACCCGTCATCGGCCCTTCAACCAGCTCAGACCCTGACCAGCACAGAGTAGACAATGTGATCTCGCAGTTTACTGGGCAAGAGAGTAATAGAATGCACCTTTTTGTCGCCGATTTAGTGGGGCTCTTGAACTCTTTTTCGTAGGACACAAACCCCGAGTCGCCGATGGTGAGTATCCTCTACTGCAGTACCTTCGGAGTAGGTGCTCTGGTGCTGCTCTATAAATGCGGAGAAGCTCCTGCCCCGCTTTCTACCTCAAGTCCTTAACCTTTTCCTAACCAAACAGTCAACAGGACAATTGCAGAAATGGAGTACGTGGACACCTCTTTATCCACTCCCAGAGCTATTATTCTTTACTAATGACGACTTTCAGGAAAACCTCCCACCTCCCTCCTACCCTCCAACCCTCAGACAATTACTATGATCTTGGCACCTATGAACGTCGAGTGACAACGAGCTCACCAGAGGCCCAGTTATGGTTTAATCGGGGTCTTGTATGGGCTTACTCCTTCAACCATGAAGAGTCCGTTCGCTGTTTCGAGAAAGCCGCCGTCTATGATCCCAACTGCGCTATGGCATTCTGGGGAATAGCATACTCGGCCGGTCCCAACTACAACAAGGCCTGGGTGCGATTTGATCGGAACGATTTGGAGCACTCCGTCCAGAGATCTAAGACCGCCTTGGGTCGCGCCTTGAGCCTTGCAGACCAGGCCTCTCCGGTTGAACGCGACGTGATCCGCGCTCTCGCTGCCCGGTTTCCGACCGCCGAAATCCCTACTAACCTCAAGACGTTGAATGATGCTTATGCAGAGGCCATGCGTCCGGTATACCATGCCTATCCCCGGGATCGAGATGTGATAGCGTTGTTTGTAGACGCTCTTATGTGTCGTCGGCCCCGAGACTTGTGGAACGTGGATACCGGCGAGCCCAGCGACCCTCTCACTGTCGAGGCTCGTACTGTCCTTGAATCAGGGCTAGCAAGACGCGACGGCTACGATCAGCCCGCCTTCTGTCATTTGTACATTCATCTCATGGAAATGTCTCCCTTCCCCGAAATAGCCTTACCTGCCGCGGACCGCCTACGCCATCTTGTTCCCGAAGCCTCCCATATGCTGCACATGGGGAGTCATATTGATATTGCAGTTGGGGATTATCGCCGAGTGGTATCGTCAAATCACGACGCCATGATCGCCGACGATAAGTATTTCTCGAGAGAGAAAGGGTCGATCCTTTACACGGCGTATCGAGCACACAACATCTATGCAAAGGTGTACGGAGCTATCATGTGCGGTCGGTTCAAAGATGCCATCTCAGCGGCGAGGCGACTACATGATATTCTGACTGTTGAGATTCTGTCAATCAAGAGCCCCCCAATGGCAGACTGGACCGAAGGTATTCTTTCGATTCTGCCGCATGTTCTGGTCCGGTTCGGTCGATGGGATGATGTCCTTAGCCTGGAGTTGCCGACCCACCGGGAGTTGTTCTGCTCCACCACCGCGATGATTTTGTATGCACGTGGGATTGCTCATAGTGTCCTAGGTCACATAGAGCAGGCCGAACGTGCCCAAAGCGAATTCGAAGCTGCCCGCTCCAAAGTGCCTGAAAGTCGTCTTAACAGCCTGCCGACCAAAGAAGTCGACGTGCTGAGAGTGGCTTCGGCCATGTTACAGGGAGAGCTTGAATACCGCAAGGGTAACATTGAGTCAGCTTTTTGCAGTCTTCGGAAAGCCGTTGAGCTTGAAGACGCAATTCCCTATTGCGACCCGCCAGCATGGATGCAACCCGTCCGTCATGCTCTCGGCGCATTGTTGTTGGAACAGAACCGGGTTGAAGAAGCTGAGCAGGCCTTCCGGGAAGATCTCGGTCTGAGTGAGACCTACCCTCGTCGACGAGCTCGGGTTAATAATGTCTGGGGTCTGCACGGGCTGTACGAGTGTTTTACACGGTCCGGCAAACATAAGGAGGCCATACTTCTTCGTAATCAACGGGACTTTGCACTGGCATCTGCGGACACCCCAATCACTGCATCGTGTTATTGTCGCTTATCGACCTGCGCGGATGAGACGACCTGCTGCTCAGCGTCAGCAAAATCGACCTTGTAAAATGTAGGAGGTTCATGCCCTTTCAGGCTCCAATGACTGATGGTACTGAGAAAGCCATTGTTATCCTCTATGCATGGCCATAAAGAAGCGATCCTTATCACTGGTGTTCATCATAGATTCAATTGATATAGTTTTAGCACAGCGGAGTTGCTATACTCGAAGATGACATCAACTTACAAAAAGAAGATCAAATGACTCTTTTAGCTTCGCAGCGAGTAAACCAGCACCCAAAAATAGATCTCAGCTCATTCCAAACTGCGTTCAATGACCCCATGACCCCCATGGTTCAAGATGCATTGGAACTAGCACATCAGCCTCCATCTGCCGGAACAAAAGTCGTTCACAATCTACGGCAGTAAATTGATCTTGATTTGTTGCTCAGTGAAAGTTTCAAAAGACAGATGTTGATCATCTCGAATGCAACAGAACACTCACGTCAGATCTTGAACATAGAGTAGAAAAAAGAACGGGTAGGCTAAGATATTTGGTATTCAATGCTGAGCTATCACTATCAAGCAACTTACTATATATGCCTCTATTCGCGATCACTAGAGACAGAGTGCTCAAAACGAAGACAGAAAAAATGAATGAAAGAAAGAAAGAAAGACGAAGAAGATGGAAGCAAAATGCGGACAACAGTAACAAACATGCTAGTCTATTTCCGCGCTTCGAGATTCGCTTTAATGGCTGGACAGAGTTAGAATAGATCATATTTCGAGAACAGTGACTTACCATCGCATGAAGTCTTCGCATCGCCGAATAACATCTTTGTTCCGGGCATGTAGAACATCGGGTTGGGTACGTCCGCTATCATTTGTCAGTATTCACCTCAACATAGATACTGGGTGATGTCCTCTCACCATATCCGCTAGACATTCCCCGTTTCATCACAATCACTTCCTTGCTCTTCCAGGCCTGCAGCACAGGCATGCCCGAGATTGGCGAATCCGGCTCCAAGGCGCTCGGGTTGACGGTGTCGTTAGCTCCGATGACTAGGGTCACGTCGGTATCGGAGAAATCGTCGTTGATCTCGTCCATTTCCAGAACGACTATTCTAATTAGCTTCATCCAATGGAAGGGCGACCTGTCACCCCAGAAGCGCGAGCCCAAGGGCCTACTTACTGTCATAAGGAACCGATGCCTCTGCGAGAAGCACGTTGCATTGTCCCGGCATACGCCCAGCGACCGGGTGAATTGCAAAGCGGACATTGATTCCTCTGGCACGCAACATATGCACTATCTCGGCGAGCGCATACTGTGCTTTGGCCACCGCCATGCCGTACCCAACGACCTATGCGGGTTAGTATGCGAATACCCTGCCAGGGATGGACATATGACATACAATGACGACGTTCTCTGCGTTCGACAACGTCTCGACCGTGTCATCAACAGTAGCCTGTGTGACTTGACCTTCGATCTTCTTTGCTTGCTGCGGTGCTGCGATTCCACCGAATAGCACGTTGGTGAGGGATCGGTTCATGGCGACGCACTGCCTAAATTAACACTGGGCCTTCACCAAATGTCTAGAATCTTACCATGATATAGGACAGAATTGAACCGCTAACTCCGATCAAGGAACCGACGCTCGTAAGAAGCGGGTTGTTCAGCATGAGTCCTTCAGCGACCAGGGCAAACCCGGAATACGCGTTGAGGACCGTGATGACGACGGCTAAACTTGTCAGTGTAGTTCTTTCAAGCTGGGCAGAAACATACGCATATCAGCTCCTCCAATGGCAGCTGTTGTAGTGTAACCCTTCAAAAAGCTGAGCGCTGTGTTCGCACCCAAGCATGTAGCGGCAATGACCGGATTTGCTGGAGCCATGGTTACAAAAGCACCCATAGTAGCTATATTGCCGCCCAGTAACGTTGAATTGATTACGTGTCGTCCGGGGAGAATAGTTGGCCGTGAAGACATCCGACCTGCCAGTTTCAGGAAAGCCACGATCGAACCAGTGAAGGTTACGCCGCCTACCAACGTTAGCACCTATCAAGTCATAGGACGGTGGACCTACCGATCAGAACGCCAAAATAGGCAGTTACCATATGTAGCGTAGAAATATGACTGATATCAGCTAGGACACTGCCGATGCTGGTAAGGACAGCAGCCAATCCCACCACCGAATGGAGAGCCGCGACTGTCTGAGGGAGCCCGGTCGGTGTGATGCGGCGTCCAATCAATGTTCCTGCACAAATGAGATACTGTCAAATACTCGGGTTCATGAACTTACCAACAAGTGCTCCTGTACCAGCAACAGCGCCGAATTGGGTCAATGTTTCGGGCGAAAAGCCCGCTGCCGCAAGAGAAGCCAGAATTCCAGACACCACACCCAGTATACCGAGTATGTTACCTCGGCGGGCGGTCTGCTGAGATGCAAGACCGGAAATGGAGCCTAATTATCTGTGAACAGCTGAATGCCCAAGATGGTGGTGCCACTTACCCATGCACAGCAGACTACTGACGAGATACCCAGCCTGTACTAAGCCAGCCATCCCAGTGCTGGCAGCGGCGAGGAACCCTCCACCGAAAACCACGGCGGGTATCGCATAGAGCCATGGATACTCAGGGGGATCGGTGGGACCTGACTGAGTGAGCAGATGAAAGAAACTAGAGCAGTTTTCTTACGCTTGAACATATCCAGCATGCGCTTGGTTATAACAAATCCTCCCGACACATTCATAAATGCCAATAGCACGGACGCTGCTCCAAGGCACTCCGGGATCGTGGTAGGAACATACCCGCCACCCATGATGAAGAAACCACCAATACCGACCATACCTAGAGCATATTAGCACTATTATGTCAATATGTAGGGAGAAGTCCCACCTGAGATTGCATTGGTGACGCTCATCAAAGGGGAATGAAGCGCCGGCGCAACACCCCACACAGCACGGTAGCCAACCAAACCAGCAAGGCCGAATGTCATCATGTTGCTCATAAAGACAGGACCGGTTGCTTTGCCTAGGGCGAGAGCAGATCCCAAGCTAGCTGTCACAGTGGTTACATCTCGCGTTGCCTTTTGCCAGGGGGTCAGAGCTACCACTGCCTGTTCCTTTGCCGGAGCTGCTTCAATTTTCGGGGCCGGCGGAGGGGCTGGGCGAGGCGCCGGGGGTAAGACTTCACCATTGAGTGTGACAATAGACCCGCGCACTACTTCATCGGTAAGGTCAATGCCAAACGACTTTTCCTGTGGCGCCATTGACAGAAGGTACTTGGTGACGTTGTTGGAGTACAAAGTAGAGGATTGCGTGGGTAAACGGGACGGGAAATCGGTATATCCTGTTCTGATTAGCATCAAACGCTAGGATATCTCGAGTTGCCGTACCAATAACAGTTACATCCTTGTATGTTGTCAGCTGTCCCGGAATCGTTGCTTCGCAGTTGCCACCGGCTTCTGCTGCAAGATCGACGACCACGGAGCCCGGTTTCATAGCAGCAATCATCTAACTTCCATGAGCATCGTGAATTCAAACAGACAATAACGGCCAAACCTCTTTTGTGATAAGCTTCGGAGCAGGCTTTCCAGGAATCAGGGCGGTCGTGATGATGATGTCCACTTCGCGGGCCTGTTCCATGAACAGCTTCATTTCCGCTTCGATGAATTCCTTGGACATTTCCTTGGCATATCCACCCTGCCCGGAACCATCCTCATGCATGTCTACTTCGATGAACTCGGCGCCTAGAGACTGGACTTGCTCACGGACTGCAGGACGAGTATCAAAACCACGAACAATCGCGCCTAGTCGACGGGCCTAGACGAGGTTGGTACTTGGCACAGATTTCAGAATCTACGGAGATCAACCTACCGAGGCAATGGCACTCAAGCCAGCTACACCAGCTCCAATGACTAAAACTTTACTGGGAGGGATCTTAACGTTTATGTTAGCAATGGCCAGTCACGACGGGGGAAGCACAACCTTGCTGGAAGCTGTCAGTTAGCACATTTTACCGACTACTGCAAAGATATGAGCTCACCCAGCAGCGGTTACTTGACCCGTCAAGAAACGACCGAAATGGTTCGAAGCTTCTAAAACAGCCTTGTATCCCGCAATGTTGGCCATGGAACTGCAGCATCCCCGTATTAGTAAATGTTTGCTCGCGATGGTGCTGTGCAACCTGCCTCAACGCATCAAATGTCTGTGCACGCGAGATCCGCGGAACCATATCCATCGCAAATGCGGTGACACCGCGCGACGCAAGGCTTTCCACTAGCGGCTTGTTCTGGGCGGGATACAAAAACGAGATGACGGTCGTGCCCTGACGGAGCGCGTTGATTTCGTTGACGGGGCCATCCTGTCGTGGACTGCGGACTTTCAAGACGATATCGCTCTCGGACCATATAGCAGATGGATCGACCAAGGTCGCTCCGGCTTCCTCGTATGCTTGATCAAGCAGCTGGGCTTCCTCGCCAGCACCACGCTCGACCAAAACGCGCGAGAAACCCTTCTTGCGCAACAGAGCGACATTCTGAGGTGTGAGGGCGACGCGACGTTCGTTCGGATATGTTTCTCGAGGCACGCCAACCGTGAGGGCAGAGTAGGGGACAGCGGGGACCGGCGAGGGAGAGGAAGCGCTGCTCGTGTGCCGTTTAGCGGTTAGGGGCTTCGGAAAGGAGATCGGTTCGCGATTATTGCGCTGGCTTCCCAGGTACGGCAAGTGAAGCTGAGTCACTATCGATCAGAGATTAAAGTTAGTGGGAACATCGCTCCATGGCTACCGGGCAAGATCCACCTACCTGGACGTTTTGAGAAAAGCGATTTTACTACGTGCGCGCTGGGAGCCGCCCGACACGCCCCCAGCGCTGACCGCAGGGAGAGCGGCACACTCATGACTGTAATGGCGAACCAAGCGACCGTACTCTTAAGACCTCATGCCAGGAGACTTTCAATTGCTTCAGGAAACTCAAGGGATGGCCTTGGCAACATACCACAGCAGAGACTCTGGAATGTCACGGATGGCGCGGTCGACAGACAGGGCTAGGAGAACGTTGAATGACCAGAGGATGATACCCGATCTATAAGAGGGGAAAGCGATAGGTACCAACACTAACGCGATTTGTTGTCCCTGCGCAGGACTAAATCGCAAAGAGAGGGGAACGGACAGAATCACTCCGAGACCAGCAAGGGGGAGGATGATCTTCCACGAGTCAGTCCGCGATCAACTATCAATGAGAAGGCATGGGGATCCTGCGCGCGATCGGATGGAACGGTGCCGCCAGCGATGTGAGTGTGACCAAGGCTGCCAAATGAGGGGAAATGCGGGGGTGGATCAGTGTCAAAGCATGGAGGATGAGGTGTGGTGCTTGGCGTCGGGCAGTGATCGTCGTCTACTCCGGGGATGAGGATGGATGGCATGTCGCATCGTTGGGATGGGATGATGTGGTCTCCTTTCTCCCGGCGGATCAGGTGATGATCCATGGGCAAGCAACCTGGAATGTCAGGCCGCGTTCTAGAAACAGGTAGAGTGCCGACTCCAGAGTATCCGTCGCACGGTTTACGGGTTGGTCGCATACGTCTTGTTCGGTTCAACACTGCATTCCTACCCTCGCAACCCCTGCTCTTGCAGCCCATGCATATGCACAGCCTTGTGAACCCCCTCCCCTCCCTCGTCCTGGATAGCCTGCGTGTTAATGCAGTAGGAATATGGGCTTTTCGTTTTTCCTCTTTTCATTAGTGAAAGTTGTAGATCTAGTGGCCACCACGGGGATGGGAAACAACCATAGAAATTAATGATGATTTGGATGCTGAAATTGAATCTGTTGTCTTGGGTTGATAATACGAGAATGGAGGCTTCTTGTCGATTTGTATATATGGAATGACTACGGAGGAGTCAGCAGTAGAAGCTTGGCCGTTTCTACCGCATAGACCTAATTCGGCCAGATACTGCCCTGATTGGGCGATCGTGAAGCCATATATCTTCCGAAAAAGGCAACTTTCTTATGATAACGATATTCACGAAATATTGGGCCAATACGGATATCCACCTTATACCGACTCCCAGCGTATCACTGAGTGTATATGATTATCTATAAGAGATACTTGGAGAATGAACTGGTAGGAACGATGAGCGCTATACTAGCTGCCTTCGCTAGACGTCAGAAGATCAACAATATCAATCATACTCTACACCTTTATCACTCGTACCCATCTACAAATGCCCTTGCCTCTCAGGCATTGCCTTGATACATATTTCAATCACATGCCAGCTACGACAAGTCATACAGTTTATAGCTTTATGACGGTTTCTTCTGGACATCTTGGCTCAGCCTTTGAGCAGACATTGTCTAATAGCTATCGAAAGGATGCATACGGCAAATACTAAGCTGCTTCGTAGCTTAGTCATTAATACCAGATAACTTGCTAGTCTACTTGTGCCCTGATTTTCCTCGTCGCTCCTAATACATGGGATGACTGTATCAATCGTCTCTTGATCGCGATACTCACCGGTTGTCATTCCACTCTAGGTTAAGAAAAGCCATTGCATGAAATACATATGATTGAACGAAAACAAGGAAGAAAAGCACCAATCCTCGACACGAGCATATCCAATTCCAATTCCAATTCCATACCGGAAGTAAAGACCGCACTGAAGCTAACCGAACCTCGCTTAGGCGCGGATGTCATCCACAACCAAGTAAGCACCGGTAAACCCGAGAACAAATGGTTAATGGATCAAGCAATTGAATCCTCGTCTCGAATGCCAATACATTGAATTATGGGTCGGGGAACCTGTCAATCACAATCTCAACCTCAGTGTCAAGTCAATGTCAGTCCCAGATAATATCGACTCGGCACTTTATCAGATCCGATCCGATCGGACCCATATATCCAGCCAAGTGCCGAAGGAAACTTCGCTTCGCAACCGTCGCTTAGACCGAGCTCGCTTATCTATACACGCCTCTCGATTCGCGGTGCAGAATCCACAGATACTGATAGACACGACGGAGTCGTCGGATGGAGCTCATGGATGTCAGCTCAGCTCAGCGGTTCATGCCGCGCGGCTGCCTAGTCCTAGGCACCTCTGGAGCCCAGCCAGAAAAGGCAATTAAAATCCAGATCGAGGGTTCACGAGATTAGCGAAGATGCGGAATGGCGGACAGGGCCGAGGATCGTACCCAGAGATGTTGGTGGGGTTGTCCGCAGCTGGTAGCCTGGTAGGTAACTAGGTATGGCTATCCCGGTGTGGGTGGATTTTAGAGAATAGATGAGGGTTTCCCGGTTACCTACCCTTACTTGATATTTATTTACTTGGCCACATGTTGAGATATTTTCTACCAAGAGGGCAGTTGCTCCGTAGGTAAATCTCGCAGTCATATAAACCACTCTGTATCTAATTACTAATTAATATATTAAACTCCCATCGCGTCGACCATCCTTTAGCGTCTCTACAAGTCGTATATGCCGTCTTGAAAACCCACTTCACGTCTACACGGGATTCAAATATCTACCGAGTTTAGGGAAGAATTCATCTAAGTTAATCTTTAGTATAGTAGACTTAGCAGATCTTATCCGGATTTTGTTTCCTGTGCAGATGGTTCATTTGAATGTATATTAAATACGAATGCCCCGTGTGGGGGTAGAGGCCTAGCTTTGGTGGTTGGTAATAGTATCTGAGTATACGAAGTAGAGCATGTTTGTGGTGTGGTTAGGGCCAAGCGACCTCTCCTTGGTGTTAAAAGCCTCAAGGGTATAAGTGCACGCTTTACGGAGTAGGTTCAGTCAAAGAGAATTCCAAATAAGGCACCCTTTCTACTCCATAGATCCAACCCATGCGATGATAGACATGTAAATAAGCAAAGTCGATCGATGAGGCTCAACCTACGCAAAGACGCGCACAGTTGCACACCACTCAAGGCGAGGGGAAAAAAAGGAAGAAAAGAACGAAAAAGGAAAGGCTCCAACGCACGAGTCAAGAGACCCGCAAAACGGGAGAAAATCTCCGAAGCTGGACGAGCCAACCAATCCATCCTTTCATCGCCTCAATCCTGTCTGGTAGGAGGCTAGTAGTGCAGCCTTGAGCTCTCAGCCGCGTGGGGATAATGTTTCCCGTGAATCTGCTTTGTCGATTCCGTTTCCGTTACAGACTGCTCAGGCTGAGCTCACAGTGGGAGCTGAATTGTGGAACGAACGGTACGATAAGAGTCAGATATGGAACTCGGTAAATGTGGATCAAACAGAACATACGAACAGATAAAACAAACACGGAGGGGACGCCAGGACGGACACGATCCCTCCCAGCCAGGATTTTCCAAGGATGAAAATCAGGAACCCGAAACCGCTTTGGCTGCGCACAAATCAGCATCCGCCGACGACGCTCTGAACCATGGTTCAGCAGTCAACTTGATGCATGGGAGATCCAGCACGGACTCCGCTTGACTCCGTGCGTCGGTTTTTTGGGTCCTGAGATTCGATTGCGAATTTGCGTTTCAGCTTCAGCTCCATACCTATTCGTATCTATTATGGAGTACTCCGGGAGGTGGTAGTTTCACATTAACCCGGTACCCAGGTTTGATGGCGAAGAAGTTTGGTTCTGCCGTTGATCTAGAGACGGGAACGAGCACGAAGAACACGAAGAAGAAGCCTAAGATGAAACAGGGGCAGGTCCGTTCTATCCAGTTCGAACTGTCGGACATTCCGGAATTCTCTAGACGAGGACTGGAAAATTCGTTCGAAAGTCAAAAGATGTGGGATTTAGGTTCTCACTGCATCTTACCATCCAGTATCCGTGCTGCATGGGTGTACGTGCGCTCAGCCCGCCCAGCCATCGGTTTATTGTATTCGTATCCGAGGTATCTATATGGAGTAGCTAAATCCTACGGAGTAAGCTGAGGCAGTGAGGTCTCGGAGTTGTTCGGTGCGATATTGACCACTACCGAACATGGTAATCCCCTAATCGCAGACTCCATCCGGCATCCGCTAACGACCCCATCCTACTCCATACTAAAGTGGCACTGGCAGCTCACCGCGGGTGAATTGATTAATTAACTAATTAATTAGAATTTGCATCTCCCGTCTCCTGTCTACTCGTAACAACCTACATTTTAGCTCCCGAGGTCATCTTATTGAATGAACATACGGTGAAGAATGGAAGAAAAGGGGAAGCAGGAAGTAATCTTCAGATTGATGGCAGCGATCCGCGCTGGCAGGGAATAATAATCCATTTTTTCTGGTCCGCGCCAGATCAGTAACCCTAACCCCAGTAAAACACAAAGTCTATATAATACACGAAAAGAAAGTCCCCGCGGGTCCACCTTGGGATTATTGGCTCAATGCAATTGAGTAGAAAGAGAGCAGAACGGAGCAGAATGACAAGACCGCCTATGACATGAAAGAAAAGAAATAAGACCATAGATAATGAAAGTATGAACCGGAATCCCATCCGATTGAACGCCGTGAAAGATCGCTGGACTCCGTAATAATACCGATTGCTTAAGACCGACTAAAAGGAAAAGAAATTAAGGAGAGAGACGAATTCCAATAATAAAACAGTGTAAGCTGGTAATAGCTTAGAGTAGTGAATGAGCATGTTTGTCGGGTTGACAGGTCTGCAATCGAAAGTGAAATTCGTGGCAGTGTCGTAATCAAGGAAATAAGATTAAGCATTAGGCGATTTTAAGGTCGACTTTCTCTTCGCGCGCAGAAATCCCATGAAGCTTTTCGTCGTTTGCTCCGGGCTGTCGACCTTCGGCTCTTTGAATAGTCGCAGGCTCTTCTTGCGTTGCAGTTTGCCCCGCTTGCCGTCCGTTTCGGCAACGTCGTTCGGGTCCAAGCTGCGAAGGCTGTCCACCTCGGAGCGAAGGCTGCTGGAAGAGTACATGCTCGATGAAGTCGAGCTCTTCATCAGAGAATTCCGAATCGGCAACGGGTTGCGGCTGCTGTGGCTTGCAGGCACGCTGGACACGCTGTAGGACGAGCTGGAGCGATGACGGGTGAAGTTGGGGCCAGAGTAGTAGTTTGATGCGGGGCTAGGGGTGCGAGAAGGAGGTCGGCTGTTCTGCGGCGACATCGAGTACTCGGAGCTAGCGGCGGATTGAGAGCAGGAGATGGGGCGAGCATAGAAGTTGTCGGGGGCAGGGAAGGTGGAATGGTGTCGTCCGTGGAAGAAAGGAAGGTTGGCGCTGCGAATGCTCTGAATCGACGGAGGTCGTCGCAGAGACTCGGTGGGTGCACGAGACCGTGTCGTGGGCTTGAACGAGGGCGCCTTCTCGGACACGGCAGTTTTCGGCCGTGAGAAAGTCATCGAGCGGGCCCGCAGCGACAGCGTGCTGGACGGTTCGGGCGACTGCGTGAGCTGTGGCGTCGGAAGCTCGTAAGAGGGACCCTCGAGATCCGTCGTGTTCAGACGCAGTCCGCTCTTTCTCGATCGTGCCTCTCCCTGAGCAGTACCTCCTTCATGGTTGAAACTGCTCAAGAACGGTTGTGATGAGGCGGCGGATTTGAGAGAATAGACACCTTCCCCATCCCCAAAGGGTTTGCTGTCACTGCTGCTGCTGCTGCTGTGACTAGGCTGAAGGGGAGCTGACTTCAACGCAGGGGGGATCGAATTCTCCGAGGTATGAGACGATTCCGTCGGACTGATTAGGATTATATTAGGTTTGGCACAAGGTTCCACGTAGGTGACCTGCTCCGCTACGAGCAGGTCTGTATTATCATCTTCCGAGTAGATGGAAGACGAGGAAGAACGTCTCGACGAGGCGGGAGACTCGGGAGGGACGTAAACATTAGGTTGAAGAAAGACGGGCGAGTGGAGAGGCGAGGTGGAATCGGGAGACGGCAGCTCGATGATTACGTCGTCGTCGTGATCGAAGATGTACGAGTCTGCCACGAAGGTGGTGCTGCTACTGCGCTTGACGGTATCCATCGAAACGGGTCGCGAAGCTTTCTCGGTGGTGGTCGACAATGGGGACAGGAGACAGGCCATATTCGATTCGGCGGGGTCAGCATTCGAGAGTTCGTCGGCGCTGGCGTCGGAATCGCGGGCCTTGTAGGATTCCACGGGCGAGAAGGCGTTTTCCTGACCACCCAACTCTGGTTCGGAAATGTCTTCCTCGTCTGACTCGTATCGGCGGGGGAGATGTTGCTGCTTGATGTAGGGAAGCTGGAGGGAATTGGCGGGTTCGTACATGATTGACCACGGAGATGAAAGCACCCGGTGCTAAGGGCCAATGTTGAATAGGGGCGGGGGGGAGAAGAGGGTGTGGTGTCAGACAGGCAAGGTCGATCAAACAAATCGATTGCAGTTCACGAGTGGTCAAAAGGGAATTAAAGGAAGTCGGGCGTGGTAGGGAAGTAGTAAGCTGATGCGATGGCCCCCAGACGAACCGGGGAATTTCATGCACTATGACCAAGGGGAAGGGGGGGCGGAAGAGTAGAAGGATGGAAGAAGGAAAGGAAAAGGGCAAGATATGAATGAAATATAGGATAGGCAGACCGGATGATGATGGCGTACTTGAGAACGGCAAGGCGGCCTGCTTTTTCTTTTTCTTTTTCTTTTTCCATTTTTTGCTTCATCCTTTTTCTCAAGGCCCACACGGGCTGGCATGCTAAAGGAGTGGAGCCCAGGAAGGAGGGAGGAAAATGGCATGAACAAGAGTGACGGGAATGAGAAACGAATATCGGATCGGCGTCATTCAAACTGGAGAAGGACGGACCACATTGGGTCGATCCACCGGGAACTTGTGTCAGAGACGGTGGGACACGTGCCTTGACCGTCTTTACAGACTTGTCTTTAGTCTTTACACTTACGAGTTACTGCGGTGTACTGGGCTAGCTGCGTGCCTTGCCTGGCTGCAGCTACAGGTGGACCGGTGCTTCAGAAATATCAACCCTTGCCGATGAACGTACACCGTGTAGATAGTGTATTCCGGTGTATTCACTACTGTACTCGGCATTCGGCTGGATCCGAAAGGACCGAGTGATCTATCAACTATCCAGGTCGAGGTCAGTGCATTCCGTGATTTCTCCTGGGTTGAGATTGGATTGGCATGACTCCTGGGAATGAAGTGAAATGTCGGTCATGAAGGGTCAAAGGGGAAGGCAATAATTAAGAAGAAAAAAGTAGAAAACCGGTGAAAAGTGGAAACGACCTAAAAAGAAGGCCAGGATTACGCCGAAATACGGGGGTATCGCCGTACTGCCAAGCCTGGTTGGGGCCATCCAGAAATAGTATCGATTTGTTATTTGATTCTGAATGACCATATGGAATGTCTGTTGGCTGTCTTCAAACACGGTGTACAACTTTCTCTCTGTCTACAATTGCCAGTGATTGCCATGGTCCAACCTCAAACCAGCCCCCGTATTCCTCCACGACCGAAAATCCAAATCCAACGGGACGAACAGAGCGTTAAGCAGCGACTCCACCGCTGTAAAATCCGGTGGATCCGATCTTTTTTTCCTCTTTTTTTCCGTTCTCTTCGACCTCATCGCAAGGCTGTGTTTGTTGTCCTTCCAAATCAAGATTCCCTGGCCTTATCCACAAATAATACCCCAATTCCCCTCGACGCGAAAGTTCCTGACTGCACACTGATTCAGTGGACAATGGCGGAAATATTCACTCCCTATCGTTAGTCAATTCCTCCAATTTTAATAAATTAAAAACAAAAAAAAAACCAACCTCCCACCACCAGCAAAGTTGCCAAGATGGCCGCCGCTGCTCCAACACGGTGGAGCAAGTATAACTCAAACACACCATCCGCCATGGAAGCGAACTATCTTCCCGTCTGGAGTTCATCCCGGAGTTTGAGAGACAGACATGAAAAACTCTTTTTCTCTCTTCGATCATCTCACGTAGAAACGAATTCATCCGAGCGATTAGGGGGAAATCCCACCCAATCCAATCGTCCCACTCCCATCCCCTGCAGACTCGCGACTCACGCCCTTGCAGCCGCCCCCAAAAAAGACGCGATGTTACCTGCTTGTGGTGCCTGACTATCCTCCGCGGGTACCTGGATTAGTTTACTCTGGCGAGGCGTTGCTGACTGTGTCCTTTTTTTCTGGTGTGTGACTCTGTGTGACTGACTGACTGTGTTGGTTTAATCTCTTGAGGACTCGGATTCTCCCCCACAATTCTTTCGGGTGGAATATCCGAATGGGCGGTTTCACTTTCATTTGTTCCTGATTAGTGCAATCTGGTTCTATTTTCTTCCTCCGAGGATAGGGGTAGGGGCTGTGTTATGCTCATTATCTGTGTACACTACAGTGGCACTGTAGTAATTATTTGTTTGTTTATTTGTTTATTTTGTTTATCTCGTTCAGCTCCTCTACCTTCTGTACATCGTACTGTAATCTCTAACGGATAGCATCGGATCAAAGCACAGATACGTCATGAGGTCATCCGTCACTCGATCACCACGCTAGCCACGCTAATTTCTCGTAAGGAGGGACCGGAGGCTGGCGATGGTCGTTAAATTTCGACCATGAAGCAATGACACCGACAGGGTAAACCTTGACGACCGTCGGCGGCGAAGAGTAACATAATCCCGACGGCCGGTTCGCCCGTTGAAGAGGGGGAACGACGCTGCAGGAACGCGCCGGTTGCAGTGTGAAACGACCTCGAGCTGCATGGGCCAGGGGATCGCTGCGCTGGCTTGCTTGTTTCGGTTGCGCCTGCGTCGATGCGAAATGCGGGATGGATAATTGAATTTTTTATGGATAATTTTCGTTCACCCCTCGCTTGAAAAAGGGAAAATCATGACCATGAATACGGAGGATATTGTGGACATGTGGCTGGACGAGTCAATTGCTTGGTCTACGTCTGGCTCGAGTCGACACATGGATCCGGCAGCGGAGGACAGCATGAATGTACTGTATGCGGCCTGCAAACAGCTGGCTGGCAAACTGTATGTGCCCTCATACATTTACATGCATATCTGCGCATCCATCCAGCACAATCAACCTGCCTCGGGGCCACTTTTGCCCCTCACCAGGATTATTCTTCTGTCGATTGGTTGAGTAGTGACCAGCCTACGATATTTGCAGATGCGGAGGTTATCCAAAGCATACAAACTGACGAGATGCCATTTTGACTTTACCTGCCGTGATAAATTTAGGTCGAAGTTGCCAACCTGCCTGATAGCGATATCGCAATATGATACGCTATGACCCCCCGGTCTGTGCTTCGCTCAATGCAATGTATCACCTGCACCGCGACATCGTGGCGTCCACGACTAACCACTCGGGAATGGTCGTGACCAGCCTTCGGTCTGCTTTGCCTTCTTCCCTTGCCTTGCCTGAGCTTCCCCAGATGGTCTGGGCGAACATGGGCGTGGACATGAAACTAAGTTTTCGCTATCGATAGGTCGAGCGTAGCTTCTCCGAAGGCCTATAGAACTGGGCAGATAAAGCACGGGATACATTCATACCTAATCGAGGATTGGGAATGGATTTGACTTTCCCAGCTTGTCTCTACATCAGCATTAGGGGTAGGGGACGGGGTGTGCATTCTCTCCCCTCCGCTCCCCTCTATCGGTCCCTACAATCCCTCCCCTCTTTTCTCCCCTCATTGTTGACTCGACTTGGCTTCATCCACCACTAAACCTACATACCTACCCACCTATGTACATGCACACACAAACACACATTTGGCCCCTCTTTGCCACCACCTCTACTTAATCCTTGTAACTACATATTTTGTGCCTGACGATGACGATGCTGACGATGACAATTGCCATGCCCCCATCAGAGGATTGGATTCCCGTCTCCCTTCCCCTCATGTTGGTCCTTCATAGCTCGCGCGCTACCTCCTCATTGCGTTTCAAGTTTCAAGTCCCGTGCTATATCGGGCTGCGATCCTTCGGCCGACCTTGCTCCTTACGGAATATTCTCTTTATCCTTTATTATTAGGTAGTTACAAGTACGGTAGTTAGAGATCGATAGATATCCGGGGGCTCTGTCCAATAATTACTAGCAGCCACGTAATCTATCTTGATCAAGTCACTTGAAGAGGCAGGGTAGAATACACCGTATATACTTTGATGTGGGGAAGGATAATACGCAGAACTATTGAATGTTCAAAATATATAATGCGAACAGACCTGACCACCGCCGACCGCTCCCACATGATATGATCTGAATGAGTTGATATGATGCGACACATCAGGTCGAGTCTCCGGAAGAAGCAATGGGCGCGCGTACATTGAATAGGATTATGCGTAGGAATACATAATGAGCACGGATACAGGGTAGGTACTACTCCGTATAGGCTCTAAAAATGGACCTTATTATCTAATTGTTAACGATTTCGGTTTCTCACATCATGAGTGCATATATCCTACATACACTTATGTACTGTACATGTATTTATATGGAGTATGTAGAGATACATAAAATGGTTACTGTACATATCATGCAAGCACCATCAACCTGCAAGCAGTGGCAAACTGCACCCCGGGCAGAGAATTAAACCCGAGCCAAGACGGAGGAAGATTCAGATGTTACAGCGGTATCTGCACTAATGATGCAGGAGGACGCCACAGAGGGAGGGGAAGATGGACGGATGGTCATGAGGAAATGTGACAGGATGACAGGTCCACAGAGATCGAATTGGCGAACCACTCAGGGGAAGGAGCCGAGAATTATGTACACCATGTATGTATGTACAGTATGTATTTGTGTCTGTATCTGTACGATGGATTTTTATATTTTTATTCTCCATTCCCCATGGCTACTGATTGTTAAGAAGGGGTACGGAGTATGGCATGATTATTGAAAGAATATGGAGGTGGAGCTGGGAGTATCCGTAGACTAATATTAGCCTACCTAATCCATAAAAAGGGAGAGGGGAGAGGGATGAATAATCGAATGTCAGAAAAAGTGGACAAACAATTCAATAAAATAATATCGATACACGCCAATGGACGAACAGGGATTAAAACAGGCTTTCCCTGATTACGGGGTCCGCTCTCACTGGTCCGGAGGAGTGCCGGATTGACACTTCTTCATGCCAGGCATCTCTAGTCTGAAAAGTCTTCATTTCACAATTTGAACAGCACACCTTCGCTACATATTTTGTACCTTCATACTTTAACTTCAGGGACTGAAGGAGTCGCGCGTTATGTAGAACATCGGTTGTGAACTTCCTACATATCTAGGGCAGCGAGAGTGTTCCCTCCATACCAAGGAGGACGGGAGGATCGGGAATGTTGAATGTCTCTCATCGCGCGCCTGACAGGCGATCTGCATGCCGGAAGGACTTGGATTTTCTTTTTTCCTAGGATCGTTAACTTTGAACTGAACCTTCAACTTACGCAGTAGAGTTAGGATGTACGGAGTAGATATCCATAATGTAAATCAACCGAACTGGGTCGGCCGAGCACCCCTTCATCCCCGGCTGTGCCTTCAATTGATTACTAGAACTCCTGAAGGATCTTTCTTCACAGCGCCGAACCCCGAGCCGTTACGCTACTTCCTTTCCGGGCTCCCTGGATGGAAAGTGGACGGTTGGATAAATCAGGAACGAACTACTGTAGAGCGTAGATGCCGGCATTACTAGTCTCTTCTGTTGTCTCCATTTTCCGTCGCTCTTTTGGTGAACGCCAGACCGACTTTTCAAGGCAGATTCAGCAGGATAAATATCCAATTATCGTACGGAGTACTCTGTCAGAGAAAGGCTAACTTAAGCCAAGGATGAACGCAAAAACAAATAATCAAGCAGAGAACAAGAATTCCATGAAGAAAGTCCCGGCCGAATGCAGTAACCCCTAATGCGACCTGGAAACAATAGCCCGCCAACGAAAAAGAAAATCCCGTTGATCTTCAACGCCGGTGGAGTCTTTCAACGTCCTCCCGTCAGACTGCAAGTCGAGTCGGCCGTCGGCGGTGGGAATGGAGAAAATGTCATATCATCTTTCCTTGGACTCTTTATCCACTTGGTTTTCTTAGCTATTTTGTTCACCTCTTTGGGGTTGTTAGTTTCCACGCTACGGAGAATTTTTTTCGTTGGGGTTTTGGGAGGGTCTTTGGTGTCCTCAGTTCTTCCGCTCTCAATGTCCCAAATGATGAAAATCTCAAAGACCATCCGCACTCCATATGGATTAGCTCTCCGTATACCTGACTAATATGGATAAACTGATATTCCAAGTGGAGGACGCTGGAAATGGATCAGAGTCAAGGTCTCACCTGACCCTGGACATGGCCAATCCGGGCACCTCGAAATGAAAGGTGGACGCCCGAAGGCCCCGAAGAGTTTGCACATTTTTTAACTACCTGCGTTGAAATAACTAGCTATCCCTAGCTAACTCCTTTGAGCACCAGCGCCGTAACTAAATGGGGCCGCCGGGTCTCCAGTTTTCTTTCTTCCGGATGTCCACCTTAGGATATCTCCGGAGGAGAGGTTATTGGTATTTGCTATCCGCCGCTAGCTGAGTGGACAAGAGACATCGAGTTTTTGGTTAGCTTGTTTGTTGAGCAGAGACCTTGTCAACTTGTCCTCTTCTGCTCTAATGGCCATTCGATGTGGGCATACGGTGTGCGCAGTATAACTCGCTAATATTTTAGCTACATAAGTGTGAAAATTTGCTCCGTTGTGGGCCGTGACATTCTCCCAAACCCCATACGGAGTATGCTCTCAGTTACGGTGGGACTACGAGCGGTCGGTCTTTTTATAGTAGTACCTTGACATCATGCCATTGATGCTTCCGAGAGGATTAAGACTACGCACTCCGTATGTATGAGCTTGAGATCGAATGATTCTAGCATCACTCATCCGTTCTCCGGTTAGATTGACTGGAGACCGGAGAATGGAGAGCTAGGCATTTCGCCGTTAGGGGCGCTCCTTAGTGTAACGGTTTTTATGCATGTTGCTCATTGTGGGTTGTGCATCCAGGAACGAGAGATGTTAAATTCAAGGTGTGCTTGATAATCCGTGATCTATACGACGTCGGATGCCTCATCGTACTTAGCATGCCTGATCCTGTTCACGACAAAAAACTGCCAATGCTGTTACCTAACCGTTCATGCCATCAAATCGCCGAAATGCTCAGTTCGCAGGGACAAGGTCTCCATCAGATGCCTGCACCTGTCATTATTAGGCAGCCAGGCAGCGAGGCAACCAGACCCGCACATGCAGCCACCAAGGCTAACACATTTCCGTACAAAGGGTCAAATCAACTCAGGTCTCTCATATGAGAGGTCGTTGCGGTGGTCGCATACCACTCTGCTCGAGCACCTTGAAATCAGACCCTAAGGAATCGAGACTGCTAAGCCGAGTCACGAATCTTGTAGCATTTACTATCATTTTCCAGCATCCCAATCTTCTACGACTGTCACAGAAACTGTAGCTCGATATGGGCCCTGTGGCAGGAGCTCTTACATGAGTGCTCTGAGAGTCGTAAACTTCTGGTGCATTATCTTGCCACTGGACGTCTAGCAAAAGTCCATGTCTGAGTCGGGGTTGGTTCGGGACTGGCAGGGGACTCAACCGAAATCAGGGTGAGCCTACAAGCAAGCCAACAAACTATTCGATGTGCTAACTATCGTATTGCTGACTTCGGGCTCAAACATGTCCAAATTCCCTAAAGCATAAATATTCCGAGACGGCAATCACTGCACAGGCGGTGCTTAAGAAACAATTACATGTTCTGGTGGGCTGTTCAAGGCTGAAGGGACTGCGGAGGGAATTGAAGACAAAGATCAGGGACGCTTTTACTAGCGTGTCGAGTATACTGGGAGGCACAAGAGACAGTAAGAGGTAAACCAGACAGCGTATCGCGTGCTAGGACGATCGAGGCAGTGCTAGACTCCGCCGAGGCGTCGCGACGTGTTTGAAGTTGCGTGCTACATGGGCAGTCTAACAATACAACCGGCAATTAGGCCACTACAGACCTCAGTAAGGCTATAAGTTCGTTTCCAGATAGTGTTACAACCTAGATGGACACATGCAAATATATCTAGCTGTCATAGCCTGCATGTTGCTTAGGCGAGGGACTGGGGTAAATGAAGTCATTTATCCGTGTGTACGAAAGTCTTGTGCTTCTAAACTTGAAGCTTCGTGAGTTACCCTCTTGACGACATCTATGATATGACTAAATTTGGATAGTTCAGAGCCGGAAACATTCAAAAGACATGCCAGAAGGCGTTGGAATGCCTATATCGTATACATTTTTGGCCCGGAGCTTTGCTCGCCCTTTTGACAATGGGGTTGTCAGGATGAAGATACATTATCCTGCCAATGGGTGGTTTTTTGACGTTTTGCCTGCGTCGTTCACCACAAACGCCTTAATGTGACATAAAGCCATCTTGTTGACGGTCAGGTATGCAGGTCTATAGGTGCTCAATACTCCAAATTTTTGGATCGACCTCCAGCTCTTGTGATATTCGCGCATGGATAATACCTTCATACTATTTCCCACCCGATCACAAAAGAATGGTGATAGGGAGAGACTGCGCAGCATTGGCTGATACTGCATGGTCACCACGATCATACGCCAGTATGGACTCATACATCGGGAATCCAGATGGTCGATCTGTCAAGCTGATTTTGAAGGCAATCAAGGACCTCAAACGGCAAATTATAGAATATCACTTCGGCGACAAAATCCGCAAATCACCGGATCACAGGACAGCCTTTGTTTGTGCTAGGTCGCCCCCAAAATCCATTTCATTCACTCTGAAACTTCACTTCACCTCACTTCGTCTTCTACACCTCACTCTCTACCTCACGTTACCTATTGTTTCCATCAAGTGCTTCGAGCTTCTTCCGTTCCAACGTCCATACCACTTTCAAGGTCTCCTACAGATTCCTTGAACGATGCCTGACAACGATAATTCCAGAGCGGAGCCTCAGGTTGCCCCGACCGTCGACAAGGCGCCTAAAGCTATCATTTGCTTGCTATTCGTCTCCCCAGAATGGTACCTCTTCGCGAAGTGTATAGCGTTATGCGAGTAGATCAGAAATGATTTCGCAAGCCAGAAGTAAGCTCTGGACTGCGGATATGCAGTGGGACGAAAAGGACACTACAAAGTGGCTGTTCAGCGGAGGCCAGGACGATCCTGCTACTAAACTCCCTCCGAGATATACCAAGCTCACCGACTTACAAGTCGCCCGCATGCTATAAAAGGATGTTGCTGTAAGTAATAATAAGAACAGGGACCTTTGACAGATGGAGTAGGTTGGAAGGTGAGGCCGCTTTCCGGAGACGCGACTTCTGATGATTTACGCCAAACACGAAAGGCGCCCTTGTCGCGCGCCCCCACCCAGCTGAAAAACCCCCGTCGATCCATAGGTAAGTCCAGTCTCATCTTGGGTACTACGTGTCTCTCATCTAAAGAACGAACCCGTCAATCTCTAAAAAAGTGTTTCGATAAACTAAATGATGTCTTTTAGGAAGCATACGGTGTCAATTCATATAGCGATTGCCTGGGGCCAAATACCTACAAATACCTACTGATTACTACTGCTCTTACTCCAAATATAGCCTTGTTGCCTTCATGCAAGACAGGTCACAGATGAAGTGTTCGGCAGGGGTCATTTTTACCCCACTGCGAACATGCCCAGCGCCTAGATAATCACATACGTTTTGCAGGGTTCCCACTTCCTCTCTATCAACTTCCCACACATCTCTTATCCTTCTTTGGTATTGAAAAAGATGGCACGGATTTCAGCATATGTGGACCGCGTGTTTCGAAGGTCGAAAAAGAGCAAAGGAACCGCAAATGAACGATCAACTGGGGTTGACCAGCCTGGTATCACTACGACGAGCCCCGGAGACGCGCCCCTGCCCGCTATGACGGTCTTTCCTGGCCCTGAGAACAATACCAGGACGCAGTTGCCAGCCGAGTCAGTCACGACCCCCAATTCGCCAACAACTTCGATCACACTTGAGCAAACAACGACTAAGCCGCCAATGGTGGAAGAAAATGCCGACCGAGAGGTCCAGGTGGACCCTTGGACCCGGGCCTTTGAATTGTTCCAAGAAAGAACTGACGATCAAGAGCTCGTGTCCGCATACACAGACCACCTAGGCTTTGTACAAGGCGATGGTAGTGCTGGACCGGATCTTTCGCGCAAAAGTTCTGTCGAAACCGTCGTGGAGAAACTTCTGGAGGATCGAGATCAAAAGCAGTGGAAGATTACAATCATGGACCGCGACATCAAGATACGATCACAACTTGAGAAACTTGCGAAATTCCTCAGTTGGTCTGATCCGGTCGTGAAGAGTGCTGTCAGTACTCAACCATATGCGGCGCTTGCATGGTCCGGCGTATCCTTAATTCTGCCTGTACGTCACTCTGCCCTTCTCTGCAAGCCCCGACTGACTTCGAAAGCTCTTAACCAGTGGCGTCACACAAAACGCAGATATGCTGGAGGGGTTCAACAACACTGGGGACCTCCAGATGTATTGGCAAGTTTGCGAGCAGGAATATCTTGACCCAGGGCATCGACAACATTACCTGTCTCTCAATGAGCCTCTAGCCAAGCTCTATTCATACATAATTGAATACCACGCTCAAGTCATACGCCATCTGGCCAGTAGCCAAGCCTCCCGTGCATGGACGGATATAAAAGAGTCAGCTGGTTGGTCCGAACTTACAGGAAAAATCAACAACTTGGACGAGTATTGCCGCACTCGCTTTATTCCTATCGGTCAACGGTCTGAAAATTGGACAAACATGGAACGCCAGCTAGAAGAACTCCGTCGATCACGCGTCACCGGTGAAGGAATCCTCCATCACATGGTGGAAGATCGAAAAGACAAAGAGGAAGGAAGGTTACTTAATGACTTGGCCCGTGCTGCTGGTGATTACACACGATACAAGGACATCAATCCGGAAAGAGTTCCTGGAACCTGTGAGTGGTTTCTAAAGGATCAGCGATTTTCCAAGTGGCGCAGTAGTAGCTCAGATCTTCTCTGGGTCTCTGCGGGCCCTGGGTGCGGCAAGTCTGTCTTGTCAAAAACCCTGGTTGACGAAGGACATCTAAATCCACTCACTACGATTATCATCACGCCATCTTCCATGATACCTGACCCACAACCCGTAGTGGCTTACTTCTTTTTCAAAGAAGGTGGAGAGGGGAAGATGGACTGCGCCCATGCACTATGTGCACTACTACACCAGATTTTTATCTTTCCGTCTACCTCAGGAACAATCCGACGTGCACTTCCAACCCACAAAGCAAATGGTGGAACTTTAACTATGAAGCTTTCCGAGCTATGGCAAATCCTAGTAGATTGCGCAACAACCTCAGAAGGCAGCGAAATCATCTGCGTCCTGGATGCTCTGGATGAATGTGAAACGAGTAGCAGGGCCTGGATCCTACATAACCTGGAGAAGTTCTATTCCAACGAAGAGATGCGGTCAAAGCCGAAGCTCAAATTCCTGATCACAAGTCGTCCCTATGAAGATTTGAAATACTCATTCGAGAATTTCCCAAAGAACGCAGCATACATGCGCCTTGACGGCGATGAAAAGTCAGACCAGATCCGTGAGGAGATAGATCTCGTCATTGACGCCAAAGTTGAATTCCTGACCAGAAAATTCGAAAATCAGTTCAATGCCGCTGAAAAGATTAAGACGCGACTCAAAAGCATGGAGCATCGCACCTACCTTTGGTTATACCTTACACTCAATTATATTGAAGAACGACCTGCTATGTATTCCAAAACTTCATCTGTGGAAAAGCTACTGTCCCATTTGCCCAGTAGCGTTGCTGATGCCTATGAGAGAATGTTGAGTCGATATGGCGGTGAGCCAGTAAAGAGAATTCTTCTTCATCTTGTTCTCGCTGCTGAAAGGCCTCTTACCCTACTTGAAGCAAACGTTGCGTTGACCCTCGCTCTCCGAGAACAAAGAATGGAATCACATGCTGATGTCATTGATCAAACCTGGTCACACTCAGCTTTCGAGGATGTCGTCAAACAATATTGCGGCCTCTTCATCAGCATACACGACTCGAAGCTCTCATTTATTCATCAGACAGCAAGGGAATTTCTTCTTACCAAGCGAGAAGGAGGGGATATGGATTGGGGAGGCAGCTTCAACCTCCAGCAGTCTCACGAAAAGATGTCACAAGTGTGCCTCGATTACTTGTTTTTCCCTGACATCGGAGGGTATGAAGTCAATCTCTATGCCAAGTTCTATCCATTTCTTGACTACTCAGGTAACTACTGGACGTCGCATACTGTTAAGCATGGACAGGTCCTCTCTGGTAACAACCTGAATCGCGTGCGCATGCTTTGTGATCCTGGCACCCGTCCTCTAAAAATTTGGACCTTTGCTTATACCAGGCACTATCCATATTACGACTATAAAGACTGGACCTCTCTAGGTTTTGCAGCTTTTCTCGGAATAAACCAAATTGCACAGTTACTGCTAGGAGAGGGGGCTGAAGTCAACGAAGGACGCGATACACCAATCCAGATAGCCTCGGCAAAGGGCCATGAAGGTATGGTTCAGATGCTACTGGAAAAGGGAGCTGATATTAGTAGTAGAGGTTCAAGATATACCACAGCGCTTGGACTTGCATCATCAGCGGGCCACCTACGCATCGTCGAGATGCTACTTGAATATGGGGCTCATATTGATGGCTATGATGTAGATGGAGATTGTGGAACAGCACTCCAGCAAGCAGCAGAAGTTGGGAATTTGGAAATTGTTGAGTCATTGCTTAAGCACACTGCTGATGTTGATTTACACAGTAGATGGTGTTCCTCGGCACTCCGTGCAGCGTCATACGGAGGTTACAAACAAATTGTTGATGTCTTACTTACGTACGAAGTCGATGTTAATTTTCAAAGTCTAGATGGCAGAACAGCTCTCATGTCCGCATCAAATGGAGGCCATCAAGAGATTGTTCAGACATTGCTTTCCCATGGAGCCGATGTTCATATCAAGGATAAATGGAATGGTACGGCACTCCAAGATGCCTTGAGAGGAGGTCATCAACAGATTATTGAAATGCTACTCCCCCGAGAATCCGATATCAATACTCAAGATGGAAGTTATGACTCAGCACTCGAGGCAGCCTCGGTAAGCGGTCATCAACAGATTGTCCAGTTGCTACTTGCCCGTGGAGCCAACCCTAATGCCGAAGTTGGATTCTGGGGCTCAGCAGTCAATGCAGCATCAGCTAGGGGCCATCAACAAATTGTCCAAATACTACTGAGTCAAGGGGCCAACCCTAATTCTGTATCTGGAGAATATGGTACACCACTTCAATTAGCGTCAAGCAGTGGTCATAAAGAGGTTGTTGAAACATTAATCAATCATGGAGCCAAGGTTAACTTCCCAAGTGGGCGAGGCACGGCACTTCAGGAAGCGTCAGGCAGGGGTCATCAACAGGTTGTCGAAACATTACTCAGTCATGGAGCCGATGTCAATCTTCAAGAAGATAATTGTACAGCACTCTATGCAGCCGCAGATTACGGTCACGATAAAGTCGTTAAGATACTACTTGATCAGGGTGCCGATGTGGATACTGCTTGGTATAGCAGCACAGCGTTGCATGCAGCATCAAGCAATGGGCATCAGAAAGTGGTAGAGTTACTTCTCAATCACGGAGCTGGTATAGAAACCGCTCAATTTGGCGAAACGCCACTCTACGCAGCATCAAGAAGTGGGCATCTCGGAGTTGTAGAAATACTTCTTGACCGTGGAGCTGCTGTGAATCCTAACAATTCATCATATTACATAGCACTCCACGCAGCCGCAGAATTTGAACACATGCAAGTTGTTGAGATACTGCTTGATCATGGTGCTGATATCAATGCCACTGCATCTGATGGAACAGCGCTCTGGATGGCAGCAAAGAATGGGGATGAAGAAGTTGTTCAGATACTGCTGGATAAAGGAGCTAGCACCAATGCTGTTTCTGAATCCTCCACGACAGCACTCTATGAAGCATCGAGAAATTGGGACCAAAAGGTTGTGGAAATCCTTCTTGAGCATGGGGCTGCTACAGAACCTGAAGACCTATGCAATGGTATTGCACTTCACGCAGCAGCAGAGACTGGGCATTTTCGAATCGTTGAGATACTTCTTGACCATAAAGCCAACCCCAAATTCCAAGATGAAGATGGCCATACAGCACTCCATAAAGCTGCAGAAAACGGTTATGAGAGAATCGTTGGCATCCTGCTCGAAAAAGGTGCCAGTGTTGGCATTCAAGACAATGACGACCGCACGGCACTCCAGTTGGCGGCGGAAAATGGGCATCAAAATGTTGTTGAGATCCTCGAGAAGCATGTCAAGCCTGGTGGGAAGCTCAGCTCTGTTGTAAATTGATCTTGACTGAATGGAATGCAAATTCTGGGCAATGTTGTTGAATTCACTCCTCGATTCAGCATAAGTTAAGGTGGGTTGCGTTCGAAGAATCTGGGCGACTAGTCTGAATGTACGAGATTTTACACCAAGTCCAGGCGAATCGTTTGTAATTCGCAGGAATCTATTGTCGTGACATCCACGCCAGTTTCTTTGGTATATCGAGTCACATGAGGAATCAGGCTATGGCTCCGATAATGCTTCCGCGAGACCAATCGACTAGGTATTCTGAGTCGCACCTTCGGCTTTTGTACGCAGCAGCGTTATGTAAACCCTACTGTGCATCGAACCTATCCCCCGTGGTCCTTTAAATCCCAGCCTAAGCTCATCAAGATCATCTCGAGACATCATAGATAGTTAGAAGTGTATCTTCATTCCCCAGGCGCCTCCGTCAAGGTGACTCTTGTTTGCGGTCTTATATTCTACACATTTCCGCATTTGCTCCACGACCCGAAGCAGGCTAGTTGGCAAATAGATCAGGGATGAGACTACTTGAATGTACTCTCGTCGAGAATCTACCTAGATTTACCCTTCTAGACGGCATGTCCGATCAGTTGATTGCCCGGCTCGATGTCCAGGCTATAGTCTTGTATCCCGTATGCCTAATAAAAGCAGCTTATACGTACTCGACTATAGCTACCATGATTGGAAAGTAGTGGCCGATGTTCCCTCATGACCTAAATAAAGTAAAACTAAGTGACAGAGCGCTGATAAACAGCTAGTACAATGCAACTCTATACCTCCTGCAACCAGCATACGTTGATCGTATACTCCGTACGACGGATACTTCCAGATATAGAGTAAAGACGAATATAGATAAGATAATGCAATGAATTGATTTTATATACAACAATAATGTATGAGTTCCCATATAGTCACATAGCCATGATTACATTAGGGGGCATCTATGAATATTTCACTAACACAAGAATCAAAAAGAAGAGTCAAAAGGGAACTGCCACCGGCAGAACCAAGAAGAAAGCAATAATAGAAAAAAAAAAAAAAGTAGAATACAGACTGGATGAGGTCGAACGGGCATAACCAACCCCGACCGTTGTCCAGCCAGAAGAAAACCTTTCACTCACGTAAACCTGAGAAAAACCGGCCAAGCCATGCCCCAATGCTGCATCGGAGAAATGCTCTAAAATTGGTCGCGACGAAGGACGACCAATATCATGATGGTCATTCATTAAACAATGATAATAAAAATGCTGGGACCCCCATATTAGAAACGGTGGAAAATGATAATCAAGAATCTTCGAGTCACCCCACGTGTTGTATCGCGCGGGTGGGACTCTCCAAGAACGTCAACCATCGGTTGTATTTAACAACGGTGTGAAAATGTTGAATGAAGCCGCGCCATTCGCGGGTAGGTTGATTGTGCGACGTTTCAACTCCAAACGGTATGCTCTATGCGCAAGCCCAAATTCACATGCCAAAGCGATAAGCACTCAGACTTAAGCCTTGCGAGAACGGGTGACGGGTCCGTTGGACCGACCGGTGGACGAGGCGTTGCCGTTCGACTTGGCATTTCCGTTGGCAGCCTTTCCGTTGCCCTTGGTGGGAGGAGGCACCTGGAACTTGGCCATGTCGATGACAGCCTGTCGGCCAGTGTTGCTGCGGGGGCGAGCGCCCTTGGAAGCCTTGTTGTAGGTGGCGATGTAGAAGGAAATGAACAGGAAGAGGTAGGAGGTGATGATACCAATTCCGGCGAAAGCGGCGAATTCCTCACCGGCACACTTGCCCATGTTGGGAGCCCAGGGGAAGTAGGTCGACGAGAAGTAGGTGTAGGAAGCGAAGTAGATGAAGCCTGATCCGTCGCATTAGCTCAGATTCTCTCCCTCTTCGTGAGCGACGCAAATCCTTTACTTACCGACATCAATGATGAACTGGACGATCTGGAGACGGGTGATCCACTCCTTCCACCAAATGCGGATTCCACGGGCGCTCTGGAAGTAGTACCAGTACATGACGACGTGGACCAGCAGGTTGATGGTGATAGGAACCCACGACACGGAAGTCAAACCGATCAGCTGAGTATAGCACAGGAGGGCAGTGGCACCGTGGTGGTAGGTGTGGAGGAAGGTCAACGGCTTCTTCTTGAGGAAGAGGAAGACGGTGTCGATGAATTCGAGGTATTTGGTAAGGTAGTTCAACTATTGATGGTCGCATCAGCATGTTTGTCGATTGTTTACCAGGATTTCAGGCGCACTCACATAATACAGGACGACGAGGGGCTGAGTCCATCCACCCTGGTGGTCGCAAATGGCGAAGAAGATGCCATGTCTCCAGATGGTCGGCAACAACTGCTCAATAAAGAGCGCCAGTAGAGTTGCGCTGATCGCAGTCAGGTAGAAGTTGTGGATCATGAACAAGGTGTTGAGTTTGAGAGCCGAGAAGTTCTTCATGACGGCGCGACCACCGAAGATGACCACATAGTAGGTGACGAGCATGGCCGCGGTGGAACGGAAGTCGGACAGAGGCGTCTCACCCGCAACGAACTTGAACTCTTCGGCAGGGTAGCCCACGACATACTCGAAAGCCTTGTTGAAAATGGGCCATAGGTGGATGCCGAAGGGCCGGTCGATTGTCGGGAGGGACACGTCCACGTTTTGCAACAATTCAGCGGCCATGATGGATGATGGAAATCAAACAGTTGATTTCAGAGGTCTTGAAAGTTGTGCGATCGCACTGCGCTTTTCCGGTTGAGAGAAAAGCGAGACGTGGGCGAGTTGCCAATTTTTCTTTCCTCTCTTATTTTTCCCCTTCCCTTTTTTTCTTCGGGGAGGATTCTGCTGACAGGACCGACAAGGTTAAAGCCGGAAGGGGTGCAGGCAATGGAAGGAACGACAAGAAACGAAGAAAGACAAGATGAAGAGAGAAGAAGACGGGAAGAGAAAAGAAAGGAGAGAGGTTGAGAAGGAGAAGAGTCGGCTGGGGTAGAGGAGAAAAGAAAGGAAAAGGAAAAGGAAAGAGAAGAAGAAGGTGGAGAGGGAGAGAGTTCGCAAGGAGAGATCCGCGTCTCTTTTTTTGGTTCCTCCGGCACGTCCGCTGCGGCCCCCAATGCGGCCTAGTGCCGACCGAGGCATAAAAGGGGTTCCTTCGCTTTCTCAGTCCTAGTAGTTATGTATAGTCTGCATTCAGGCAGACGGAATTCTACGGCTTGTTTGCAGCGCATTGCTTGAGTTCAATTTACAGCACCTCCCTACATTGTAATTCTGCAAAGTCTACAAATTTCTCTCGTCTCCTCGAGTATAACCCGTTCTCCCAGGGATCCCTTGCACTGGGCTGAGCGGACCACTCAATATTGGCTTTCACATGCTCAAGTTCATAATTCATGGTTAATTTAATCTGCCACGATGGGGTTTCATTTCGACCTGTCATCTCACTTGCCAATAGGAGCCCTTTGCCCGCTGATTATCTCCCCAATTACAGGAACGTCGAATTTTTCGGATATTTATGGACCTGGTGTCGATCACTAATCGTGTCCCCAGGTTTCCTTCGAGGAGCTTTTTCTCCGACCTCCTGTCGACTGTGATCAGAGGCTCTCCGGAGAATGTCGTAGTCGTACACTCAACACTATAGGTAAAGAGCCATTCGATTGCCGTAACACGGTTCGGATCATGGTCCTTATCGCGATGGTTGTCCGACCTGAGACGATACAACGTTGCTCCGATTGACACAGGGCAGCCTACTCCGTAGGGGTGGCTCTGAGGTTATTATAAGGATGATGTGGACCGGGAATGGTTTGATTGACGTTCCATTTGTGAGATGCATGGACGGTTACTCGTACCGAGTAGGTAGTATATTTCTCAATCCGGTAGCTGGCTGTTCCAAGTTGCCTTGAAACGGACGATGGTCTCAATATTGGGTCTCTCTGATCAATATACTCATAACGATAATATTTAGACTTCAATCAATGAGAAACCGTACCGCTGGAATGCCGAACTCAAATTCGATAGATTTCATTGAGTGCCGGTCGGCTTCGAGTAACCTGGGCTTGTACAACGACGCACAGACCAGATGCAGTATACATCCCTTCTCATCGTCATCGTATTGAAGACTGCATGCTGACCTGTATGAGACCTTGGTCAATTCTACTCAGTACCGGTCCGAGACGAAACAGTTCTTTCTATTTATATCCGTCAACCGAATTGGTGTTTGACGTCTAGGGTTCTGAAGCGTTCGTCAGGTGTTTGCAGATATTATCAGGAAGCTACTGTATGGCGAACTAGAGCGGCGTTTATATATAGCCGAACCAACGGTGTCTTTTCATAAAGATACAGGTAGAGGGAGCTGTTCAATTGCAGCCAAACAGTATCAGGGAACAATCAATAGCTACACTTTGTAGACACAAGGAGAGTCAGAGTACTATGACCTTACATGCCTTCGTAAAACACCACCATAGCCTTTCAGTCCGCAGCTTCGCGTGCATCTCTAGGCAATATGAGATCAATTGATGCACTGAGCAATTTTCTAGAGACTGTGAATTGAGGAATATGAGCACTGAGATACTGCATTCCATTCGACATTATGTGAAACCGGTGAAGATACAACGGAGAAGTCGAGCAACTCCCTGATGTCTTGCTGAACAGGCGTGGAGAGATACCTGAGGCAGGAAATACTACCTAAGGCAGCCGCTGACTCCTCCACTCGGCCAATCAGACCTCCCGGGTTGTCCGACCCGATCTGGGCCAATCACCGGTGGGAAATACAAATCCTGAGGCTCCCTAGCGCAGCCTCAGGCATCCTCCTCGGGCGGGCACGGGAGCCCGTGACGGCCTGAGGCGCTCTCGATGACGGGCTTGTGGTGGCCTGAGGCCGCAACGACCTCACACCACCCGCAAAAACCTAGCGCAGCCGGGCTTGTCCTCTGACTTCGACTTCGTCAACACCTCGTTCCCGTCCTCCCATCACGTCCGCTTAATTCCCACCTCCTCCACCCCCTCCCATCGCACAATCCACCTCTCGCCATGTCGTCGATTTCCCTTTTCCGTATCGCCACCCGCGCCGTGCGCCCTTCCGGCTTCATCAGAACTCCTCAATTGCCCCGGTCCCGAGTGCAGGCCCCGATTGCTCTTGCTATCAACCGTCCCAGCTTCAGCACCACCACCCAGCGTCGCTCCGGCCACGAGGACGAGACGTACGAGGAATTCTCTGCTAGGTATGAACTTCTCCACAATCGAGCCATTGGGATCTTGTGCGAGCGAGCTGGGGACATACGCGATTCCCCGGTCGCAGGGGTCGTCCCTCTTGTCTTACCCGGATCCGATCGAGAGTCACCTTACTCCTGATGCCGATTCCCGCCGTCTAACTGGTCGAATTTACCACTTACCTTTGTTCTCTTGTGATGAATAGATTCGAGAAGGAATTCGACAGCGTGCAGGATGTCTTCGAGCTGCAGGTATGTTCGATTTACCTTGTCTTTTCGCTTTTCGCACTGAAATCCCGACCTTTCCGTTTTGTCCACTGTCCGATCAAGCCTTGATAATCAGCCCACCCGCCATTGGCAGATGGAGGGCCCCCAACATCACGACCTACCTATAGTACATCTTGACTATAGCAATTGAGACTAATGTTATGTGCCTGGTATAGCGGAATCTGAACAACTGCTTCGCCTACGATCTCGTTCCCTCCATTGAGGTCCTCTCCGCCGCCTTGAAGGCCGCTCGCCGCGTCAACGACTTCCCTACCGCTGTTCGCATCTTCGAAGGTGCGATTGATCCTTCTCCCTATACCCTCTATTTACCCAGCCCTCTCATCCGTTGAATCAAACATAAACTCACCCATCTCTACAAAAACAGGTGTCAAGGCCAAGGTCGAGACCCAGGAACAGTACAAGCAATACCTCGAGAACCTCGAGGCTCTGCGCCAGGAGCTCGGTGTCGCTCTCCGGGAGGAGCTCTACCCCGAGGAGGCCTAAATCAGGGAAATAGACAAGAGAAAACCAAGGACTTCCAAAAAATTACCTCAACCCCATTGTTTTTTATAGTCCGCCCTCCCTCTCCCTCCCACTTCCGCACCCTCGTACGGATCTTTTCGACCGCCGTTTGATTACAATATTCTTTTTTATGTCCCGTTGATAAGATAGGAAAGCTGTATACATACTATTTCTAGAATGCAGTTGGAATGAGGAAGCGAGCCTCTCTCTCTGTTCGCCTTCGCCCGCGTTCTCGGTGGTGTTCTTTTCTCTTTTCTTTTCTTGGATCATGTGTTACTTCTAGTCATTCCCGTCATCATCCTGGACCGGTCAATCCGACATCTTGGGTGGTATGGAAGGAGAGGAAGGAAGAAAGGGAAGGTAGGTGTTTGAAAGAATATTGAGGACAGGTGGTGTGCACACGTGCTTTTTTCTTTTTCTATACCAGTGCTTTCTATAAATCTTTGTTTTGTGTGAGCATTTGTTTGTACTGTATTATTGGTGATATAGTGAAAACACAATAAGGGGCTGTTGTTTTCTTAGATATGGCTCTTGAGTGGTTGGCTCATCAGTACAGTAAATACCTTCATGATTCTACCTGATCTTGGCTCCTGAGTATCTATATCCAGTGGTCTGGTTGACGGTATTCATATTATCTCTGCGCATGAGTATTCACATGGTTGGTTTACCAGCGGTGAAATCTACGGTATTCAGATGGAAGATATGCATCAAATCCGGGACAGGTGGACACGTCCAATTCTATGTGCTTTCACTCAAGAAATGAACAGATTGGGATACAACGAACAGAATGAAAAAGAATAGAATATAGATATACAATGCAAGGCCGGCCCGGCATCCCCTGAAACAAGTTGAAAAGAGAAAAGAGGAAAATCATCACACAGGTAAAAACTATAGATAAGAAGATATTAACCACCGCCGAGAAAAAAAATAAAAGACATAGAAACCAAAGCCCAGAAGAAAGAACAAACGCCGTCACACAATCACCATTAAAGCAGGTCATGACAACCGCACATCAAACAATGAATGGGCTTTTATCATCGTGGAAAACGGGAAGGGAGAAAAGAGTAGATAGACAGAAGAAACATGGACATGGTGGTTCTTTAGGTGGACCTGCCTCGAGACCAGAGCTCGAGAGCACTATGCATGTCCACCTCTAGAAATGAGACCTGTTGTGTGTAGATCCTGGTCTCTTGCCAGTCACGTTGAAGCTCTAGTTTAATGCGTTCCGACAAATTGGAAGTAGTTGGGTCGGCAATCCTCCTTGGCCAGCCAGGGCTCACCCTCGTAAAATTTGCCGGGAGTACATCCGGAGCACTTGGGCGAGTTGGGGCAGTTGAAGTAGGGGATGTGACGGTATCCGATGTCCCGGAACCTGCAGGAAAAAAGAAACATGTCAGTTTTGTACAAAATCGACTTCGTCAGACTAATTCACTTACCAGTGGACCTTGGACTTATCGGCGAAGAGACCCAGGGCGATCGAGTGGACGGGAGCATCGCCCCATCGCTCGTAGTAGAATCCGCCCGAACGATCCAAGTAGTCGAAGTAGGCCGAGTACTTCTCACCCCGGAAGAACTCCATGTCTCCGATTTCGAAATTGGACCAGAAGTGACACGTAGAGTATCCATTGGCACCAGCCGTGTGCTCCGGGCGCAATTGGTCATCCACCAGCCAATCCATCATGTTGTTGTCGGACAGGTAGGTCGGGTTGGCGGCAAGGAATTCCTGCGTCTTCGGCCACAGGGACGGAATACTTTCGGGGGCATCGAAGAGGTTGATGGTGAAACCGTAGGTGATGTTGCGATCCTCCACGAACCGGAAGACGTCATAGTCGACGTTGCAGAAGAACTGAACCTTGGGCTCGACACGCCAGTAGTAACGGTACTTCTCGAGGGCAGGGTGCTTGTAGAACATTCCACTGTTCCATCGGCACATGTTGTGATAGGAAACCTTGTCGCTGTACTGGATGCCCTTCTCCTTCAGCATCTCAGCCGACTCGCGGAAGAGGTCCTTGTTGATGAAGTCGGGCATATCCCAATGTTCCTTGGGGACCTGCTCTGTTTCTGAGGTCAGACCAATATCTTACTTGACAAGTCTGGAAGGTGTAGTACCGTAGATGCATTTCGCCTTAGTTTCCGCCTGCGTCCGCCTCTTGAACTCTTGAGTGAACGGCTGGTCGTTGAAGAAGATCCACGGGTAGTTGAACTTGTTGTTCCATGTTCGCTCCAGATCACGCATGGTCGGGATGAGATCGTCAAGTTCTTCGTTTCGGACGAGGGAGATCAAGGCCGCGTTGGTCCGGGCAGAGTTGGGACTATCGGGGGCATAGTCGTTGTCTTCAGCGCGCCATAACTTCCCTTCGGGTTCTCCGGTTGCTACAATAGAATATCAGGTTAGCAAAACAAACAGATTCTTGTTGACCAGAGAAATGAGAGATAGCAATCGCAAAAGTCTGAACGGGGAAAACGAACGTTCCAGGAGAGGGTCTACTTTGATGCCCTCATAAGGCTGAGACCCCTTAATGCTGATGGCGGAGGGGCCTTTGTTGACCTGGAAGACAAGGAAGAGGACCAGGATGATGCATGCTGCACCGAGCATGCGAATGGGTCTTGCGACAGCCATCTTAACCGTCAAAACCAGACAGAGGGGAACGACGGGTCTGGGAGGGAGTTGACTGTGAATTGACAGGAGAACCGGAGCGACAGACTTGGGATTACGGAGTTAATCGATTGCTTATTATGGGCTGCCGCCGCCTTTCCTGAACGGGTCTAGCGCAGACGGCAGTAAATCAAGAGGGCGCCAGTGCCGCGTCAACCTCCGTCGCATTTAGTCCTCGCTCTCTCGCTCTCTCGCTCTGCGCGTCGCATGGATCATGGGATGTTGGGCAACGGCTTTCGACTTGGTTTCTGCGTGACCCCCCCATTATGGCCGTGGCTACCATAGTAGGCACGCTAACGGAAGAGCTGGTCGCGACCGTTGCGAACCTTGATGATAAGGTTTCTAGACCTTCCGGTGATACCAAGTACATTATGGGATAACAAGGTAGCTAATGACATTTTGCAGGACACGCCGCGATTTAGAAACTTGAAGCGACGCGCTGAAGAGACGTTCAAGTCTAACTTCCATGTGCGCACGAACCAGTTTGACGTTGCGAGTCAGCTTGATGGCCTGCAAGAGAAGTTCCAGGTTATCAATAAAGATGACCTGGCAGATGCTTTGCGGTCACGCTTGACCGAGCTCAATGAACACCGAAGCTCTTGGTTTCCGGAGTTTCTTTCTCTGCTACTGCAGCTTGCAGACCGTCCGACGCAGCTATCGAGCCTAGATCGCATTGAGCGACCAAAGCTGGAGCAGGTCGAGTCAATCTCCTGGAACGACTTGGACGCTGGTGGGTCGGCATTCTGCGATGAAGACATCTGGGAAACCGTTGATTTTGGAGCAGAATCTTCCGATGATGATCTACCGTCTGTGTCTAGCGCGGACCACCATTCACGGAATTTACCATCCACTTCTGTAGCCCCGGACGAGGACTATGTCATCCCAGATGATGCCTTTTCTTCATTGGATGACGATGATCTGCTCCTATCAATAAAAAGCGCACAATTCTGGAGAGACGAGAACCATGATAGCATCGATAAATACCAGAAATACTCGTCTCGTGTCATAACCGAGCTCCAGGTTATAAGAGAGTCCATCTTCATGCTTCAAGGGCTTCCTACGTCGATATTCTGGCGGCTCGACGATAGTATCGAGATGGATCGGAGGTACAAGCTGGCCCAAGTGTCCGATGAAACTTTCTTACCATTATTACGAACCTTGTGCTTTATCGGGGCCCGAGTAGATATCCTCAGACGATACGTCAGGCTTCCGCAATCTATTGCGCATATGCAGACATTCCGCCGGGCTCTTGAGGACTGCCTGGGGGCTTTTGACGCGTACTTGTCGACTGTACAATCCCAATATCTTTCGCAGAGTGCAACCGTTGCCGTGAGCCTTCTGCAGTTATCTGAAGACGCCCACAGAGAGTCCAGGCTACTGCTACTTTTGGCGGATATTGTCTCCAAACTCCAGCGCGGCGGATCGGAAAACCCCGTTCGGTGCCTGGATCTACTATACGACCTGGTTTGCATGACACAGGCCACAGGCCATGATGACGAATTCAAATTTTTGGCTAAAATGTTTTTCTCATGCTTCGAGACGTATGCACGGCCGTTGAACCTTTGGATGGAGACAGGGGAGTTGAAGGACTCAATTGGTGGAACGCTTTTCATTCTTGACAATAACAACAGTAGCGATCTGGGGACACTTTGGCACGACTGGTACACTCTGGATGAGGCGTCAAGGCTTTTGAGTGCCCCTAAATTTATCCAACCGCTTGCCCGCAAGATCTTCACCACAGGAAAGAGTACGATCTTTCTACAACATTTGAATGTTTCTCATGATCAGGAGCACCAATGCGTGGGTTCGCTGACGTTTGACGACGTCTTTCCGCAAGACGCGTCTTCGCTTTATCTCCCGTTCTCTGCTTTGATGGAGTCTGCCTTTGGAAAACTGGTTGACAGGCAACATGCCCTTAAATCGAGCTGGCTGCGACAGGCACTTGATCAACAGTGTCCCCTGGTGGCATCACTCGAAGCACTGGAACATATTTATCTCTGCAAAGACATGAGCGTCGTTGGGCCCGTGGACAAGAAGATCTTCGAGCTTATCGACCGCGGCAAAGGTGCTTGGAATGACAGATACTTGCTCACCGAATTGGCACGGAGTGCATTCAGCGCGTTGCCCGAGATTGATCCGTCCAAGCTGACTGTTCGACCCAACGAAGATGTCGGCGACAAGCTCGATCGCCATCGGTCCGTGAAGATCCTCGAAACCATCTGGTTCGATTACACCTTGCTCCCGCCCGTTGCAAATATCATCACTGAGGATGCCATTCTGAGATATCGGCGCATTTCAACATTTCTCATGCAGATCCGCAGGGCAATGTACACGATCCAAAAACAGCGCCTGCAGTATTCCAATGGACCAGGCCAAATGTCTGACAACGGCACCAACCCCGTGGACTATGTTTTGCGACATCACATGCTGTGGTTCTTGAATACTCTGTATAGTCACATGACAGGGTTCGTTGTTTCAACGACTGTCGCGTCACTGCGTAAGGCACTAGACAGGGCCACCGACGTGGATGCCATGATCGCTGCCCATCGCGCACATATGGTCTCTTTAGAAGACCAGTGTCTTCTATCCAAGAACTTATATGCTCTCCATCAAGCCATTATCACGCTGCTTGACTTGTGCGTGAGCTTTGCGGATCTCCAAGCTATCAAGCGAGGTGTATCACAAGCCGAGTGGTCTAAGCCGTCGCGACATGAGGACGATGACGACGACAGCGATGCTTCTGATGCCGACGAGGACGCGATGGCCGCCTCCTTCCACGAACACCAACATAATGAACGGCTCCATGATATCAAAAATCAATTTGACCGGCTCGTCGGTTTCATGACAGCCGGACTGAAGGGCATTGGACGAGTGGATGGCCAGCTTAGCTGGGACATTCTAGCAGAGAAGCTCGAATGGAGAAAGGCACGTTCAGGGCTGAACGGCGCTTGAGGCGCAGTTGCTGGGAGTTTTGGGTCTGCATGACTTTGATGAATCTATGTCCGCCTTTGTGGGAATCTGTCTACATTTAATACCCCGATAGAAGCTCCGGAGTTTGTTTCTCATGAATCTATTCAATTTGCATATAAATCATCATGCGTTCATGGCGATGAGTCAGCCGGATTAAGGTACGGACCCACCGCAACAAATCGTAGTCCACTTCCTCCTTCTCTCATCCACTTTTCTTCCCTGTGCTTTTTTTCGCTCGCGGTTGATTCTTGCGGAGCAGTCATCTCCGGTTATTTCGAGCCATCCCAACCGGATTGGAATCCATACTAATTAACTAGTTTAACCTTGATATTCCCCTGTCTGCGTTCCTTCGTTCACAGCGAGCAAGTCCCGTTTGGGGGCAAATTACGCGTTTTGGTTCTAGTCCCATCACGCTATCTTTTTTTTTTTCTTTCTTTTTTTACTCTGATTGCTAGTGGGGGCTGGCATGACATCTGATAGAAAAAAAATCTCAATCATTGCAAACGACTCTCTTTTGATGATTTTCTTCCTCTCTTCTTCCGGATCTGAGAGATTGTATATCCCCTCATCCGACAAGGATTCTCCGTCACCGCCCATCCTGCTGCCATGTCTCAGCAGCACTCGGACCTGATTGTCGATGGCGACGCCCCGCCGGCATACGGGGAAGAAACCAGGAGTACCACCGAGTCTCAGGACGATGCGGCGTTATTGGTGCGTATCAGATCCCAGATCGCCGCTCCCGTAGGATGCTTATGACGCATGCTGACTTGTCACTGCAGAGGACCATGGGCTATAAGCCCGTAAGTTGGATACACTCTACTTTCGGCTAGTTAGAATGTGAAGCTCATGCAGGTCTAGGTCCTCCATCGGACTTATTCATTGTTCGAGAACTTTGCAACCACGTTTGGTAGGTCGAATATGAACTGTCTGGTCTGTAATCTTCCTAATTTCTAATGTGCATTCTCAGCCGCTCTTTACTTCGTCGGAGGTGTTCGCGTTACTTTTAGTACCGGTATCGCTGCGGGTGGTAACTTGGCTTACTGGTTAGTGTTGATCTTGCAATACCGAGAATCTTCAAGCTGACCATGCAACAGGACGAGTTACATCGTGACGGTGGTTTTCACCTTCATCACGGCTGCAGTCATCGCAGAAGTCTGCTCTGCTTCGCCATCCGCCGGCTCCATCTATCTCTGGGCTGCCGAAGCTGGCGGTCCTCGATTTGGTCGACTACTTGGCTTCATCGTCGCCTGGTGGAGTACGACAGCATGGACAACATTCTGTGCGAGTAACACGCAGGCAGCGGTCAACTACATGCTTTCGGTGAGAGGTTTCTCATCCGTGTTACCACCCGGGCTGTGCTAATCAAACATAGGAACTGACGGTTTTCAACGTCGACTTTCCCACTGATACCTCTTCGGTCAAGTTTCGCGCTGTGCAGTGGATTTGTACTGAGATTCTGCTTGCATTGGCTGCGCTTCTCAACTTTATGCCGCGTATGTCTCCATTTGCTGGGGTCCCGTGCATGTCACTAACTACCTCGTAGCCCGGTATTTCAAATGGGTGTTCTACTTTTCTTCCGTCATCGTTCTCTTGGATTTCTTCCTGAACGTCATCTGGCTCCCTATTGGTGCTCACAACACATGGGGATTCCGGACCGCCGAAGAGGCGTTCATGTCCACCTACAACGGCACAGGTGCACCTCCGGGCTGGAACTGGTGTTTGTCCTACCTGGCCACAGCCGGTATCCTGATCGGATTCGACGCCTCGGGCCACGTCGCCGAAGAAACCAAGAACGCCTCCGTCACCGCAGCACGTGGTATCTTCTGGAGTACCGTAGTCAGTGGAATTGGTGGTCTGGCTACCATCATCTTGTTCCTGTTCTGTGCCGTATGTGCCCCTTCGCCTCCACCTGCACATTGCCAATGTCAATGACCACTAATTTATTCTACAGCCTAACCCTGAAACTCTCTTCTCCTTCGGCTCCCCCCAACCGTTTGTCCCTCTCTACGCTGTCGTCCTGGGCAAAGGCGGCCACATCTTCATGAACATCATCTGCGTCGTTGCCCTCTGGCTTGTAAGCCCCTTTCCCCCATCCCCCATCCCCCATCCCCCATCCTAATTCCATTAACAATCCAAAAGAACACAGCCGTAGCCATCGTCGCTGCCTCCCGTCTTGTCTTCGCCGTCGCCCGTGACGGCGTCCTCCCCTTCTCCGGCTGGGTCTCGCGCGTCCACCACGGCCAGCCCCGTAACGCCGTGACCGTCGTCTGGGGCGTTGCCGCGCTCATCACCTGCACACTGCTCCCGTCCGACGTGGCCTTCACGTCACTGGTCTCCGCCGCGGGTGTGCCCAGCGCCGCCGCCTACGGCCTCATCTGTCTCGGCCGGCTCTTGTGCACTCCGTCGCGCTTCCCCAAGCCCAAATGGAGTCTCGGGCGACTGAGCAAGCCGTTCCAGTTCATTGGCGTCTTCTGGAACGGATGGGTCGTGGCTGTTTTGTTCTCGCCATATGAGTGGCCTGTCACGGGGGCGAATCTGAACTGTACGTTCCCTCTCCCATAAGCTCTCTTGTCTTGGGATTGACTACCCCCTCCCCTAAAAGGAGACAGATAAAAGGGTTTACACACAGATGCTAACCGCGAACCCTTCAACAAAAATAGACGCCCCCATTATCATGGCCGCAGTTACCATCTTCGCCATCATCTCCTACCTCGTCATGCCCGAGGAAGCCTGGCTCCCTCGCAACCGCATCTCGCATTTCATCGACAGCAAGGGCGTGACCGAGACCGTCGAAGAGGTGGATGTTGGTCGGAGACCACTCACCTCGCCGTCTCCGCCGTCGGGAGATGCACGGGACGGAACTGAACCCGTGAATGTCGATGCCAGTGGATCCAGCGCTGCTGTTGCTGATCATGCTGCTTCTGAGTCAGGGGAGAGGCGGAGGAAGGGAACAACTGCTGGGGTGAGTGGTAGTGATGAGTGATGGATGGGTGGTTAGTTGGTCGGGCTCTATATTCAATAGCCCGTGCTATTCGAATAGCACCTCAGGTAAGAACTATATAGAATATCCTTCGGGATAGGGTATAAACGAGGATTGTGATGGCGACACTATAGTGGCATGATGAAAAAAAGAGGAGGTAATGTATCCTGTTCAATTTCTTTCTGCATGTATGATAATGATATCTCAATGATTGATATTTTCACCTGATTTCCAAGACCACCTAGTATCAGTATCTTGTGAGGCTTCAAGGAAGGGATCAAGGTGTTATACTTCTCATAAACGCATATAGGCTGGGATGAGCCATTACTATTTACCCCGCTCGCCAGTCATCTGACGCGATGGGAACAGCAGCAGGGCATATAAGACGCGTCGCACTGCGCCACATCACTACCACCACGCGTTAAGAGTCTGCCAGAGACCACGAACAGTATCTAATCCTCACTCAAAGTCCTCCTTCTCTTGACACTTCCTTCGCATACAGAAAAACAGAATATCTGTACGGATATCGTGACCCAGGTCGAGAACATAAGCAAGAATTTCATCTCACTCGAGGTACCGCTCTAACACAAACGTACATACCTATCATCGATTCCTCGTCAGCGCACCTCATGGCTAACGAGAGAGATTATATTCACAGAACAGAAGCTATGGTTCTCTGCAATATCGAACCGAACAAGTTCTTCCCGGGCAGTCCGGAGATCTGCATGACGGAACTCACGGAGGACGAGAGGAGGGAGGTTTTGCAAACGGTCGAAGAACTTCAGGGTGAAGGCGAGGACGAAGACAACGTTTTCAACTGGATCAACCCATTCGAGCGAAGAGCCAGTACCGAAGAACGGGATAAACATCTGAAGCGTCTGCGAGGCGTACAGAAGATGGATCAGATACTACGGAAAATGGAAGACAAGGCAACGTTGCATCATCACAAACAGGTAAGGAAACCAGTAAGCAAGCAATCACAGCCTATGTCTGAAGAATGTTCCGAATTCGCTTAGTCTCGCAAAAACCGGAAACTCGCGTGGTGCATAAATGTCGCACCAGAAACCCACCCCTGTGGTATGTTATCTTATAATGATAAGTGGTGGAGGGAATTCTGGGACGATAAGTACCTGTCACGCTATGGTGATAATAGACGCAAGGAATTGAGCTGCATCCCGCCATCGCTAAAACGTTCTATGCCGCATGAATTTTCTGAAGGAAGTAGGTTATGTTCTGCGATCTATTCAACCGTGGCTTTAAGACTGAAACATACAGGGTGTATCTACTGCAACGGATGGTTTGATGACACGATCGAGTCAGAGCTGGGTAGGACTGTTCCACATTACCCTGTTGATGGCCCGTGGGTAGAGTGAAGGGATGCAGATATCCTTACTTTGGCCTCTGCAGATGTTTCTATATCATTCATAGATCTGTCGAGGGCAAAGTACTACTTCCCAGATACTTGAGTCTCATAAGGCTATATTCGCCATTCCTTGTCTTCTCTTCTATTGCCCTTAGTATAGAAAACAACAGAAACTATGTCTCCAGCATCTCTACAACTCAAAGCTTTCCCTAGAATGTTACGGTTCCATGTGGTATCTCAGTCTACCCAACTTGAGACCGCTAAGAGGTGTGAAGGTAAATTCAAAAATTCTATATCGTCTCTATGATTGCATGAATACACATAGGTGCATATGTATGGATTTTGTGTATAGACATCTGACAGATCAGACCAACAGCGCATCTCATCTTATGAGATCGAGTGTATCCAGGATCCCCATTCGGAAACCGAACACAAGTCTGTCAAGCGATTCCAACGATTAATATTTGCACGAATCAGAATCGTATATGTAAGTAAAGTAGGTAGGGTCCAGCCCCTGTCCAGGGTTGAATGGTTCTAATTCTTTCCGTTCCTGAACGCCGTCTTATATCGTATCACATCATGGCTTGTGATGAATGATGAATAAGAGAAAAGAAAAATGACGAAATCCCTGTCCTCGCTAATGATGGCTTCAAAGAATATAGTAACTCCCCAGTCGCTTGTGATAGGGTATAGAGGGGTGATGGATTGCTTGGAAATTTGTTGACGAGCAATAGAAAAGGCGGGGGGGAGGTGTAGGAGGTATGTATGTATGTTGTGAAGGTGACGACGGGGGCGTAAATCATGGCAGGAGAATTGAGGATCGGACGTCATCCATCTTGTCGACCCATCCTTCGGGGAAGGCTCGTTGTTTGAACCAGGCTTGTTCTAGTTCATCGAGGGCTTTATCGACGTTCTAAGAGACATTAGCGGCGTTCATGAATTCTGATGGCGAAGAGGTTTACCTTAAATCCAAACCGTTGGAGTTCGAGCATGGTTTGTCGCACCCATTTCTGTTCTCGTTCATCTCGGGTTTCACGCCCCGCCGTAAACAGAGGCCAGAGCACAGCCAGCTGTCCGACATCCTTGGCAAGCTTGCCGATCAGACTTAGAACACGAGTTGCGAGCATGTCCATCACGGCTCTCGGAGGCTGCCGGTCGGGCCGCTCAGCCGCCGCCACCTTGTGTAAGTAGAGATTGGTCGCCTTTTCATAAGCCTCGATGCATCCAGTATATTCCAGAATTTCAGGGAAAGCATATTGCCGCAAGCTTTCGTCATCCAAATCACCGAGTTGTTGAAAACACTGGGGGGCGTTGAGTCGCCACTCGGCTAGCCGGGTGAACAGATCGCGAGAAACCAAGTCTTGTTGCTCGTATGACATCCACCCTTGTGATTTCGCCTTTCCGAATGAACTGATGGCAGCCTGGATTTCCATCATAGTAGACCAGCATGAGCGTAGTTCCACGAGTAGGGAGTGTTCGGCAGGCGTCTCGGTCGAGAGACTCGGAGTGCCCAGATTGTACTCCCAGCCACCACCATGCGTTCGCCAGTAGCTCCCTTCGACCACCGTCCCTTCCGAGGTGGCACATGCGCCGGCAACGTCGAGATAGGATAAGAGAGAAACGAGGAATTGTCGTAGCGGATGGTTTGTTTCGGCGAGACGTTGCGCTTCCTTGGCGGGGTCGCTATTCGGAATGAACAGAAGGCGATAAATTTCGCGGGCCCCTTTGAGATGAACGGCCCAATTGTGATGTTGCGAGTCCATCATCTGAATGGGTTAGATATTTGGTTTGGTCAGTGAGAGTGGAAGCCCGACTTACCTCGAAAAGACCCAACAATAAACAGGTGGCGAAGTCGGTTAATTGCAAGTGCGGTCCCGCTTGGTTGTATCTGGTTCTGAAAGATTTGACGACGTCCCCATACTTTCCCATGGCGTGTTGGAAATGCGTAATCCGCTGTTGCCCTCGCGAGGTATTTGCAAGATGTAATGCCCCTAGCGCCTGCATTGCACTGGCCATGGATGGAGATGATCGAGCAAGATCGGGGAAATATCGACGGAAAGGATTGATGTTGATGGAGTTGTCGTAGATGAGAAGTAACGTCGCGACTCTGTCAATGAAATGGGTATAATAGCGGCCCTCTAGATCTAACGAAGCTGTCATGAACTCGGCCGGGGATACCGGGTCCTGGAAGCGATACTTGATGGGTGTCGCGTCGGAGACCGTGGTGGGCGACACCACCACCGCATCAAATGATTCCTCATCTTCGTCGTTCTCCTTTTTGATCACCTTTCCGTCAACTGCAAAGGTGGTCATCACACCGGCAGCCGGCTTCTTCTCGCGCTTCTTAGACCCGGGAGGTGACGATGAAGACGAGGACGACGGCGATTCCTGGGGTTGCGGAGGACCGTAGACCTTGAAGGTCATTCGGCCTTGGGTACCATCACATTCGAGGCCTAGACGCGAGCAATTCTTGCAGCATGGCGAAGCCTCGTCACAACGAACATGACGGCGACGACAGGTGGAGCAGCCGGTGAAGCCTCGGTGATGCCATCTTCGCACTCTCTTCCGTTTCTCAGGTGCCGCAGCGGGCGCAGGCTGAGGTTGCGGTTGAGGCGTGGACGAGGGCTGCTTCACCGGGGCACAAACCAGCGTATGAACCTCCATGGCGAGCAGAAGAGGCGAGTGGAAATGAGAGGCGAATGTGGGGTCGAGACATGAAGTTATCGGCCGTGATGGAGGAGATGAATCCGCCGAGGGAGGGAGAGTCGCCGATTATAAGTGGGCAATGAGGAAAATCAAAGGATAAACAAGCCGAATCGAAAGGGAGATCAGATCCGACGATTGACGGACACACAGACCGGGAGATGAGAAGTCACGAAGGGACGAAGGATGCGAAGAAAGAACAAGAACAGATCCCAACGGGGAGGAACCGAAAGAAGGGGAAGCGAATCACTGGACCCGGTGGGGCTCTGCCTGCCTTTCCACGCCGAAGGTTCGCCTCGTCCACTCGCCCATCTCTGCAGATCATCCTCTTCTTTCCTTCCTCCCCTCGTCCTGATCATTAAATATTATTTTATTCAACATCCTGCAATTGACATCCCCTCATCGATGTCTCTCATTATCCGGCGGGTGTCTGCGGCACGCTGGAATCATCCAGATGCTGATCGACCCTAGTGGTTGATCATACTGTTCCCAGCAGCCGCGCAAATGCTTCAACTAATTGGCTTAGTTGCAGATTTAACCTTTTCTCTCCCTCCCATATGCACGGGGAAAAAATACCTCATCTTTGATCCCTGCCAATGGATAATCCTCCCAAGTCCCTAAAGACTGGGTTTGCCGGTTGGCCTCTGATTTCACACGAAGAAAATCACTAGCCGACCATTCCTCTGCGCGGTTCCCCACACGATCCACCGCTGCGATTTCCTACCGGTGGAGTGATGTCGCTGGTGCCTTTGTGATTCGCCGATCCCACGAGCTAGAGGCTAGGATCCCCCTGGGCCTTTCGAGCGATGAAATTGACAAGGGGAGGAGAGAGGGGGGAAGAGAGAAACTAGAAACTAGAAAAGCACCGCGGAGAGAAATGATGGCCTCGAAGGATTCACGCCGACAGCTCACTAAATGCTCGCTATCTTGGCCCGCCAAGCACGAGACGCTGTCGATGTTTGTCTATCTGGCGCTTTACTCGATGCAGTTGTCCCCTCGTGCCCTCTGATTCGAGCATGCTGGTGCAATCCCGGTCCAAATTCCAGGGTCTTTTGATCTTTTGTTCCTCCGGTTGTTACCCGCGTGGCATTCCTTATGATCAATGGTTCAACTAGGGGTGGAATATAATTCCATTCCTTTTCGTTGAATTTTTATTTTGGTCTTACCGCCCCATGCATACAACGAAAAATCATGAACCGGAAAAGCAGGGGGAAAGCGGCTTGGTCTCAAAGATCAACGGTCTTTGCTCCAGTTCACCATTCCCTTTTCCCTCGTGAATTGTGGGCGGATGGATCCCGTCCCGGTGCGCCACGCTCCCAATGTGCCAATTTGCCAATTTGCCAAATCTTCACAAGTGAGCAAAGACGGACTTGGCGAAGGTCCGACTCCGAGCGAACCTGCTCGATGGGATTTTCTTATTATGTCTTGGGGCCTCTTTTTTAATAGCATCTCTGGAATCCTGCTGGTCCGCTAAAGGAGGGAGGGAGAAAATGGAAATACGTTGACTGGGTCAAGGGATTCGAGAAACTTTCAGACTGCTCAATAATACGTCGCGCACCGAAAATCCATGGTTTGATGGAGACCGAGTCCCACGGTAGATTAGTCTTCGACTTCGCCTGACTTCGCCTGTTGAGCAACTTTAATGAGGTCACTCGTTCTTGGCTCGCCGTCAAACCCTCTGGCCTCGACTCACTTTAATCAGCGTTGAGTTCGTTAGTCTGCGCTGTTCGACCCGCTCGTTGGTCACCATTGTCAAGAAGGCTACATACCGGGACAATTCCCACGGAACGTTGGAAGTCGATCGCTCAGACAGCCGGGGAGGCTTAGCTGATTACGCAGGATGGACGTTTTCTTTGTTTCATTTGGATGCATCCTTGAATACGGGATCGAGGATGCACAGTCAAAGAGTATGGAGGGCTGACGACGACCTTGTGACAATCGCAGCCTCGAAATTGAGGAACTTGGCCTGGTCTGGCCGGGCCGGGCCAAGTCATAGCTCGATTAGATGCATCTTCACATGCAGGTCAAGGCCAGCAAGCAAACAAACGGCCTGTCAATTGCACCGACCGAACCCTGTACTTCCTAGCCGTCTGTCCGCTGTCACTGTCACTGTCACTGGACTCGCCTAGGAGATTTCAGAGAGGTTGACAATCTCGGAAGCACGCCGGTTTTAGCGGCTCGTTGCTTAATTAATGTCTTCCTGGATCTCGTGTTACCGCTTACCAGTCAGTGCAGTACTACCGATGAGCTAGATCTTCTAGTCTCCTGCCATCAGCATCAGGTCCAGGACCAAGTGATCGCCAATATGATTTACCTGATAGTCGAAGGATCCAGCAAGCGCTGAAGTTCCGGTCGGTTCCCCTGTCCAGAACCCACAATTCATTAGGATCACTTCTTAGTTCTTATTATTGCAAGACAAACCCTATCCCAAGGAACCACACGGAAGTCCGCCCTCAAACCCATAAAACTCAAAGTAAATGAAAGGCCAGCCGCTCGCCAATCACAGGAAAGGGGATGGTGACATGTCCCCGGTTTCATCTCTGATGTTCATTGCCTGTCTGGGTTAATATTGGCGCCTCGTTTGGTCTATCGGTCAGATCTTGTCTTGTCTTTCGGCCATTCGAGCTTGGCTAGTGGTCCTCGGCAAAGATGCTGACCACTGGGTAAGGGAGTGATGTTCTGATGATCCTTTTTTCCCCCTCATCAAATCCCGACTGTTCTTCGGTTCTTGTTCAGGATCAGTCAGTATCAACTTCGATGCTCGAGAACGAGAACTTAGAAGACGGATAAGAGACTCTCCACATGCCACATTCCACATTTCCACTTCACAGGCCCCACCTCTTTTTCCTTTCCCACATCGAACCCATCACTACTAGAGTCTAGCACGGTAGTTTCTGATTGACCACGCGACCAGAAAGAATTCTTCCTCAACCAAAACCCTACCTCCGTAAACCAGCCCTAGGAAATAGTCTACGGTATAGCCAGCCCCTGAACCACGACTCAAGCGTAACCAAGAGAAACAAAGCCCACGAACACCCCCTAGGCACCTAGACCAGAAGGAAAACCAAAACTCCATCTCCCTTAACTCCTACGGAGTGGCTCTTTAGTAAACGCCCAAGCCCTTCCCTCGCCACCATAACCGTCTTCTGCAAGCGCAACGCAATCCTGGTACAGGCATTCCGCCCATCCGCGCCATTATGGTGATCGCGTCCGTCGTTCCATTAACATCTCGAGCCGGATGGCCCAGGCGGTGGAGTCGGAATCTAATTCCTTGTCCGTATCCCTTCCGCTATTGCACAGCCAGAAGGTTAAGAGCGGGTTCAGGACCAGGAACTCACTTGCACGATTCACTGACTCTCACCCGGAGGGGATCGAGCCGCTGTGCGGGACCGTGTAGGTTAGTTTTCCATTGGAGGAGAAGTAAACTATACAGTATGCTTAGTATGTTTCGGTTAGTTATGTTTTCCGAGTTTGATTAGACAGTAGACGATGACAATATCCTCCGCTCCGTACGGAGAAGGGTATGGAAAGTGGCAAAGGAATGGAGGAGCTGTTTCGAGATGTTAAATCAACAAAAGTTAAATAAATAAACAATCAACCCTATTAACCTCCCGGCACGGCAGTATTCAGAAACACTTCGCATCCTGCGCCACGAATGAAAGTCTGTTCACGGGTGAGCAAGCCGGTTGATTCTCGGGACAATAAGGTATTAAGACACGGTGGGGTTTCCGGTCCAGAAGGATCCCCCTTAAGCGGATGTTCAGGATGAATGGGGATGGTGATCTAGGAACGGGTTGAGATTGAAGCTAGCGGGAGACGAGATTGAGGATGGAGATTGAGCTTGGACGAAGATGAGTGCGAGTAGCCGAGTACTCAGTCTGGATAGCAGGGCGAGGGGTTCATTTCCAGTATGTGGGTTTAGATAGTGGGATGGCAATACGAGTGTCAGAGCAGAAAGTGTGAGTAGGTAGACCGGATAATGCGCACTGAACGAGATCTCTATTCACGGAGAGATCTCTCAATCGATCATGATATGATAGATATGATATGATCATGACAACCGCCTGAAGATCCCCATTCCCCAGCCGGCGAAACCGAGGGCTGTGGGGTCCACTCGCGCAGAGGACTGAGACACATGAGGTCATTGTGTCGGAGCAGATGCTAAGCCTAGTCTAAGGGTGTAACCGGTGCAGATTTTCTCGCGTGGCCAGTGGGTTTGACCAGGGTTGGAACTTGGAAGTCCTGTTTCCCTCTTTTTCATACGGAGCCATCGGCAATTGTGATCAAGCCAGTAGTAAGCGCGAAAATTGAAATAATCATTACTCCGTGGAGCATCGGGGGTGGAGTTTGTAGGGCGTGCAAACTGCAAAGCTGTGGAGAGCTCTCCGTAGCGTTCGACTCAAGCGCAGAACACCTTAGGAATGAGGCTTTGGTGCCTGAAGTTGGTGAAATCATGGATGGCTCAGCGACCGGCCTGAATATCTGCCATTGCCATTTCCGAATAATCAAAGGAATCGGATTATAATTCCCAATACTCGACCCGTCTACTCCGTATGGTCAATGATCTAAATTTGGCCCCCAAATTAGATTAACCATTACTCATCGGACGATGTTGTCAACCGTTGAGACCTGTGGAGATGCCCTGCCGTCTGGATTTGATTAGCCACGGAGTTTTGATTAATCTGGCGAATTTAGAATTCAATAGGCTCTCACTGGTCCCAGACGTAATCTATTCACGACTCCTTCATATTTGGACCCTCTTTGTTTAACGCTCTCGCTTGCAGAAGTTGGCACTAACCAGTCAGGACTCCGTACGGAGTAGTCGCGCTGAGCGCCTGAGCCGATAGAAGCTTTTGTGGGGGCCACTGAAAGACACCGCTATTTGCGTCTATTTGCATCCCGAGTATGTGTATGTCGGTCTGCTGCGCGTTTTATTGTGATGGTGAGATTTTTGCTCGGTCGGAATGTCTTTGAATGAAGAGATCGAGATGGGATGGGAACGGGGTATGTTAAAGGAGGTTGGTGGTCGGGGCGGGGGAAGAAATGAGATAAGCGCCTGGTCTGCCTCAGTCCGTTGGCCGCCATCAGGCAACATACCTAGTCGGCGTTGGACAGTCTCTCAGCATTGGATAAAATCTATAAACCTACCAATATTCCGTATAAAGCAGATGCCAAGAGAATTCAAACGTCCGTTTACTTCGAGAGCTACCTGCGAGATCTGGAAACGTATAGACACGACCCCCTTCTTTCCCACTCGGTCATATACAGCTACCACCGTCCATCGAATATACGATCCCACCCTGATATAATCGCCAGTAACGTCTATCTGCCCATGGGATCTCCAGGGCGAGCCTCCTCTCCAGACATACTAGAAATATGCTGTACCGCGCCTGTGATTTCAGGGTCCCTGGTCGACTCCGTCAGGACAGAGCTTTCCGGTCTTGTAGGGGAACCCCGTGCTATCTGGGCCTTCTCTTCGTCGGTTGCGCCGGTCAATTGCACGGCAACCTCCTCGCCAAATTGCTTTGCAATCTCCTCCAGAGTCAACTGTGCAGTTTCCGGGAAGAAGAAGTAGATCACTGTGGGATGCGTGAGAGGTGGTTTGGAATAGGCAACCAATTATGTCCTTACCTGGAATGAAAACTGCCGACCAGCAAATGATGAGTAGGTAGAACTTCCACCCCGCATTGTTGAACCCCATTGGGGCCACTTGCAACAGAATTATAGTGGCTTTTTGGTTAGCTGGTTGCATCAAAAGACGATGGATACGTGAACTCACCAGCAAACTGCCCAAAAAGCGAGAATCCCATCCCAATGGGACGAATCTCGGTGGGGAAAATCTCGGAAACGTAGAGGTACATGGTAGTGTCGCAGCAGGTGCTGTGTACGTCGAGTCAGTGGGTGTATAGCCGTCCCATATTTGTCCCTTACTTACCCTTGGAAGGCCAAGTAAAGAAATATGAAGAAAACCCCGAATCCATTGCCGACTTTGTTCGAAGTACCGCCATACTCGGCAGTCATGGCCGCCAAACCCGACGTGCAAACGACGATTCCAACGAAGCCCGTGATATACATGCCTCGGCGGGAATTGACCTTGTCATGCAGCCAAGAACCGAGCGGATTGTAGATGACACCTGTGACTACGATCAGTAAGAATTCCGGAATGGTATCACAAGAAGTCAGGTACCAGCGGTTGTCAACCAAAGGGCACTTAAAAGCAGGGGCATGTGTCCCGTCATCCCAAGACTGGTATACAAGATTACAGCATAGTTATTCTGAAGAAAGCGTGAGCAGTGAAGGTAGATATGTTGGGCTATAACTCACAATAATCAATGGACCGCCAAACTCTGCCCCCCATTGAGTGAGGAAGCCAATGATCATCCGCTTTCTATACGATTTCTTCTTCAGCACTGCATTCCACACGTTGCCAAACTCAGCAAGCTTCCTCGCTTCAAGATTGATTTGCTCCGTAGTCTGAACGAATTCATCCTTAGCGACTAGGTTATTAGGATCGTCCGGTGATTGACGAAGCTTCTCCAGAACACTTCTGGCTTCATCATATTTGCCCTTTGAGATCAACCAACGAGGGGACCGAGGCAGCCACGGCGATCCGAGAAGCAAGACCAAAGGAGACAAACACTGTAAGCACAGCGGAAATCTCCAGGCAAAGCTTCCCAGACTCTCATCAGCAAAATAACATGCATACCCCACCCACCCCGCAAGCATGTACCCAAATACCAGGAATATAGCATGATGGCCGACGAGCCAACCTCGGCGGCTGGCACACGACATTTCCGAGAGATACATGGGGCAAACAGTTACTAGGATTCCAATCCCTAGACCGCAGACAAACCGTCCGGCTTGGAACATTCTGCATGGTAGTTAGATGGCCTGCTTGCCGAGTTGGTAAATCTAGAAGGGAAAAAGCATACTCAAGAGAGTTGGCTCCCCCTTGCAGGGCGCCTCCAAACATAGAAAAGAAAGCGCCCAGCTGAATGTTGACCTTCCTGCCGAAGAAATCGCAGGACCACATGATGAACAACGTGCCGACAGCTCCCCCAGCGCTGAAGACCCCGTTGGCCGTCGAGACGACCGGGGTCGTGATCGAAGCATATCCTGGCTCACCTTCTGCAGGTAAATCGAAATAGGTGTACCATCCCGGCTGGCCGATCGTGCTTGAAATGATCGATGCACAATAACCATATGTCTGTGCAAGGACCAAACAACGTTAGATTGCAACCCTCGCGCATCATCCAAGGAAGGTTTGAAATACTGACCAAGGATCCAATGGCAACGAAGATTGTCACCAGCTTGTTGTATGTACTGGTCTGTGTCCCCGCCATCCCCATACTGTTGATTGCTATCGCGTGCAGGATGCGGGAAGCTCCAATTGGGGATAAGGATTTCGCAGTATAGCAGAAAAAGAAAGGAAAGCCAGATCTAGTCGACTCAACCCTGTACGGTCCGCCACGCACGCGTCAGGCCAAATCTCCAACTTTATATATTAGAAGTATGGTGTATGTTTCGGTCACCGAGGTTCAAAGAAAAGAGAGAATGCGCGCATGGAGGAGGTTCGTTAGAATTCCTGTACGATCCACATTCGTTGCAGTCCTACAAACCCCGGTCGACATTAGATAATCTGGGCTTGTATACATACAAGCGCGGTCAAGAAAGCCCCTTACCGATTGATTGATTCCAACTTTTGTATTTATTGATGGAACTCTCCGGTGTGGAATTCAAGAAGGGTCAAGCACCGTAGTCAGCTACTATGTCAGCTCCGGGGATGCCGTGAGACCGAGAAATAGGTGTTTCTGAGGTCGGTCTTTCCCCTCCCTCATCTGCAAACTAATTGAACGGGGATCAATCCTGGGAGGAGCGCTAGTCCCATCTGCACGAAGCCGAGTCGAGGCGATAGTAGGTGGTAACCGGCGCGAGTCATGGCGAGAAAATGGACCAGGGAAGCATCTAATACGGGAGAGCGACAGATTAGCGCGGCGGTTGCACGAAAACTAAAGTCAAAAGGAAATTCTCGATCTTATTCGAGAGGTTTTGTGCATGGTGGAGGAGAGATGGCGGAACTGTGGATGGACTCGATGGACGCATTGTAGAAGCACGGCGCTAAGCCACTTGCGGAGACGAGCAGCCCGTGATTGCCATCCTCTTCTTCCTCTTGCGGACAGAATCTTTCCTCTTTCATCTCTCTCCTCTGTGCATGATTCACAACTGACTTGGTGCCATCTTCCTTCCGCTGATGTCATTGACTTTCGCACCGCAATTGAACACTCTAGCCATGGCCTCGGACGGAGATTCTCGGACTTGAAGACACGCTGCATGGCTATTTCTCCGCGGCCATATTAGCCATGCCCCTGTGCAACGCCGGGGGCAACGCCGGGGGCAAATGCTATCGAATGCGGTAGGAATATGTGATCATCATTATTATCTCAATGGCGTCCGGCTAGGATATTTGTCCCTACCCGGTGGTCCGTACCGCCCAATGTCTGCTAACCATGCACCTCCTATTTGAGGATCCTTATTTGCTCATGCTATTGACTGGCGCCTTGTACGTGCGGAGAGGAGGCCCTTGGACTGAACTCTATTGCTGATAGTCGCCAAATGGTCGCATTTTCCCCGCTCTTATCCTCGAGATGACAAGACTGATGGCGATGGTTATACGAGCTAAAGCTGTTTGTAGATAAGCAGCCAGCATTGAAATGTGCTATTCAAGCAGAAACCCTCGCGCGGTATGCTCAGTGATACAGCCCGATTTCATCCCATCTTCCAAATAATATCAGCGATCGCGAATCATGGCAAGCAAGTCGCCGTTCGATGTCCCTTTTGACGAGCTTCCCAACCCCAAACAGGTGTGGGTTGGAGAGCCTGGCAGCTATGAAGAAGGACTTGGGAAGCTAGCCATCTTGACGCCGGAGGTCGTGGCAAGGGCTGCCGCAAGCGAAATTAGAACCGGTCGACGAGTGACCATGAGCTGGGGCTTGACCAAGTTGGATTTCCCAAATTTGGGTCGCCAGCCATGTAAACACACGATCGTTCCCCTCCTAGGCGGAATAGCCTTTGATGACATCTACACTATGAATCCTCGTAAGGTGTCGGCCCGGACCGCGTGCCCATGACCCAGTCGTATACGTCCTAACAGTTTCTTAGAACAAAGTAGTCAGTGGGATGGCCTTCGCCATTTTTCGCAGACGGTTCCTGGTCAGACACAACGTGTTTTCTACGGGGGCACGACGGCTGATGAGATTAATGACCGGGAGAACGACCGCATAGGTCTACAGCACTGGGCACGAGAAGGGATCGCAGGTATTTCCTCACATTTCATCCTGCGATGTATTCCAGGTGTCGAAAGTACCATCTGACTGAATAGGGCGTGGAGTGTTGATCGATTACGCAACGTGGGCAGAGAAAAGGGGAATGGAGTACAGCACGTTTTCGACGCATCAGGTCCGACTCTCCGATATCCTAGAAATCGCCGAGGAATCAGGCATCATCTTCCAAAAGGGGGACATCCTATTTGTTCGTGTCGGTGTGACCAAGGAGTGGGATACTGTGATGACCGACCAGCGCAAGCAGAAGTACTCGGAAGACCCATGCCCCGAGCATGCAGGGGTAGAAGCTACCACCGACGTGCTCCGATGGCTCTGGGATTCCGGGTTTGCGGCAATCGCTAGTGACACTATCAGCTGGGAGGTACGAAGAACGCTAAAGCTCATCTCACTACGAGCTAAATAACATGTGACAGGTCTACCCCCCGCAGTCGGATATTTTCCTGCACGAATATGTACTTGCTGGATGGGGAATGCCAATCGGTAAGTCATTCCGCCGAATCAGCATGCTGCGCCGTTTATATGAATACCATTAATACCCCCAATAATAGGTGAGCTATTTGATTTAGAAGCACTGGCTCGCCTTTGTCAGGAACTCCAACGATGGACTTTCTTTGTGACCTCGGTGCCATTGAACATGCCTGGTGGAGTCTCGTCGCCGCCAAATGTCATGGCAATTTTCTGAGCAGACTTTATTCGGTAGCAATGTAACGGCACCTTATTGGAAATTCTATCCTTTTATTCTGCTCCGTCTTCGTATTTCAAAGAAATATAGAACAATGGTGCCGACAAAAGGAAGCCCCGGCCAACAGATTATGTTACGTTGCATGACTGTCGGCTGCAAATTTGGTCCACATCAACATTGCTGAACCGCTGTGAATTCGGAGTTTTTCGACGATCCTTGCAGTTGGTTCGGCCTATAGAGTCGTTTCCTGGACTCCGCGATGCCAATTGGACCTGTCATCCTGGCACCTGTTGTCTGCGTCGTGCCAGCCAATTCACAAGGGCTGACTGTTAGGTTACTGTACTTCACATATCACAGGTCTAATGAGCCTAGTCTCCACTTGCGGTCGACCTGAGAAGCACATATCACTGCAGATCCCGGAAGATCATTATACGCCAGCCTTTGCATTATGGCCTGAGCGATAAATTAAGAAACTCATCGGTCTCTGGTTCATTCTAAGGGGGCTGATACCACTTCTAGATCCCTGCCATGAAAGGGACGAGGAGGCGTATTTGCTGTACAAACCAGGAAGATGCTCCGAGCTAGTCAGTCAGGGTCTCAATTTAGGCCTGCGGGTCCCGGCAAGTGGGATCCGTCTCCAGGAAGCTCGTTTTGATCAAAGTACGGAGTACTCCGTACGGATCAGTCAATCAGTCAAGCAAGCCACAGGACAGTAGTTTCTGTCCGTCTGTCCTTACTGACAGGGATTGACGCTCTGGTCCATCCGTGCCCTGGCCCATCGTACGACATAACGGCTCCCGGACAAAGAATTTCGATAGATCCGTATTGTTAGCGCCAGCTAACGGGCTACCGACGAGGATCAGGACGCTAAGGCTGCCTTGGGTTGGCGCTGATCGAACAGCATAGTGCAAGCGAGCGACCATAGAAAGCAGCCACATCGCGTCGCTTCTCCAGCACATCCAGCTGGGCGGGATGCCGCGTTCTGTTTGTGCCAATAACCTGCTTGGAACGTGCAGGATTTGCCAGTAACTCAGCTATTACTAGACGCGAATCCTCTCTATCATCTCCTTTTATTTTCTTTTGTCGTTTCCAACCGGGTACCTTCGCTTTCATCTGTTGGACTTTTTGAACAAGGATTGTAATCGTGGATGCCCCAATTGGAAACATGGACTGTACTGCACCTGAAACCCACCTAATTGGCCATGGATCTTCGAAGTGCACCAATGGTCCCCGATGCAATGCGCATGATAATCCGTCGAAATCTGAGTCGGAGCCTGCTTGGTCGCCATGTCTGCCCTTATCATAAACCCAGCCAGCCCTAGCTACGGGCGAGCGTTCCCGGGGATGTCCATCCATCATGTCTTCACTTCGATCGCTAGATAGTGATGCGGTTCATAATCCCGTGGATAAATCGGTCCAGACGTGGAATACCGTAACCCAGACACTATGTATTACCGCAATGACTATCTTCTTTGGACTACGCGCATACACCCGCCTATCGCTGCTCAACGGGTTTTCGAAAGAAGATTGTGCGTCTTTCCGAATACGAAGAGCTAAATGCTGACTGGATTGATAGGGACTTGTCTTGGTGCTTATGTTGGTTGGACCACAGTTAGGTTTGTCCAAGCATTCGCTAACAGTGCATTACTACCGCAGTTTCTCGGGATCTGCTACTCGACCATTGCTCTCATCAGTATGCAATCCCTCGCCTATCCAGACCGTGCTAATTCAGCGTAGTGGGCCACTATGGCGGGGGCCTTCATGTTTACGATGTACCGGTTGAACATCTCATTCCATTCCAAAAGGTATAACCTCAGCTCGAATTAATACATAATACTCACACATACAGACCGTCTACGTGACCATGGTCATGTACGGCCCGACCGCATATCTCACGAAAGTATCCCTCCTGTGGATCATGACCCGAGTATTCAAACCGTTCCGTGAATTCGTTATCTTCATCTACATCTTCCTCGGGGTCATGCTAGCCTACTACATCCCGGCCGTCATCGTCAAGATCCGCATCTGCAACCCCATCTCGAAATTCTGGGCTCCATCCACGCCCGGATCATGTCTCGACCAGACCTCCATCATCCTAGCCGACGCAGTCGTGAGCGTCGTCAGCGACATGATTATCCTCCTACTCCCGTTACCGCTTACGCTGCGTCTCCAACTCCCGATGAAGAAGAAGATACGCGTGATGGGCATACTGGGCGCAGGGGGGATGGCCTGCGCGTTCAGCGTTATCCGATTGATTCTCATTGTTGTCACCGGGCAGTCCGACGACGGGACGATCGCATTCATGAGAGTGAACATGTGCGGGTAAGTGCACTCTCCTCTCACCATCTTCCTCTACCAGTTCTAACTATCCACCAGAAACGCCGAAATCGCCATCGGCATCGTCTGCGCTTGTCTCCCCGCCCTCTCAGCTCTCATCACGCACGTCTGCCACGAATACTCCAGCAACGGCGCGACGCACACATCCGGGAACGATGCCAGCAAGGGCAATCGCGACAGCCGTGCGGAGCGAGTCAGGCCGCCTCTCCAGCTGAAGGAGATGGACTGCGACCAGGACATTCTGATGCAGCATGTTCAAGGTCAGCCTCGGATCGAGACGGCGGTTCTAAGCGAGGGAGGTCATTTTCATGTCGAGGCAGGCGGGATTTTAAAGACGGTGGATGTGTCGACGTCGGTGAGTTCGAGGGGTGGGTAGACGATGGATTGTATACCATGTACTCTATTATTTTGAGACAATATACCGGCATACTAATATGGAGACAGTCTTTGAGGAATGTAAGCATCTATCGCCTAACATGATAGGTAAAATCATGTGTATTCTATCTACGCGTAGGCCTCATTTGAGCGCGATAAATCACACCGCAGGCCTAGCCTAGAAATTCACTATTGCCATCCATGTCAATCCGATGACCATCCTTAAAACTCTGGATATTTGAAAACGAACCGGCCAGTTCGGTGTCCAAAGTAGCCACACAGCTACGTAGGTGTCCGTTCGAATTTGTAAAAAAAAAAAAAAAAAAACCGAGGTAGAGACAACCCAAAATAATCCAAATAACAGGCCAGAACTAAAGCCGAATTACTGCATTCCCTAGTAATCCGAAAGAGTATACGATACTCAGGGCATCGCCTACAAAGTACCCACGACACCTAGTAGCCAGAGTATAAACTTAGTACTACGATACAGTATGCACTGTAGCACAAAGAGTCTAGCCAGAATACAATTAATAACCCCACCCCACCCCTCCTCTTCATCGTGGAACTAACCTGAGTTAACCTGAATGAGCAAGCTGATCAACATCGGTCTTCGTGCCGCGATTCCTCCTTCTCCGCACTTGAGTACCCCGGATCAACGTAACCCCTCCTTTGGACAGTGCCGAGGATAAGGGATATATCTACCTACCTCATCTTTCTGATATCTTTTCTGTTTATCTATCGGTGACGTTGCACATTCAGATTTACATTCACATTCTATTTGATAGTCATACACGTAAAGTACATTCATCCAAATACACCCATCCAAGGACAGCAGCAGCAAACACAAAACCAAGCCATCCATATTCAGACAACTCAATAACAACTCGATCGAATAGCAAGATGACAAAATCATCATCTCCCGGAACAAGACTCCAAGGGAAAGTCGCCATCGTGACGGGTTAGTATCCCATTCCACATTCCCCCATTCCCTCATCCTATCTATTTCAGAGCCTAGACCCTCGGTTCTAGAATAGACAGAGAGATAGCACCCAACCCAACACCTACCTAAATAACTTGACACAAAAAATACAGGCGGCGGATCCGGTTTCGGCGCCGCAATCGCGCGCCGCTTCGGCTCCGAAGGAGCAAAAGTGATAATCGCAGACATCAACGCGGAAGGCGGCCAGAAAGTGGCAGCGCAGGACCCAGACAATCTGATTTTCCAGGCGCTGGATGTCACCAAGGCCGAGGAGTGGAAGGCCGTTGTGGATAAGGCGATGGAGAGGTTTGGGAGATTGGATGTTTTGGTTAATAATGCGGGGACGACGTATCGGAATAAGGTCTGTCTGTTGTTCCCTCCCGGTTTGTGATTGATCTTACTTGTGGCTTGGGGTTCTGAGTTCTGGGTGTTGGGTTCATGGTTCCTGAAGTGCTAGGTGGTTGATTGATCGGTAACCGACTGACTGTGAATGAGCAGCCAACTGCAGAAGTCACCGAAGCAGAATGGGAACGCGTCTTCAACGTCAACGTGAAAGGCATCTTCCTGGGCACGAACGCCTTCATCCCGAAACTGATCGAGCAGGGACAAGGCGGTTCAATGATCAATGTTTCGTCGACGGGAGCGACGAGACCCAGACCTGGATTGGTGTGGTATAATGCGTCCAAGGGGGCCGTGTCGAATGTATGCCTCTTCTTTTCCTCTTCCTTTTCCCCTTCCTTTCCAACCCAACCCGACACAAGTGTCCATGGGAGGCCATTGCAGAACTGATGGTAAAACAGGCAACAAAAGGCCTAGCAGCCGAATACGGTCCGCACAATATCCGCGTCAACACCGTCTCGCCTCTCTTATCTGGAACAGGCCTCTTCTCCATGTTCACTGGCATGCCAGATACGCCTGAAAACCGAGAGAAGTTTATCGGGAACGTGCCACTTGGCAGACTGACGGATCCCGAGGACGTCGCGAACATGTGTCTGTATCTGGCAAGTGACGAGGGGAGTTTCGTGAACGGGACTGAGATGATCGTCGATGGAGGGAAGTGTATTTAGTTGGACTTTTGCTGCTGCAATTAGCGTATTTGCAAATTGATGGGTGAAAGGCAGTTGAAGATAATCGATGCTTTTGTTTGAAGAACTCGACGTGGCAGTCTGTTACGTATAAAGCAGCCGAATTGATGATAGTCGATTAAATCTGTTGCGGCCATGCACGCGGATCGAACAGGGACCAGTCTTCCTCGAGTAGACCCATCATGTGCTGATTCCCAGAGAACCAGTTCCCCAAGGTAGTCTGGGGTGCGTTAATGGGCAGCGCTTGACCCTCCACTCCTCTCATCTCGGTAGGCATCTCGCCGGTCAACGGATCGGCGGCGACTGTAGCGGCTGCCGCAGGATTAGCTGGACCTGGAACAGCAGCAGTGGCAGTCCAGCGCATTTCCGTATCGTCGGTCGGGGCCGGCGCCAGTCCAAGCGCTGTAAAGTATGAGTCGAACTCCTGACCCACAGAGGCCAGGGACTGGTCCTGTTGGGTCTGGGCCTGGGATTTGGCTTCTAGGTATAATCTCGCGACGGTACTTAGTACCTGGCAGAGGCGGTGCATTTTGGCGATCGCCTCGGACAAAGCGCAGACTGGTTCGAGGGAGGCGACGAAATCTTCGATGCGTTTGAGGTCCGAGTGGGAGGAGACTTCGATGATGTGGCAGAAGAGGACGATGAACGGAACGAAAGGGGAGTAGAGTATGGTCCTGAGGAGGGAAGATAGTCAGCTTCTGATTAGAATATGTCGGACCCTCCAAGCGCACTTACCAATGCAAGTAGGACCGCATCAGGTACTCGTCCACCTCGCTGAACATCGCCATGCAAGTCTGATGCGATTCAAGAGCAATCCTAGCCGTCTCGATGCACTCTTTGATAAAGGTGCTGGGAGAGTCAGGGGGCGGTGGGATGGCTCTGTAGATGAGAGTCAACACAGATAAGCGACACACTTCGTCAGACCGAACGTAGAGCTCCTCCACAATGTTCATTTTCGGGACCGTCTTGAAGATAAGCTATCGTAGGTCAACAGCTGATTTCTATGATAAGTGCCTGTCTTTAGGGATCCTACCTTGAAAGGCTCCATGACTTTCCACTGCATGTCCGAGGCTAATTGACGAGCATGGCCCACTCGCTCGGTCTCGGGCTGACAAAGGGCTGCAGGGCTGTACAGCTTCTCGTACACCTTGCCCTGGATCTTTGCCAACCGGATCCACAGCATGTAGATGTCCCTGTAAGGCTCCAACCCGACCAATGTACTCGATTCCCACGACAAAGAAATGTCGTAGTCCTGGATGGTCGAGGCGCGCCCGAGACGCAAAGAGAGCGCCTTATCGATGCAATATATCGACCAAAACAATCTATTCTTGTGCTCCTTGACAGCCGCACTGTCGTTTTCCATAGAAGACGCCCGGTGGTAGCCCAGAGTTTGGCACAGACGGGACGCAGTGGAAGTCAGCGTCAGAGCAAACGATGGTTTTGAAATTTCGATGGCATGAACAGCCTAATTGGTCAGTATGCCTCTGTATACGAACGGCAGAAAACTCACTCCCAGGGTCAGTGCCTCGACAGATTCCATCCGCGCGGGCATCAGGAGACTAAGATTAGCTAGTGCCGTTTCCAGATTGGCGTGGCAAAGCTTCAGATATTTCCGGTAATTCTCGCGTGTCTCGTCATCTTTGACCGTATAGCTATACTCTGAGAAAACATAGAACAGCCCTCCATTGACAACAATGAACGTGGCGTCCGAGTATTCCTCCGTGGCAAAGTACACCTCTTTGCATTTCTCGATCAGACGCTCGGCCGGGATAAACGGACAAAAGCCTTGCAAGGCGGTTGGCGGGTCCTCTGGGAGTGCGTGAGCATTCCTTCGCCAATTCTCCAACGAGAAACGTACCTTTCAACCGGCGCAACACCGGCAGAACGCTCTGAATAGGCGGCATGATTAGGTCGCGCAACCCAGAGTTCGGCATGGCCCGCTGATTGGGAAAACGGACTTCCCGGGCTGACGAGCTCGTCTGGTTATCCTGCATATTGACCATCTGCTTCAGCGTGGACAACGCCGCGCCCATCTTCGGGGTCGACATTTGGAGCGCACTGCGGGAGACAGCTGTTTCCAGGAATCTACTCGCGTAGGCGGAATGGGCGGCAAGCGAAGAGTTGCCCTCAAATGCAGGATCGGCCTCGTGCTGGTCCAAGGCAGCGGTAGTGTTGGAGCGAAACTCGGCCGTCGAGGGGGTGGCCTGTCCCGATACAGGTGTGGCATGGTAATATGGCTCGGCGGGAGACTTGCTAAAAGACCCCATGCTGGATCTCAACTCTCGGAGAACCTGCTCAATACTTCCGAGACGTTCCTCGATAAGATCGATTTTCTTTTCACTGGACGAGAAGGGAAAGGGTCAGGATACACTAGGTGGATAGAACGGCACAAAGATAACATCCACGTACTATTGACTAGAGATCAAAACTCTTCTACGGGGCTCACGAGGCTTCTGCCCAGCTCCAGTGGAGCGACAGACAATCTGAGAACTGCGACAATTCGAGCATGGGGATTGCTTGTCGCAGCGTATCTAGTAGGGGATGGTCCGCAATTAGGGTCGACTCCATGGCGGATAATATGGAGATATGACAACTGCCAAGAGAAGCATACCTTTCTGGCACGGCATTGATCACACTATGCACCGTTAGTATGCATTTCGACTCGCAGAGCCACAGTGCATGGGAGTAGATAATCTCACCGCACGTCTGCCCAGCGACTCCTTACCGTCGCTCTCGGGTCCCTCGGGCTCCATGCTGGCGGGATGTCACAAAGCACAAAGACAGGGGAAGGATAGGCGAGTAAGAGTTTTACTTCCAGCAGCTAAACGAGCACAAAAGTCGGCGTAAGACAGGCCGAGGAGCGTGGAGGTCGTAAATCAAAATGGTGGCGGAACCCGCGGACGCCGAGGAAATCAGGCAGCATTGATTTGCCAGGCCGCCCGCCCGTGACTTCACCACTTTGACGATGTTCGCTGGCGACGTTTTCTCTTTAAGAATTCCCCCTTTCTCTAGGCAACCCAGTTTTTTGGGTCTTCACGGTACCTGATCGGCATGACCCGATTCACTGCCACCACTACATTGGTAATCGTCTACTCTAGATTTGTATTCGTCTATGTATATTCTATCTCGGTTGTTCGCCGATGTCCGTGTCTTCATCAGTCATACATGCATCAATCCAGTCACCCAAGTTCACCGAATCATTTCTTGATACCGATAATAGCCAAATTCCGTGGGCTTTCGCTGTAATCGAATACGGGTTCAACCCAGCAGTCTTGGACGGTGTCGTACTCGCGGAGGAATTGCCAACGGTCGACGACAATGATGGCTTCCACCAATGCAGAGCTGTAGGCCATCAGGGTCCAGACCACGCTAAGCTTCTTCTTCGCGTGCCAGTACTGCTCCACGTAGCGAGCCAGTTCCTCGTCAGTCAGGTCGGCCATTCCTTCTCGGACCTTTTCGCCAAAGTGCGGGTCACGACTCAGTTTCGTCGTCGCAGCGCGGGCGTACGCCGGGAACGAGGCAAAGGCTGCCTTGCGCAGGGAGCCGACAATGAGAGGGTTTCCGGTTTTGGTTTCGGTCGATTCCTCTGTTCCATACAGATCCTCTGGCGTTTCCGGCTTTTCCACAATCTTACGATCGACCAGAATGCGCTGAAGGAGGGTGCGATAAAAGTGGCGCGTAAAGAAATTCTCGCTATCCTCCCTGCCCCAGTTGTAAGGAGCTTGTAGAGACATCGACCGTGCGGTGATGTTCAACTTGACGCCGACGCCACTGTCGTGCTCAAAGTCCTCTAGCCGCTTCGACATGGGAAAGCCGTGCGGGTCGTACGCAACGGCGTCCTGAGTCAGACGGGGGTGCATGGAACGCAGGATGGGGAGTTTGTAGGTCGCGGGTCCGAGTCGCTCAGTCACCAGATTGTAGCAGCAACCGATCATGGCGATGGCTTTCACCGACGGATTCACTACTAAAGATCGCACACCGTGGTGGAGAAGGTTGCCGCAAGAATGCAACGAGATGACCATGACCTTGGCATCTGAAGGCTTGCCATTGTCCTTTCCGTCAACCGTATCAATCGACTCCTGCTTATCACCAGCAGAAGGCGCTTCAATGACATCTTTGATGATAGGCTCCAGATACCCGTCCTTGATTTCATGCTCGATGTAGTCCATAGTACCCCTTGGTTGATCAAGGCCTGCACTCTCCTTCTTCTTCGCCAATTTGCCATTAGGATCATTGTGGAACGGAGCAAATCCAATCTCGCCAGGCGTGAGACTAATATCGCGAAAGACATTCACCATCGAGACATCCTCGCCATTCTCGGCCGGCTCCTCGCTGGGTGCGGATTCCACCGTCTCTGACTGTTGCGAAGGGACCTCCGGTTCTGTCGCCTCAGGCGCCTCAGGATCCGCGCATTTTACACATTTATCCGTTTTGGCATTGTACATGCGCACCTTCTTCTTCTCCGTCAACTGCGCGTAGATGTCCATGTCCTTGGCCCCGTTGATGAACTGGTGCTTGCGCTCAATGGCAACAATATGCCTGTTGTATGGCGGACTCGCCAGCGTCCGTCCCAGGTAACTCTGCCCCGACCCGAAATCCACGACATGGGTGAGTTTATCGCCGCGCTGCTCGTCCACCACGGCGCACAAGGAATCCACATATCGCGAGAAATGCGCCACCTCGTGATATTTCTTCGTCTTCATCCCCACGGCAATCCGCCGCGGTATCGAGGGGTTACCGGGCTGCGGCGGGTGGAAATCCCGCTTGAGACTCAGCCGACGGATCTGGTGGATGTATTCGAGGAAATCGAGCGGGGGAAGCGCAGCGCCTCGCCATTCATTGCTGGCTTCGTCGCCGGCGGCGACTTTCCGGCTTTTCTCGAGGAGCGGCGGGAGATCTTCCCGAAGAACCAAATCGATGATGTCTTGGATATCGTGCTGGTCGAAGAAGAATCGCCATGATTCGGGCAACAGCGACGTGTAGAGGTCGGGCTCGCGCGTCAGGAAATCGAGGATATGCACGCCCCCGCAGAGATGTCGGAACATGTCTGACGAGGTGGCGAATGACAGGAGGGCATCGACGTAGGCATCGTGGTCAGTCCACTCGTCGGCGAGTGGAAGAGGGTTGGGTCGTGACATGCTGGAGGGGTTTGGGCTTGCGCGAGTTCACAGTAAACGGGGTATCATATGGTTGGTGCAGGACGCGAGGGCGGGGTAGAACAGGAAGAAAAAACAGAAAAGAAAAGAAAAGAAAAAGGACAAAAGGAGAAGGAAGATCAGAGATGTCAATCTAGCATCGTGGGGTTGTCCTGTCTGGAAATTCTTGGGTGTCGCAAAGAAAAGAAAAAAAAAAAAAAAAAAGACGGAGGGGAAAATACGAAAGGGGTTTAGCCGGACGGCGCTCCACCCAGAATTACGGGGAATGTGGAGGTCGATCGTTATTCACCTCTCGGACTACTAAGTAGGAGTAGGGGTCTGGCTATGGAGGGCTATGGAGTATCATAGTACTTCGTATGGCTGAATAGGTATGAACTGATGTTATTTGACCTATCTACGGAGTAAACATCCCCTAATAATTCCTCCGGTTGAGTGACGTCTCACCAGTTGAGACCACTAACTAACCAGGCCTAAACAGTCAGTGCAACAAACTATTGACACCCGATGGAAATAGTGGCCTATAATTGCTGTCGTCGCAATCTGGCCGGTATAGGGGATTAGAACAGTGGTACGACAGGCCCGTCCAAATGGTACAAGCTAGCCTCTGACCAATTTCTCCGGTGGTGCGTATATAGAATGTGATAGAAGCAATATTGCCAACGCATAATCCCTCAAACCGGATTCTTCCTTCTGCTCATTCCTCCGTGGACGTGGTTGGATTCTTCAGGAGAATCAAATGCCCAATTCTGCCCGAGAGGACACCACGTCTTTATATTCCTCCCGACTGACCAGTCAGTTTGGCATCGGCGAACCACGACGGATGTTGCATCTGCAGCCTGCATGCTCAGCCCTTTCGACATACATCATACCCAAGGGCTCAGCCGCTTATCTACCAACGCGTCACACCGTCTGCGTCTTTATTGCCTTCAAGCAACAAATGTCTCCCCCTTGCTGATAGACGGCCAATCCTGAGCGTGTCCGCGGAGTATTAAATGGGCCATATCACATCGGATTCCGCAACACGAACTCGTCTGACTTCAATCATGGTGAGTACAGGGTCTGACTTTTTCGCCAGTACAGTTGCTGATCGTCGTAATTGCCAGTTTTTGACAACTAGTAAGCCAAAGGCACTGCCTTTTGGACGGATCCACGATGTACTTTTTCAGATCATCATCAACGGAGATATCGACACTGTTTTGACCCTTTGTCTTGTGAGCAAGAGCACCTATGAAGTCATCAAAAGCTTGGAGCATCACATCTGCGGATCTTTTATGCGTTCTCATGGCATCACTTGGTTTGACCCGGTCCTTACCTTAAATCCGTGGACTGGAGGCCAGAATGCCGTCACGGTGCACAGCATTCGAAAATTCATTGAGCGCCAGGATATTGCGCAACGACTAGCCCACCATATTGTGCCCTCGGTGTGGGGATCCTTCTCAGACGACGAAACATCGATCATGAACCTCAAAGCGGAGCTCCAGCTGGCCCAACGGCTGGAACGGGGCCTCTATGTGCTCTTCCACATGGCGGACATCGCCCACCCGACTAGGAAAGTAAAGCAGAGACGGTTCTCGAACCCAGTCATCACCGGGAGGCTGATGGTGCTCAGCAAGATGCTGGACGAATATCACCACCTACCACCGCACACGCGAAAGGCCGTCTCGTTGGAAAACTACGTCAGTCACATCCAAAGGGTGCTGAAATACGGATACAAAGAAGCCGACATCGGCAGAAGACGACTAGAGCTTCGAGGCTACCTCGACGAGCAGACGCAAATCGATTTCCACACCACGGTCCGGATGCTGCGCGAGCTCATGGAGCGCATGCTCCTGCGCCACGGACCGAAGGATTACCACCGAGACACCAACAATGAGTTCAGTGTGATCTCATGGTTCCTTCTGAAGCAATCGCCGCAGTCTCTGGAGAAGCTGTTCCTCGGCCCTCAGGATGATTGCTGCACGTTCAAGCCAGACTCTCCTACCTGCAGTGTCAAGCAATGCTATTTCTCGGACCCGCTGGACGACTACTGGAGAGCGTGGAAGGATGTTCCCGACTTGGGGTGTCGGGGCTGCGACTGCAAGAGACGGGTTCGAAGCTGGAGTGTCAAGCCAGCGCTGATCGACGCTCACGGACGGGAGTTTAATCGTGCCGCAGAGCGTTATCTCAAAGAGAGCTGGACTCAACGGCATGTTGGGCTGCACCGTGCTTTTGCGATGGGATGTTTCAACATAATTATCTGACGGAGTTTGATACCCGGGTTGAAGGATAGAGTGGAATAGAAGGATAGATTGTTAATCAACAAATATTGAGATTCAGGAACTACTATGGTTCCTGCACACCGAACATCATCTGTAGATGCATCCATCGATAGATTCAGCCCCTAAGGGAGTCCCTGACCGCCTTTCCTACCGCCAATGACCATCCCGGGCCCTCTCCGCTCCTGATCAGCTCGATAACCGTCCATACTTGTACTCAAGACATCATCCCCATCATCTCGAACGTCAAGGCGGCAGATAGACAGAGTCCATACAAAAATACTAAACAAATCTCATCAAAATGGATCACTCCGACCCCTTCCTCCAAGTCCAAGCGTAAGTCCGACCCTCATCCCCCTTTTAGCCGCTGATGGCTGACGCATCCCGATACCTCTAGAGACGTTCTCTCGACGCTGCAGACCTCACGCCCTCTATTCTCCTCCTACCTTCGCATCCGCTCACTAGCCAAATCTCCAACGAACCCGGAACTGCAACAATCACGCTCCGAGCTAGAAACCACCCTCACAGACCTCAGCGCCGATCTAGACGACCTGGTCGAGAGCGTACGAGCCATCGAACAAGACCCGTACCGCTACGGCCTCGAACTCGAGGAGGTGCAACGACGACGCAAACTCGTCGAAGATGTCGGCGCGGAGATCGAGAAGATGAGACAGGAGCTGCAGCGGGCCGTCACCAGCTCGGCCGCCAACACCAGTCCCAATCATGCCTCGGGACTGCCTAACCCAGCGGAGTTCGATGATAACGCGCTTTCGCCGTCGGGCGAGGATCGAGGGGACGATTACTATGCGGCTATGGAGCAGCAGCGGCAGACGGAGCTCATGCACGAGCAGGATGAACAGTTAGACGGGGTGTTTCGGACGGTCGGGAATCTGAGACAGCAGGCCAATGATATGGGGAGGGAATTGGAAGAGCAGGCGGTTATGATTGGGGAGGTAGATACGTTGGCGGATCGAGTGGGTGGGAAGCTACAGAGTGGCATGTCGAAAATCAAGTATATCGTGAGGAAGAATGAAGGTAGGTTCCGTCTTCTGCCACGCTTACGACTGCAAGGGAACACCGAAAATCATGCTGACTGGGGTTATAGATACGATGTCGTCATTCTGCATCGCGTTGCTCATCTTCGTCCTCATTCTCCTGTTGATTTTGCTCATTGCATTATGAAGATCTGAATAAATTAAATCGGTGCAAAGATCAACTCGACCTCGATTTCAGATATCAAGGTCCGACCGTTAGACCTTGGTCTTCTTGCGGGGCCTCTCCTCCTCGCCCTCGTCGTCATCCTCATCCTCTCCATCCATGAGTTCACTAAGGTCCTCGTCGTCGGCAGACCCGCCTGGTCGAGATGTCAGCGTTCTGTGCGAAATTCCAGTAGCGAGATACGGACCGAAGTATTTGAAGGCGTGGGTGTACAGATCCTCCGCCAGGGCGATGGCGAGCTCGTCGCCATCGCGGAAGATCTCAACTGCCTCATCGTCGTCTTCGTCATCGTCGTTCTCATCCTCCTCGTCCTCTTCGACCTGCTCGCCTTTGAGCAGCTTCTCGAATCGCTCGTCATCCTCCTTCGTGGCAGCCTGAGACTCCTCCGCGGAAACGGAGCGTCCGCGGTACCCGAAGAGGGAGAAGAAGCTCGTTCCGGCGGGGCTCAGACCACCCAACGAGAAGTCATCATCGTCGGCGTCCTTGCCATCGTCGTGCTCATGGGACTCCTCGATCTTGCTCTGCAGCTTCTTGAACTCCGGCAACTCCTTGCGATCACCCTTGTTCTTCTTCTCGGCCTCGGCAAGATCACACGCGGCGTCCAGCACGCCCTTAGTCAGATCCTGACCAGTCTTCCAGTTGATGCGCACGGGCTCAGAAACCAAGCCCTCCCACGACCTCTTCAAGCCAGCAGGCGAGCGCGTGATCTGCTTGCGCCAGTAGAAGTCCTTAACCAGCTTCTCGTTGTCGAAGTGCTCGTTATCAGCGGGACGGAACTCAAAGATGAGACGGAAGCTGCGCGGCTCGCCGTTGCCCTGGTCGTCGACCTCGAAGCGCTCCACCGAGAAGGACTGCAGCGCGGTGCCGAGGACCGCGGCGTCGGACTCGAGGACATACTCGTCGACATCCGGGGGAGCGTTGGCGAACACCTGGGTCCAGAAAGTATCCTTGAGAGGGGAGTTGGCGATGGCCTCGTCGCGTTCTTTGAGGAGGGGGCGGAAGCGAGTGACGCCGCTGCGGACTGAGGTTGGATTAGCGTTAGCGATGATAGAAGAATAGAACGACAGAACAGAACTATATGAATGTAGCAGAACTAGGACAGATCCAACCCAGTCTCGTTCATGTAACTGGAAAGCAAAAGACGACGGAAATCGCTTCAAACCAAAAATGAAAGAAAAAGGGAACTCTCACTCTGATCAACCTCAGCACGCACAAACTTCTGCTCCAGCAGACCGAACTGCTTAGCCAGCTCCTTAGGGAGCTCAGGGAGACCAGTATGCTCGTGATCAGCCATTGTATAGGTAGAGTTAAGTGTGAAGAATTATCGTAAGAGAAATAGATAGTAATCAAAAACGAAGATCAAAAGAATTAATCGCCAACCAAAAAAACCCAAGGTATGACGCAAGTAAGCAAGAACACGGAGTTCCAAAGATAAAAAAAGACGGGGTATCGACGGGAATGCTCCGTAGGATAAAAAAAAGAAGAAAGAAGAAGGGAAGCTCAACGATCAAAAACGCGAACTTTTCAAGGGGGTAGAGCAGGAAGATATAGCTCAGGGGGATAAGCAAAGAGGGGAAGAAATAGAGTTGTAAGAGAGTGAGAATGGAAAGACAATCTTAAGAGATTTTTTAATTAAAGTTGCGCATCGCCATGAATCCCGTGCCTGACTAAGGCGCGTTCCGGGCCAATCGGGCGTGTGTGAGGAGGTGCGGGTTAACGTCATCACTTGGGAGGTAACTACTAACTAGGTAGTATTGCTAGCAAGTCGAGTATACCAGAAATTGTTGATGTCAAATAACTTGAACAAACTACTACACTCGTCAAGGGCCGATCAACTCGTCGGTATTCGCTGCCCGTCCTTCCATCCATGTATGCAGTTTCTCCCAGTTCACGCATTTCTGCACCTTGGGCACATTGTGTGTCGGGATGTCCTGTCTGCGTGGACCCCAAAAGACCGTGTAGAGAGAGTAGTCCAGATTGCATAAGCTACCCTGACGGAGGAAATCGAGGCAGTGGTCTATAGCAAGAATCAGTATGTTGCGGAGCGACGAGAAATACGAAGACAATCTAACTGACCTGCGTGATCTTGAAGATATAAGAACTCTTCGCTACTTTCGTCCATTCCCGGGTAGACGTCTTTGTGGTAGAGGAACTCTTTGATCTTTTTCTGCTCGAGGTGCAAATGGATCAGGATCATTCTTTACATGAAGGGTGATAGACCAAAGGGACATACCACACAGTGCAGACTATGCGCAACTCCCAGACCTGCGGCATATCCTCCTCCCTTTAATGGGATGGAGTCGCCGCCGGATTGCGCCAGTTCTTCTTCGGAGATACGGAAGAGCGTTCCTAAGACAAGCAGAATGGTGTCAGTATATGGCCAGCCCTCATAGGAAGAAGGCGAGCATAATATACTTACCAGACATCAGTTCACTCATGGACTGTTGCCACTCGGGTCCGGGATGTCCTCTAAATCGAGTGTCGTTTTTCATCATGGATCGATATTCATATTCAATGATGTCGTTGGCCGGCGCTACAACATAACCATGTCAGGCGCCTGGCATTCAGCAGACAGAGTGTAGAAGTTGAAAGGGACAGTTCCTACAGTATGGGTCCTCAACCTCCCCATACGGTCTCTCATTGCGTGTATTCGAGCGAGAGACGAATAGCAGGGTCGCGCTCAAGAGTACACAAATCGTTAAGAGGACCGCATTCGAAAGCACCGAGACAGCAAGAACTCGGTTCCGACTTTGGTGCTTGCAACATACATAGGAACCTCTGGGAGTCTCATCCTCGCTTGTTCTCTCGAGAAACGGCTGCTGTTCCTCACTCGACATCGCCATGACTCTGAGGTAGATTGATCGAAAATTCTGTGACGGGGGAAGGTCGGGGACACCTTCCTATCAACCTGTCAACAAAAAGATGACCATCCCACCACTACCCCTACAGTACGAATGACCCCGAAAAGCAAACAGTACCAGCGCCAACAGCCTTACAGTTGGCCACAGCATGTACGATTATTGGAGCTCTCGACCCACCGGTCTATTTGCGCGAACAGGGATCAGATCATCCAAACCCCGAATTCCACATCCAACATTTAACCCCGCACGAGGCGCTCTAGCTATCAGGCTGGTTTAAAAGGCAATGCGCGGGCGTTTCATATGTACCTGGGAGAGCCACTGCCAGCGCCTGCCGCGTTGGATGACAGGGGTACTATGCATGGTGCGATGAGGACAAAGAGGAAGGTGTGCTGACTGCATATCAACGTAGGAGATATCACTTTCCGTCGCGAGAGGCGCCAAAAATGTCTTATTACTGGAATCGGTTATGATCCTGGGGAATTCTGGCCTCGCATCGTTTGGACAAGATGGCAAACAACGACGATCTTGCCTGACTGGGGAAATGCAGCTTCTGCAGTATTGATAGGCAAGTTTGGAAAGGAACGAGTCGCGCCTTGTCCACGTCCATCACCTCGTCGATATCCGTGATTGCTTGCGTTGAGTCGCACATGTTGGGGGCTATGTATGCAGGTCTGATGTTCTGAGAATGCATCGTCTTGGTCTTGGTCATTGGAGTCTGAATGGGCGGCAGATGCACCCCTGAAGTGTCGACCGTCGTATGCCTGATGCTGTTGACATGCTGGAAAGCTGGAAGGCGTATTTGAAGCCCAGTGTATCCAGCAAGATGTTTGGTATTTCCAGAGTGTGAATACGTTCTCTTCCATCTACCCCTGCGATAGACCTTGTCTGTCCATCAGAACCTCCTTTCCACAGGCGTTTTAGCAACCAGACAACCCTCCTTCAACATGAAGCACCTTCTCCTCATTGCCGGATTTCTCGTTGCCCTGACAGCTGCTGCACCGATGCCTCCAGGTATGCAATACAACTCCGACCCCTCACTTCCTTCTCATTAAACTGATGGGGTTATCGCGAGAATAGTCGAGCGCCGCGATGGGAATACCGAATTCGATCCCGACTATATCTTCAAGAATAAGCGCGCTGAGAACACGGAGTCTGATCTCCACTACTTCGTCAAGAGATAGATCAGACTGGTTTTGATTGAAGCCGTTATGTTCCTGTAGGGAAAGGAACCGAGCCTGTCGGCGAGAATGTCTCAGGAAGTGGGATTCCGCAAGCTTGATGGGGATGGATTTTGTGGTATGTTTACTTTATCGATAAAGCTGTTGAAGGACGTTGATTCTTTATGGTCGTATGTATTTGAAGAAAGCCATTTTCCCTCCTCTAAGATCTTAGATGTATACTTTGTATAGATCACCCTATGATTTCATCCTGAGCATTCACCATACCCCAGGGGAAGTGATAGCTCCATCATCTCATAATGGGACAAGATGCTCACCAGCAACGAATAGTAGGACCTTTTCCACTCTCCAATGGCCTCCCAATAGCATCAATTTCTGGGGGTCCTAAAACAGCCCCCGCCTCCAAGGAATAACCGCCAAAAAACAAACATCGACCCAGTCACTTACGGATCACGAACCGGACGATCAGGGGCTTGAACCTGACAGACGTACGAGTCATGCAGTCAGCAACAAATCGAGTCAGGCTGAAAGTGCCCAACAAGTCCCCAACAAGTCCGTCTACCTCCGGGAAACAAAGAAAGATGCTTCTTAGTGCGGGGCCTCAGCTCAGCTCAGGCATCCCGCCAACTCAGCGCACCACATAAAACCCACCCATATTCCCTCGAAGACGTAGCATATGATGTAGGATACTACTCTATTTTCGTTCTTTCTTTCTTCTTCTTCTTCTTCTTCTTGCTTGGACTCACCAAAATGTCTACTCCCATTCGTATCGCCATCCTAGGCGGCGGCCTGGCAGGCGCATCACTTCTCCACGCCCTCCAGCCACACTCACATCTCGATGCACACATCTTCGAGTCCGCCTCGGCCTTCAAAGAATCCGGCATGGCAATTGGAATGGCCAGCAACGCCCTCGAGGCACTCGATCTCATCGGCCCGTCAATCGCGCAGTGTCTCCAACGCGCCGGGGCAGTGCCTATGCGCGGGGTGAGAAGCATGCTCGCGCAGGGCCCCCGCGCAGGGGAGATGTTTGCTGAAGTGGACGAGACGGACGGCCGAGCGCGCGTCACGAGCATTGTGCATCGCGCGGCGTTTCTGCATGAATTGCTGGCCGACGTGAATCCGGAGCGGATGCACGTGTCGAAGCAATTGCTGCGGTTTGAGGCGCATCCTGACGGCTCCCTGACGCTGCATTTCGCGGACGGGTCGACGCACGACTGCGATGTGCTGATCGGTGCCGATGGCATCAGGAGTACTGTCAGGAAACTCCTGCTGGGTGTCGATGACCCTGCCGCTGAGCCGCGGAACACGGGCGCCTGGTGTGTCATGGTTCTGAAGCCGTATGCGGCGGCCCAGGCGAGTCTGGGCGCGGGCCCCGTCAATATCGAGAATGCGCGCGAGTATATGTGGATTGGTGAAGGGGTGTGGATGATGCATAACCTGTTGCAGCAGGGTCAGTTGGTGCAGTTTGTCGTGGCGGCGTATGAGAAGGACGCGGAGGGGTCGGATCGTCGACATCGCACAGTCGGCGCGGACGAGATCAAGAGACTCTTTGAGGGCTTTCCGCCGCATTTGGTCCGGGCGGTGGATGAGGTGAGCCTTCTTCTTCTTCATAATTCCTCAGGTTGTTATACCAGCTAACACAGACCAAGCTCATCTGCGATCAACCCGAACAAACCGCCATGTATCTCTGGGATCATCCCCCAGCGCGGACGTACGTCTCGGAATCGGGGTCGGTCTGCATTATGGGCGATGCCGCACACGCGACGACTCCCTGGCATGCCGCTGGCGGTGGCATGTCCGTCGAGGATAGCCTCATCCTGTCAGCGCTCCTAGGGCGGGCGCAGTCCGTTTCGGACGCGCGCACGGCGTTGAAGGTCTACGATCAGGTGCGGCGTCCGCGCACCCAGCGCATCGTCGAGTCGAGTCGAGCCACGGGGCAGATCTCATTCGGCCTGAGTGAAGAGTTCGGCTTAGACTTTGATAAATTGAAGGCAGGCCTGTTGCCGCGCTGGGACTTTATCGTTGGCTTCAATAATGAGAAGCATCGGGAGGAGGCAATCGAGTTGTTGGAGCAAGAGCTTGCGCAGGTTGGAGTTTGAAAGATATGGAGTTTGAGCTCTGACAGAATACGGAAAGAATCAGAAGAACCTTATGACTCCCTATAGTTCCTACCCAATATGAGTTACTCCTCCGACGTACAGGGAAGGAGATCAAAACCATCCGATTTGGATTGCACGCTGGACGCTCATTGACTGTGTACATTAGTAGAAAAATCTAGGACTGCATTTGAGTGAACCAAAATAAACCGTACAAATCCATTTCATTAACAGACAACCATCAATGAATCCATCCATTCCTTAACCTCGAACAAAGGGAATGAATACTTAGAACTTAGAACCTGAACACTTCCAACCATCCTCATCCCCTACCTTTTAACGGAACACACACACACATATCAACTAGCCCTCACCTTCTCATTATCTCCGTTTCCCTCTCCCCATCAACATCAGCGTCAACATCAAAATGTTCCCTAGAGGAAGGGATCTTATACAACTCAACCTCGTCCTCGTCCCTAAGCCTTTCTCTTCCAGCCCCGCCCTTAATCCCATAACCACGACCATGAATCATATACCCTAGCCCCAAAGCACTCTTAGTAGTAATATACGACCTACCGCGAGTCTGCGATGTAGAGTGGGAGTTAGTAGATGAACCTCCACCCGTCGCTGTACCGGTCTTCCTCGAAGACGAGAACAAGGAGAGCGCAGACGGGAGAGAGCCGAGTTTATGGAGGACTCGAGACAACGAGAGTTTGTCCAGATGGCGCGCGCAGGGAGGGAGACAGGCGACGGTGAATCCGATGCCGATTTCGATGTATGTCCAGAAGAGCATTATGGAGACGATTCCTGATTGGAGGGAGGTTAGCTTTGGTGTCGGATCTCTGTCAGTCTTAGGGGAAAGGAGGTGTAGACTGTGATTTGGGTGGGAAATGGGGCCCTGAGGAAGCATACCTTCTTGATCGATTGTTGGGAGTGTCGTGGATAGAATTTTTGTGGTCGGGTTTTGTGTCCCCTGGATTACTATTTGGATCCAGCCGATCATTCGTAGGAGACCTGCTATGACGGCGCTGGAGGATGGGTTAGTGTTGTTCTTCGAGTAGGATAGACTTTACATAGTGACCCATAGATAATGGATGATGGGACTGACAATATACTACAGAGAAAGACCAGGCAGACCTGGAGTTTCTTTCGAAAACTCATTTGCAAAGGCGCAATCTAACCATGGACATCATCTGTTAGCCGGGAGGAATCAGTGCAGGTGTAACAACTTCGATCCAAGGTAAGGTGCTCAGCCAGACATACCATAAACAACGGCTCAATCAAAATCGCCAAATCCATGACCCAGCTGAACACTGCGCAACCAGTCTGCATCGCAAACGTATCGACACATTTACTTCGCAGCGAAGCCAGACTGGCCCAGCTGACGGACGGGTCTGCACCGCATGCGAAGACCTCCAAGAATAAGAAGATTAGCGTCCACAATGTGACGAGGACGATCAGAGTCCAGTTGGCGTAGTCGAAGGGAGTTCGGTACGCGTTGCCTGCTTGTCCGGAATTTGCCATGCTAGGGTTATTTTCCTTTTCTCTGCGGACCTAGGCATGGGAAATTCACGCACCTTTGAAGATCCGCCGGAAGAGGAAGAGTAGGGCAAGTTTGATCAGGCCGATGGCGAGGACGTGGCCGATCCAAAAGGCGTATTCGAACTAGAGACGTGTAGATACGAGTCAATGCTCGTGTCCAGGAGACTCAAATGATTGAAGATGGAGAAGGACCTTTCCGATTTGTCTCTGCTTGGAAGCAGTGATTCCTAGGTCAGAGTGCCCTCCGACAATCTCCATTTGCGCCCCTATAAAGCGAATCACATTTAGCACGATATCTCTGGCAAGGTGCAAAGGTTTGCTCTTACCTATGACCATCGCTACTCCGGCAGCTATCGTGAGCAACTAATAGGCCAGCAATTGTCAGCTACAAGCGAAGATTCCTTGCAAGAGCTCACTCACCGCAGCAGGCACGATCAGAAAGTCATCGACCCCGACGATCCGTGAATTCCGTCGCCATCCCGAAGCTCGAATCCCCAGCGATACGATGACAAGAACCGGAAAGATGATACCGATGGCCGTGACGCTTTCTTTGTTAACGTATGTCATTGTAGCTGTAGGTGGACCACCTAGACTGGGGGGACGTATTGGCGAAAAAGTTCCAGACTGGCAATCAAGCAGAGTCGTAAGGCCCATCCCATATTTGATCCCACCCACCCTACACCACGTAGCACCCCTAACTTACCAAATGGAAGTCACTTATCGTCCTGCAGGTGATAATGTTTGCTGTGGGGGCGGGGGGAATCAAAAGACAGGCAGCAAGTGTTTCAAAAACGACCTGATCGTCCCTCAGACCGACGACACACATCAACCTTTCCGGGATACGCTGTCATGCAGGAGTATAACTTACTGTAGTACCAGCTCAATGGTTGGTATAAACGCGCTAACCTCCTATAACGCGTAGCCACGCGTTGACGAAACCTCTCCTTTTTAACTATCTACTATAGCTCCAAAAAGGCCTCTTTAGGGCTATTTAGCGATAATATTAGAGGTAATTATCACTTGAAGCCATTTAGGGTATAACGCTGGGTGATTACGCGGCGGCCGAATATGCAAACTTCTGACTACCCATTGTAGGAACTGGGTGTCTCCATTATCAGCTCATCACCACATACCTGGATGGGCCCCTGGACGAGGAACTGCTTTGACTGGGTGGCTGGCCGGTGGTGTCAAGTTTGGGTTGCATTGAGGGCTAATGCATCTCAGCATGCTTCGGGGGCCTCAGAGGCAACGACAGAGAGCGTGATAATGCAGGTCAATCAGCCCGATTTGCAAGCTTGTCATGACTCGTGACATAGAGGGACAAGGATGCAGAAAAAGCACGTATACGCTGAGCCAACTGACCATGCAGGCGACCGGATCAAATCATACAGGAGAAGTGGGAAGGCAAGAGTGGTTTATGGGCGCTAGGTGGCTTCTTCGTACGGAGTACTACTACAGGATTTATTATTTAGTTACTATTGCTCTTGCGCAGACCGAGTTCACCGGAGTGTTTGCTTTACTAAGTCTGTGCCTACAACTACCTACGGATCCCTTTTCGTTTCCTCGCACTCTGTTTCTATCGTATAATCCCTCGCCGCAAGATGGCCACAATCGAAGAACGAGAGAAGAGACCCTTTCTAGCCGGTGAGGAAGGCGAAGCTGATTCGGAAGCTCTTGCTGGCTCCCGACATGAAAATGGCATGGATTCGCAATCTCGCTTTCTCAAGACCTATCGCCTTCTTTTCTTCCTACAAACGGTCTTCCTCGCTGGGAACCTCGCTTTTCTGGGCTGGAATATAAGTTGTGCGAATAAAGGCCAGGTCAGCCATGGCAATGGCATGGGCCTCCAAGTATATAGTGAGTTGTTCAGTCCTCTCCCCCACACAAAAAGGAAAGGATTAACGAGACCAACACCCGCATGTGCACTGTTAACCAAGAAACCCAAATATAGCACCAGCACAGTCCGCTCTCCAGTATACAATCCAAGAGATGGCCTCCGCACCGCCCGGTAACCCCTTCGCCGGAGAACCTAGTCCTGAAATCGACCGCGCCTGGTCAGATTTGCTCAGAGGTGAATCGATCCCCTCCAGCCTTGAATCCAAAGCGAGGCATACACTGAATGCGGAACAGGTGGCATGGTCAAGATATCCGAAGACGAGCTCCGGAAAATGAACAAAACGTCAATCGAATTAAAGGACGGCAGTGGGTACTTGGGATATCTGGAGACGATCCACATGCTGCACTGTGTGGTACGTACAGCGTCTTTATGAACCCCCAGAGACAGTTAGTCAGTAAGCTGATAATCTGATCCAAGAAACGGATCTATCAATACCAATATCCAGACTACTATGCAGGACTTGAAGACTTGCACGCCTTTGAGCCGGGCCATTGGGGTAGCTCCCTCCCCCCCCCCCCTTAACCTTATCCCTCTTTAAGGCACGCTGACATCTATCCTCCAGACCACTGCCTTGAAGTCCTCCGTCAAGGAATATTATGCAACGCCGACATCACGGTCAACACGTACTATTGGAAAAGCGCGACAGAGATACACGGCAATAGAACGGGGACGCGGAAATGCACGAACTGGGAGCGGATTCAAGAATGGGCGATTGACAGGGCGGTTGAATTTGATGGGCCGGATTCGTTTCTGGATAGTTTGGTGAGGGAATAAGGGGCAGACAGATTGACTGAAGACATTAGAGATCAAGGACATATAGCGCATTTCAAGGTCAAGTCAACTTTGAGGAAAGGGAGACAGAGAGAAAGAAAAAAAAGAAGTTTTCTCCAAGTCGAATCAGCACAAGGTGTAATACCTACTCAAATCCATGACGCGATAGCCAATTTCTTGGTTTGTTCCAATGACAAAAGGTAGTATACCCTTTCAGTTTAGTTGATAAGCTATGAGATGATGGGCTCTTCCATTCTCAGTAAGTTTGAGTATGTGGTAGTCTAGGTAGTGTTCAATTAATTCGATCCGGTTCAAGGAACCAGTCGGTCAAGGGTCGAGAGAAATCGATAAATCCAACTGAAGTATTAAGAGGAAAGTCAGATGCAGACGCACATGAAGCGCACATCTCTATTATGCACGCACAGTCCAGATCCCACCCATCTTCATCCTGCAAGAAAAACCCAAAGAACTCGAAAGAAAGAAGAATACACTCAAGAAATAACTTAAGAGCATCAAAGAAGATGAAATAGATTATCTCGATAACAAAAAAAGACAACCGCCGCCAGTGTGCATAGAATAGGACACCCGAGGGGAATAATAAGTATAGAAAAGCAGAACAGAAACCAAGAAAAAGACAAACTTTTCAAGGTGGTCAAACCACCCCATCTCATTATTTGAGAAAGATTTCATGCTGTGAGGTCGTGACGCGTTTTATCCATCATCCATATTTCAATCCTCTGTATGGAATACAGACCCAATCAACCAGTCAACCAATCCTTTCATATTGGTTCATTCCACCACGCAGCAAGAAATCAGAAAATCGAGAAGATAGCATTAGAACTTTTGTTTTGTTTGTTTGTGTCATGAGAAAGTAGAGGAAAGGGATTAGTCAAGCAGCATTCCTTCTTGGCTTGCTTGTTTCCCTTTCTCATGTTTGTTTGTTTGTTCCCATTATGATAACAGGTAGATAGGTTACCCTTAATTAAAGGCAAGATAAAGCAGTTCTTTTTCGTTTCCCCAATGATAAAGATGGAGACCCAGGCCGATTCGCCAGATATGCATAGACCAATGAGATGGCATGACGGAAAGAAGCGAAGAAATGGAAGAGAAGAGAGAAGAAGAGAAAGAAGAGGAGAGAAGGAGCAGATAGCGGAGGTAAAAAGGGGTGAAAAGGGGTGAAAGAAAAAAAAAGAAGAGAAAGAGAGAAAAGGCAGATGAGCGCAGTCACACAAGCACATGCAACCATATCAAAGAGATAAGGACATTCCACTGATTGGCAATGCGCACTCTTGTCCGACATGAAAGGAAAGATGTAACTACAACATCCAATCCAATCCGTTGGCCTCTTCTTCCACGGGAAAAACCTCCCGCGCGTACTCCTCCATATCTCGCCAGCCCTGCCATAGATGTCGCGCCTCGTCCGTGACTCGAAGCGATATCACACCTCCGGGACCCTGCATCATTCCCGCTCCGGCGCCCTTACCACCGGCCGGGCCCAGTCCCTTGGGGGATCCTGCGGCCGGACGGGAGAATTCGGGCTGCGGGAAGTAAGGCGCGTTGCAGCGACCAAACACCTCTTCCAAGGCCTCCAGCTGTTCCCGATATCCGGACGGAATATTGACTTTGACTTCGATCTTGGGCACGCGAACGTAGTTGCAAGGGCGGTTCAATGCGCGCGAGAACGCCGCACAGACTTGGTTGGGGGAGAGCGTTTCAAACGAGAGGGCAATTCTAAACCGAGCTTTGGTTAGCTTTGTCGCAGTCTAAAAATATCCCTCGCCGAGCCAATGCGAGATAACAGGATTGCGCGAGGGGTACGGAGGAACGGAGTATTCCGGAAGGAGAAAATAAAATAAAACAAAACAAAGAAAACATACCGGTGTCCGTGCCACTTCTTCACCCCGTCTTTGAAGATCTGCAGCAACGCCGGCCCAACATCGTGCTCCGCATCCAGCCACGGCAAGGGAATATCCGGATCAAACGGCGCATGCCATTCAAAGCTCCCGTCCGGCATCAGCTCCATCTGGAATAGAGGATAGGGTAGACTCGTGAAATTATTGTTGTAGATTCCGGTGTAGACGAACGTCGCGGGCAACCCCAGCTGTCGGATGTAATTCTCGACCGTGAATTTCGGGGCCCAGAGAGGCACGGGGGGCCAAGGACCGTGGACGGAGTGATCGGGCATGCTGCTGTAGATGTAGTGTTGAATTGAACCGGCTCGCTTGGCGGCGTCGGCGAGCGCACGACCGATCGCGACTTCGTCGCCGGATTGCGAGGTGGTGTTGATGAAGGCGAGGTTGGCGCCCTCGAAGAGGGAGTCCATTAGCGGGACATTGTCGAGTAGCGGACCCTGGAAAAGGGTGACGTTGGGGAGGCTTTCGAGCTCCTCTGCGATGATGCCTTTGAGGGAGTGGATTTGGGCGCGCACGCTATGTCCGACAGCGGAGGCAACGCGGATGAGCGAGGCGGCTTGTCGGCCCGTGGCGTTGACGACCGCAATGGTCTTCTTTTGTTGTGTCATTCGGGGTGGGGTATCTTAAGGGTAGAGAGGAGTAAGAAGATAAGGAAGAGAGGGGAGGAGTCGAACTGAATGCGGGAGAGAAGAGCAGGAAGATTGCGGGGTAGAAAACGAGGGCAAAGGGAGGAGGAGAGAGCGACCAGCGGTCGAGCAGCGATTGGGTTGGAAATGCCGGATGCGGAATCTGGAGTCAATTTCTTCTTTTCTCCAAACAGAGGCAGAGTTGGCCGTTTCGCCTAGTTGTTCGCCGAGATTAATTGGGGCAGAGAAGAGGGCCGTTTAGGGAGTCAAATATGAAGGCATGGAGCAACGAATGGGCGTGGATGCGCAACGAGCGATCAAGTAGAGATGATCCGGAGTGGGGAGCGTCTGGCGGAGCTGCTCAATATGTAATGAGAACTCCCGATGATTCGATAATGCCGCAATCGAGAAAATGGATGGTGCAAGAGAAGATATGGAGGATGGTTATTATAACTACTCTGTAAGATGCTCGCAGGGTTCTGGCGGTGCTCCCAAGGTTGTCTTTCTTATGAAGACATCGCGACACGACGTCCGGGCAGAATTAGTATTAATAGAAATGGGGATTAATGGCCTCATGCTCCAAAATGGATCAGGGAAAAAAAAAGACTCGCAGTCAGGAGGACATGGAGACTCCCAGCAAAGAGATTAACAAATGAAAAAAGATAACCCCAAAGCCCCGGTGGGCTGTCCGACCAGCCCGACTAATGAGCGTGGCCACTGCGTTCTCATTATTTAACCATTGTATTCTTATTACCCCTACCTTTGCTCCCGGACCAGACTTTTAATAAAATAAATAATTAGCCAATATTAGGTGTACTCCGGAAGGTGACCAAGGAAAAAAAAAAAAAAAAAGAAAAGAATAACCCGCGTGGATCAGATGCAAGGCTTGGTTCCGAGATTCGCAGCCCACACTGCCATTATCATATTAACATTTAACAGTTTACTGTAACTCCAGCTATGGCTTCATAAGATCAACCCTGCAATGTACATCGTAACACGGAGTAAAGCCATCACGTCACTCATCTCCCCGGCCGCCACTCCCATTCCGGAGTGCATGAACGAGTCCAGTGTCATCCAGACAGAGGTAACTCCATAGCAGAGGCACCAACAAACAGACCAACTACCACTAGGCGACGGCGTGGATTGGGATCATCCGGGGTTGGTCAATAATAAGGATGCAATGCGCATCGTGCTCGGGAATAAAATAATATAAAAGCAAATAATCAAAGAACTAAAAGAACTAAAATAATGCGTAGTCCGATGTGGCCGAAAAGGTTGGGATCGAGTAATGAGAAACAGTCATAGAAACCGCGGACGGTCCAGCCCTGCGGTCTTCAAACCGGGAGAATTTTTCCATTTTCACCATTTCATCTTCCATCCATACTCCGTACTCCATTGAGTTCGTTGACTATACTCAATTCGAGGACGATTACCCCGTATTTCCAAATGTCAGGGTTTCCCCTCATTCTGATAACGAAGTCCAAGTTCGCCAGAGGACAGACAGTCTACAGTACAGTTACAGAATCCGGTCTCGACCCCGACTGCCTCCTGCTACTTGCTAGAAGCGTCCATTTCTCCGCCGATGGGTTCGTCGCTGGCCATTGACCGTCTTTCCTTTACGTAACTCGGGATGCGGTCGTGAAAATTCAGATTCGGCCTCCGTTTCACCCATTTGGTTTCATCCCCTGGATTGCCGGATCGACGTCACCGCGGCGCACGGGCATTCTACAGTATCCTAGGATCCTATCAAGTACTTCGTAGGGAGCATCTCGGTATCCGTTCGTTGTACGGAGTAGTACAGTAGATATTCTGGGCTTTCAGATGCATCATCAGGCCTTTTGCACTGTATTACTTTGACAAGAGTCGGTATCGGATGATGTGTAGACTGTAGACTCTACAATGGAGTTCAGTGGCAGCGATGCGCGCCCGGATGTTTTCCCGCTCAGGTGACCCGCCTTTTTCTCCTTCCCTTTTGGTCTTTCTCCTGACCGAATCATACTAGAATCTGTTATTATCGTCGTCTTCTCTCCAGTCCGGATTAGTTGTACTCGTACACGCAGGACTATACACCGGACTAGTAAGCAATTCCTCGACTCAGCTCACCTCCGGCATTCCATCCTCCTCTAAACCAATCGCTAGACCGGAAAGACGCTCGTGACCACTTCCCAGCCCTACTTATCTACCTTCGACAGTAGGTAATAGGTAGTATACCGCCTTAATTAATCTTCATATACGTCAATGATCACAAAATAGGTAGAACTCAAATACCCAATTAAGTTCATCCTACACTTCCAGCTCTGATGAAACCGCCATTATGCCTCTACCTAGCTCCCTAGGTACATAGTACATACATGTTAGTGTACAGTATGTGTAGTGCGTACGGAGTACCCCGTGCATCCATCGGTCCCCTACCCGTCGACTACGGAGTACACCGTCGGTAGGCGGCTCCCTAAGCCTAAGTAAGTCTTATCAGACCTACAAACACCCACCCAACAACCGAGCAGAACAACCGAATAGAACCGAACAGTCTAGACAAAAATGTCCCGTGATGAGTATCAAGCAAAGAAAAGAAAAGAAAAGAAACCCGACGGTCCGCCGCGCCGACGCCTGTACCTTATCTTCGACCGTCCAATCTCATCTCGGGCTGGCGATCCGCCCGCCAAGTCCGGTCGTGATCGGTCGGCCGACTTGACTGACAGTGGCGTTGACAGTAAACTACAAAGCAAGTTACTAGTTGATAGTGAGTTAGTAGTTCCTAGTCAGGAAGTTCAACGGAGAGAGGCTGATAGGTAGATAGTGAGGTGGTATCGTGTTAATTGACTCCGTAAGGTAGTCCGTACTCTGGGGGAGAGTAGAGTAAATTAGGGTGTGTTTGTTTGTTTATTTCCAGCTTGATTAATTGTTTCTATCGAATCCAACGGAAGATCGGAGTAGATACTCGGAGTCATTAGATTGGATTGGATTGAATCAGATTACTATATACCGTACTCTATACCGGACTCACTAAGGTATTTCAATGAGAGTTGACATCATCCCAGAGTACAAACAGACAAGCTAAACAAACTCCCTACACCAGTACAAATACTCAGTAAAGACAAACTCCGGGGTCGAACATCCACCTCACTACTCCGTACTAACTATTCAGATTCAGTTCACCGAAAATTCACCATCCATGGCGCAATTCAGCCCCTCGCGCCGGCCTTTGAATGGTCGGTGTCTGACTGTCTGTGCAGCTCGACTAACGGGCGCATCTCCGCGGATGCATGTCATCGGTCTGAGTAATTAATTAGTTTGGTCATTTGACACCGTTCTATTACTTTGTCAGGGTCAGTGTGCTTGAATTCTTATTCTGTAGTAGGTATGTGTATGTGTAGTCTTTATAGGTGGAACTTATCCCCATCCCATCTTATTCTTTCCATCTGTTCCATCCATCTTCTTATCTTTACACCTGCGTCATCTATGGGATAATCTCATCAACGAACGAACCAAAACTACAAACTACCGGTCCCAATCTATGGCGCCGATCCCGCCATCCCCCGTTCCAGCTGGCGCTCCCCCGCTTCCTCATCCATCTCCCTCTCACTGATCTCCCGGGGTCCGATCCCCGCCAACCCCCAGATCCCCGGTCTCCGTCGCGCCAGCAACGTCGCCGCCGGCCGCTCGTCGGAATGCAAATGCGCGCCCGACTTGCGCAGCAGCATAACGTGCTCGGAGAGGTTCGCGTTGGCCGCCAGGAACAGCGGCGTGCGACCGCTACGGTTCCGAATGTGCACCGAACCACCTTGCAGTAGCAGGCATCGAAGAATGGGCAGGGAGGGCGACGACGCCGCAAGATGCTAGAATCATGGCGTTAACGGGACAGAATTAGACGAGATTAACGACAACTTCGGGAGGGGAAGGTCTTACGATCGGAGTGTTGCCCGAATAGTCCGCGTCGTTCAGGATCCAGTGGTGCTCGACCTTCATGATATCCTGGACTCGTTCGAGATCGCCTTGCGCGATCGCGTATCCGAGCATGGTGAGTGCCTGAACCCGCTCGGGAAGGGCGCCGTCTGGATGACGGAACACCGGTTGCGACACCTCGTTCAGTTCCCCGCGCAGGGAAATGGACATGTTCTTGGCAACGGTCTCCGGCGACGAGTCAGGAAGCGCCAGAAGGTAGGCAAGCTTGGTCAGCGCAGCTTCCGTCGTCATATCCAGTCCGGCCACGACGCCCGCTCGCGACAGACTCATGCCCGTGGCGTACACCGGGCTAACGCTACCAGTCAAACCTATTCGATGTCAGCAAGGCCGACCGTCTCCAATCAAGCATGATCACAAAAAGCTTACATTGAGTTACGTTGACAATGACAATTCCTCGCTTGATGGCGTCGGCAAACACCTTGGTCATGGCATTATCCTGACCGTGCGGTGCATTACCGGCTCCGAAGGTCTCCAGCACCAATCCACGCAGTCCCTCTAGTCGTAGCACCGCGTCGACCATCTCCGGCTTGATTCCCGGGAATATGCGAAGGCAGGCAACGTGGGTGGTGTCGAGGTTGGTTTGGATGTTGAAATGCTCAATGTTATTAGGTCGGTTCACCAGCTCCCAGTCGACGTTGGTTCGCATGGATGTCGTCACGGCCAGCGGGGGACAATTGGGCGAGGCAAACGCAGCAAAGTCGCTGGCCGATACCTTACTCGCCCGATTTCCACGGAAGAGTCGGTTGTTGAAGTAGAGACACACTTCGGGGATCATGAAGTGACTGGCGACCACTAGCGAACCCAGCAGGTTATCCGTGGCGTCATTCTGCAATTCGAGCATGGGAGCCTGAGATCCCGTCAGAACCACCGGCTTTCCGAGGTTCTGCAGCATGAAACTGAGTGCCGAGCAAGTATATGCCAGACTGTCGGTGCCATGTAGCACGACGAAGCCGTCGAAATGCGTGTAGTTTAGTTTCACCGTTTCTGCGATCTCGGCCCAACCTTTGGCGTCGATCGAGCTGCTGTCCAGGAGCTCGTCGAACTCGAAGACTGTATACCGCACCCGTCGGCCATATGCGGTCTGGGGAGTGCGCAAGCTCGGATGTCCCTTGACCGTTCCAGCTGCATCTACGACCACGTCCATGGTGGTGGATTGAGAACCATCACTGAAAGTAGGCACTCGAGCCAGGCAGTGTTCTTGAAAACCTCTGGCCGGGATGAATCCGCATGGCGATTGTCGCATGCAAATGGTTCCTCCGGTCATAATAATGAGGACCCTTGATTCAGGGATGGGGACTTCTGGCTGCTGCTCAGCCAGCTCCGAGATGACTTCGTTCATGGTGGTCATTGTAACGGATGTAGCAGTCTAAGAACTATCGCCGGATTCAAAGCACTGCTCCTTATCCTCCAGTCTTTGATCGAACGGCGGCAAAGATCTTCGATATTAGCAACCAGTAGGCCAGGTAGACTGGACGAAACAGTCCTTCAAGGTTTTTAGGGCTGTGCACAAATTTGCCCCTCAACGGGATAGAAGTGAGACAGATCGAATAGAGATGGCGCGACAGCTAACTCGGTGACTCGACAACGAGTGGTGACGTTTTCACTCAGGAACGAGATCAATAAGGTTCTCAGATGAGGGGAGATCGAATCGATACATATCACCAATGTCAACAATCTATTACCCCAAAGAAACCAGATTGGAGAGTCAGCGCGACTCCGACTAACGGCTCTCTATTACGTACTGGGAGCGTCTGGTTCGGTGGTTGGCCGGAGTCCAACTTGGTAGTGCGAGATTTTCGGGCGCACAACAAAAAGGGAATTTGGAGTCCGGTGGGCCAACCTTAAGTACGGTGTATTCTTTGGGGTCTTCCAGGCAGAATGTACTCCGTTGATATTAAAGGTCGAGGGGATATGCTCTGATCGAGTGCTTCGTATCAGCCCTCGCTGCAGGTTTGGGTATCAACCAGCAGTCCGACCGTGAAGGGTCAATGCATAAGTCACTTGGTCATCCGCCATCGGGGTCATAAACTACAGCAGATTAAATGGCCAGAATAGGCATAGCCAGTCACATGGAATGCAAACAACTCTTCGCTCCTTCCTCTTCTTCCCTTCTTCCCTTCTTCCCCTTCGCTCTTTCCTGTCCCGCCCGCCGATTCCCAGCCCCAAGCGACACCGGTGAATCTCCCTGGCTTGTATTTTCTGTCCATGCGTCTTGATAACTCTTCCACTTGTCTCTCCCGTCGACTACGTGGAAGTCCAGCCCAAAGCGACACCAGCAGACTGCTCTACTTTGGCGATCTGCCTGGTATTTTCTGCCTTTAGAAAACTGTCCGAACTCCGCCCGATGAGTGGACACCTCCCATGGCGAATCCATATGTTCTAGACCTTAAGATTCTCGACATCACTCCCTCAAAATGGTCGATCCAGGGAAAGCACTTTATCTTAGGACTTCGTCCAGAGAAACCATGATGTTGTTTGAACTTTTTCATTCATTTTATGATTTTTTTTATCGTCTGCAGGGTATCTCTTGTCTATGTACAGATTCTGTTCAGAACTTCTGATCCAGATTGATGTCGGCCTCCTCGACATAGCCACGTTATCGCTTGTCCATGAATCATGACTAACTTGAATGCGCTTCCAGGTTCAATGCAAAAAATGTTTGGTAAAAGAAACAGAAGAGAAGTGAAGATAGGATACTCAATATCCTGCTTTACTCGGAGGTATTACCCTCCACACAGCTTTGGCTGCCCTTGTACGACCGCCGACCCCGAGCGAACCAGTCAACAAGGATAATGAAAATCACGACACCGTACACGGCCGAGACATAGTTCATATCTGCCAAGTCTGTTAGCATAGGATCGGGAAAGATCGTTATCGATGGCAACTTACTTCCTGCGTGGACCGGCATGGTCGAAGGGAAGGAGTACATAACCAGGCAGAAGATGGTCCAGAGCAAGGTGACCACGTTGGCGAAAAGTCCCAGCTTGCCCAACCAGAACGGCCCGTGCTGAATGTTGTTGCGACCGCGGTACAGGAGGCAGAGAACAGGGCACGAGTAGGACAGATACAACAGAGTGATACAAGCGGTCACCATACTGTTGAATGCAGTAGACGATCCAAGGTAGAGCAGTCCAAGAGCGCCAACGAGGAACGAGCTTGCATTGTGGGCGTGCAACGGCACATCCAGCGTCTGGTTGACGCGAGACAGCCATTGGTGTCCGGGCATGCCCCGGTCACGAGCAAATGCCCACGCCAACCGAGACTGCCAGGTGTGGCACGCAATCAAGCAACCCATTCCGGTCACCAGCAGCAGAGTCTCCAAGACGATGGCGCCAGCCACGTTGTCCAGAGCTTGGTAGTAGAGCTCCAGGATGGGGACACCTGTAGCAGAGTTCAACAACTTGCCCAAATCGTTGAGACCAAAGAACATCGAAACACAATACGTCCAGGAAGTGACAAAGCCGATGCCAACGGTGGCCATGATTGCGATCGGAATGTTCTTTTCGGGCTGGGGCACCTCTTCCGCAAGATGAGTCGCGGAATCAAGACAGGCGAAGATCCAGTTCGGGTTGATCAAGCCGACGATGAACGCCATGCCATCCGAGTCCCAACCCGTGGAGTTGACGAAATGGCCAAAGACGTAGGACGCACTGGCGTGCGTCTTGGCGCAGGCAGGGACCGTGACCAAGATCACAAAGTAGGAGATCAGCGAGATGTACAAGGTGACCTTGGCAACGGCAGGCAACGTTTTACCCCAGCAGTTGAAAAGGTAGCAGACGAAGTTGATGACTTCGTATGCGGCCACGGAATGCCAGGCTTCGGGGACACTGTGATCAAGTCAGCATACTACACACGTGGAAAAAACCCGTCCCGAAGGTTTCGAGCTTGCAATTGCATACAATTCAGGATGGCCAAGCTGCCACATTCCAACACCGGCCTGTCCAAGACTGAGGGCTACACTGGCACAAGCGAAAACTGCGCCAGCATATCCGAACCAGCCAGTCAAGTAAGACATGAACCGGGCATACTTCTTGGGAGCAAGTTCGTTGGCCCAGAAATATTGACCACCAGCGTTGGGCATAGCACTTGCCAGTTCCGATAGCGACGACCCCACGCAGCATGAGATGAACGTGATCCAGAGCAGCCCGTAGACGATGAGAACCGTGCCTCCCGAGCTGATACCCGTGATCAAAGATGCCGAGATACCGAACCATGAGTTGGACATACAGAACGCAATGCCAATGAGTGAGATAATGGAGAAATTGCGCTGCAGATCTTGGGTGTAACCCATCTCGGCCAACTTGATGGCGTCGGCATTTTCGGATTCAGACGAGGTGCCGCTGTTCGTCGGCTTCACGCTGGGCTTCTTCTCTAGATCGATTTCGCTCATTGTGTCGGATGATCAGAAAGCTGGAGTTGAGTCAGCGGTTTAAGGTGATGGTGCAAAGGGCAACACAGTTGTCGATCGATAAGGATCCGGACCGGGCTATCGTGTTGCAGAGATCGCGTGGGAAGGTTGCTTTTTCGGGCGAGAGAAGAGTCTAATTTGAACCGATTATGGCCACCGTTGCATAAGGGCTTACGGATTCCTCAAGGCGCTTCGGATTCGGATCGGGTTCGGGAGGGGTTGCTGCTGTTGGACAAATTGGCTGCTGTTGGCAAAGTATCCGTCGATTCGGGTTTCGCGAAGCCGTGAGCCGCAAATGGGTGTCGATATTCGATGATCGTCGTTGTTGCTGGCGGAGAAGACCTGAACCTGTCGATACGTCGATACGAGGATACGGAACGGCCAAGGCAATCAGTATTACAGAACTCAATCTGTGTTTCTTTGCTTGTTTCTCAAGCTATCAACAAAATCGGATGGCGTGAAAAGGCAAGAGGCCTCTTGTCGCAGACAGCCAACTTTTAAAAAAGGGAAATGAAAAGGTCTCCACCACGATATCCACAAGGGAAGTGGTATGAGAAGAGAAGGAGAGGAGAGGAGAGGAGAGGAGAGGAGAGAGGTGTGAGGGAACGTGTGTTGGTGGTGATATGAAAAAACCCAAATCCACCGCGATGGGATGTGAGTGAGTATTTATGAGAGATCCCGGCTGCTTCTTTTTTCCTCTTTTTTTTTCACCGTCACTAAACGTTTTCCTACGACTCGAAGTCCCCACCGGACATTTGATAACATCATTCCCTGACCTCCGAAAGGGCTCCCCATATTTTTTGGTGTCTAACAATGTCTCCTACGGATGAACTAAACTGCACTAGACCGACTTATGCACGCCAGACCAAATGTCTCGAGTCCAGCCCGCCTTCATCCTCCTCTTGATATCGTCATATGAGGGCCGGAAATCGCTTGCAACCGGAAACTAGGCAACCAGTCTGGTTAGTTTCTACCGCAGTTATCGTTGAATCGCTTTGTGGCAACAGGGGGGGCTATGAGGTACCATTCGACCTTCGAGGGGAAAGTGGGAGGCTTGTCCTTTGGTTGAGTGTTTGACGCCGCACTATCGTTGGTCGATCCTTACTCCAGAAGTGGCGCCTCCCCACTTGTATGAATCGGTTCCGCCGAAAATTTTTACTTTGCACCACATTCGCTGAGAGATTCTTGATTCCTTGTTCTGTCTCTTTTCTTTCTCCGTTCTGTCGAAATTAGGAGGAACGTCATAAGAGACGTTGCGTGTCGAAGATTGGTATTGATTAACCGAATGATTCGGCTCGGTGAATTGATTGAGCCACGTTCTACGGAGCATTCGGGCCGTTCAGGGGATCTTGATCATGCTGCAAGATACGCCACAATCGATCTGCTCTTTCCCAGTCTGTTCTGTTCCCATTACTCCGTACTACGGAGTATACGGAATACTGCGTACGCTCACATAACAGTCGGCCGTGATGGCCGCGATGGCCGCAGCCCGCAAATCTCTAGTGAAACTCACTCTAACGATGCAATTCGTACCGAGACAGTTAACTGCTCCGTCCCAACCGCTCAGGTTCCGAATTTACTCCAGTCGCGTGCAGTTACTAGTCTTTTTGGTTTAGTAACCTCCACGACCGGATCAGTGGAGCTAATTTCCACGAAAGATCCTGACTTTTCATTCGCAGCTCAGCCTGAGGACAGGAATACTTGACTAAGAAACCCTCACCGGCCTACGGAGTTCCCTTGAAACTCGAGGCATTTTTCCTACTCGGTCGAATAAGAAATAATACCGCATAAAATGGACCGCTTGTCCGGATTCATACCCAATGGCATTCGGGAGAGTTTACAAATTCACCACCCTTACGTATGTCAAGCTCTGCTCTGTCAGTTGTCAGCCGTGAGTCCGGGTTTGCATGGAGTGTTTTCGAATTTCAAAGTTCGAACCCTTCGGTCCTTCGGAATCTGCTGCCCTCCACTCCACGTCGAGGGGCTGTCAACAAACAAACATGTGTCTGCCTGTCCGGCAACTGCAGAGTGACGACAATCCGGTTTTCGTTAGCCACGGAATCTTCCCGCCCCTAAGAGAGCTTGTCCGGCTGCTCACTGCTCAGCCTTGCCCGCCATTCCCGCACGAACAATCGTTGCCCGTTGAAGCAAATTAATTTCATATAAGTTCCCGCGGCGCTTTCCCTCGCCCGGCGATCTTGTCGCATATCGGCCATATCGGCGTATCCTAGACGGTTTGATTTAACGGGGAAGCTTTGCTAAATTGAGGATGGTTTTGTTATCTCGGAGTGAACTGCGAAGAGTAGGCTATACGGTGAAGTATCCCGGAGTATGGAGTAATCGGTTCTGACTTCCCCTGCGTACGTGGCCTCGTAACTAGTTTCTGCTTTGGAATTGAGGTAAACTCGATATCTACTGTGTATAGTGCCCCTTAGTTAGTGTCCATATCCTCAAATGAGAAACAAGCCACGCCTAAACCCTGGAAGGTATTCCCGCTCGTTATAGCGCTCACCTCCAGAGTACAGAAACAGTACTCCATACGTTTGAATTATAGATACTCAAAAAGGTATCGAAACTGCCTATCACCTGCCATATTACTACTCCGTATTTTGAGTTCTGAAGATTCGCCACCGTATCTCGCATGGAACAGTTTGCTCTTTCTGGAAACCTTCCATGCTCCATGCTTGATAATGCGCTTCCTATCGCCCTGATTGGCTGTAGGTGGTTTCTATCGGGGTCCGCGGGTTCAGAATCAGATACTTGCCTACTACATTACCTGCCTAGTGCTATCTAAGGTATCGTCCTGTGAACATTGGTGCCTAGCCAGGGTATCCGAGGATGTCCGATGGTTCCGGGTCAGGGTCCGGGTCCGGGTCTGGGGCCTGTGACTGGGGTATCTCAGTTTGGGAGGTCAATATGTAACTGTTAGTTAGTTAGTTAGTTAGTTACCCAGTTTGGTAGGTTATCTATGAAGTCTGGAGAATGGAGGATGGAGTAGGTATGTACGGAGTATGTATCATGCGATTGAGACATGGGAGTTTCTACCTGTTTGAGGCTAGCTGTGGCTACCCTCACTTCGTATTCTGTATGCGGAGAAGAATACTATGCACGGTTACGTAGTAACCTCGTGTCTGTGGCCTTGGTCGGTTTTAGTAGTTATTTAGATAGCCTGGGTGTACGGGGGTTTTTGTTAGGTATGGTATGGATAGATGAATCTCTTCATCTCGTGACTGGTTAGGGTTCAGTAAGTTCTTTAGGATTAGTTACTCTTTTTTTTCCCAATTCCTCAAGAGGATACTTTCTTCGATATGAGTGACTCGGTGCGGATTAGATCAATGCTACTGGGGTACGGTATAACTGTATCTGGGTTATCTTTCCCCCTCTCTGTGTGTGTGTCTTCCTTTAGGCTATCTTAGATATCTTCGACTCTGTGACCATGGCGGGATAGAGGAAATTACTAGATACTATCTGCATATAAAACTCATAATCAGTATTAGCTTTGATACTCGTCACTCAGCCTACAGTTCAATTAGCAAATCAGACGGACAGGAATAGAATAGGTTTCTTATCTGTTCAACGTAAAAGCAAGGTAGTTCCGAGTTATAATGCTGTTATCGTAGCATTCCCAATTTATCTGTGTTTTTGGACATCGGGACAGATCTTTAACATTACTTCTGCTTTTCTTTTAACCGGTCAGTCCTGAGGTAGTGAAAAATGTATACAGCATACTGGGATACGAGATTCTGATTGTTGCGATACGACTACGCAAAACTACAGAAGCTGAATTTGGACTAACCTCAAAGCCTAGTTCTACTTGTACATGCTTATCTATCCCGATGATCACCCTCTCCATTCAACAAACTCTAGTCACTTCATACTTGGGCTGGGGAAACCATCTCAGATCGTCAAGGGTGGTTATGCCGTTTACGGTTAAATTGTCCTGCGAGATGATTACTACTGGATAAGAGTCTGTAATGCGAGCACTGTGAATTACTCTATAGTATTCCTTACTGCCTTCTACCTAATACAACACATGTAATTCAATCACTTGATGTCCGGCCATTTCCGATGTACAAACACTACTATCGAAACCAGACTGACTATCTTGCTGGGCTAGGTGTCAAAACCGAAAGTAAGCAGCCTTCCTAAAGGACATTCCAAGCGTGCGCAAGGAAACCTCCAATTCACGAACAATTCGAAATGCTTCCGAAACAAGACCTCTATTCATACAACTCCTAAGTGGTTTTGGAACCGCTGCAAAAGGCAAAAAGTCCGATTTATAAACGTTTCTACGTTCTTACAAGCTCTAACGGACAGGCGTCCAGATACTAGATTCCAGCTTTCATTAATGAAGCGCCTGTGTGGCTATTCACTTCAACAAAGAGGATATATCAGGCCAATAGAGCTTGATTGACTGATTTTGACTGACGATTGACTGAGACGCCCCAGGCATTCGATATTGACGCTCGGTCGATGTGTTCTAGAAAGAAGGCATGGCGGACGAATTCTAGATTTATCGCATGAAAAAAGAATGTAGTGTTATCTCGATTTCGGCCCAAACACAAACTCTTCAAGCTCCGTATATGCCCTTTCAAGGCTATCGTCAACAATGACCTTATCGTAAGAGCCCGGAGAGTCGGCGAAATCAAGTTCGACTTGAGCCTGGGTGAGCCTTCTCTGTATGGCCTCCTCATTCTCAGTTCCGCGGCGCCCGAAGTGCTTCGAAGCTCGGCGGTCTAATAAAGACATATCGTGCATCGATGCTGGGATTTGCCTTCATCTGCTTGACGCCCTGCATCTCAATGTCCAACACTACAACCAAGCCTTTGCTAGCCTGGTCATCAATGGTCTGCTTGCTCGTGCCATAGTAGTTGCCACTAAAACATGCGTGCTCCACGAGAGCACCTTGGGAGCAGAGCGAGGAGAACTCAGAGGGTGAGACGAAGAAGTAAGCGACGCCCTCAACTTCGCCTGGTCGCGGTTTTCGCGTTGTATGGGATACGGTGAATCCAAATGTGCCAGGGTGTGTGTCAAATAGCTTTTGAATCAGTGTCCCTTTGCCGACGCCTGAAGGGCCGGAGATAACGATGGGTCGACAATCTTGAGGTGCTGCCAGAAAAGATGCTAATTTGAGCTCTGTTTGTACTATCCAGTTATATGCGACTTACAGACAGCCATTTTGGTCAGTTAGGGGATTCTCATGAATCAATGCCACGTCTTGTTCTCTAGGACAGATGTTGCGTGTGAAGGTAAGCACGCTACACACTCCCTTGCTACCTCGGAGCAAAGGTTTTCCCGGCTACGATCACATCACGTATCTCTAGATATTATCCTTTAGAAGATTCTTGTGGTCAATAAACAGCGTCTCTATTGACTAGGTTATATTATGTTAGGGGTCAGGGTTGGGATGAGGGTTGATGCTCGTGCGTAATTGACTGTATCTATTTGGCATTATCGGATCATTTTGAACTCTTGAGGGAGGGATCTTGAGTTACCAACTTCAACTAATATATTCGTCAGAGTTGTTTGAGATGATACATCTAGATATGTATCTCTTTACCACGAAGTGAGACATCTGCAGTTTTCCCTTCTTCCTGCCTCTCCCCCTTGCTCAATCTAGTTTTAAATAGTAGTAGAAAGGAAAGGCGGTTGATGTCAGTGGCATCCGAGGCAGTAGATACAGTACATGTACCTAAGTACGAATTGAGGGGGCTGCTATGAGCATACCGATCCTCTGCAGGGCGACCTCAGCCAACATCCAATTCGTACAATGTCGCACACAGTACATGAGATCTTTCATGTCCTTCCAAGTTGTCTGGGCTCGGTCTTTCTCTGAGTGCCGGGTACTGGACAGCATCCTAAATAAGAACTATAAGGCCCACTGCACAATATTCCGGTTTGTGGCTTAAGGAGCTTGTTCTTTTCTTTCGGTGGATTGGCCAAGTTAGGCGGCATTTTCTGGCTGGAATAGCACCTGAAATAGCTTCTGTCTTAGAATGTTATAGAATTCTATAGGTTCTAGAATTTATTGTCCGAGGTGTCACCTCCAAACACTGACATGGAGTTTTCGAAATGCCCCTTAGATGCTGCTATATTTACGCTGACTATCTCCTCAAATGCAGCAGCCACCAAATAGTATATGCGATTGTCTCATCGTTTATCTTTCAATGGCCTTTGTTGGGTTGTGCCGGGTCGACTCAGGGGCCGTCCGAGCTCTGGATATATATAGATTCGTAGGGGTCGAACCCTGTTTTCGGGTCTACGGAGCGTTTCCTACACCAATATTATCGATAATACTCTTCACGTAGCACTTGCAGGAGCCAGACAATTCAGCCTTACTATGTCGATTTGTGGACCCCAATAGGCTGATGCTACTCTCCGTAGGGAGTAAGCAACGGCCATACCATTTAGGGGCCAAAAGGCGAAATCCCTAACCCCCAATCTGACTGTACCAAACGAGTTGGCAGGAGAAGTGATAAGACAGAATTGAGTACGGTGTAGGGTGCACTCCGTAAAGTGAAAATCTATGATCGATCCCTACACCTCGGCCAATGGAGGGCGGCCCCAGGCCAACAACGTCATGTGTTCCGCCTTAATTTGCCTCTCCAAGTCTCAAGTCTCACCACAACTCTCCATCACTACACTTTCCGTTTCATCTCTTCCCGTCAGCATTGAAATAGAATCTATCGGGCAGATCCGTTGATAAATCTCGAATCTCAAAACATTTCTCGGTCCTCCTATTTAATTCTAAAGTCCTGTGCTGGTCACGTTGAAGCCTTGGCAGAGTTTGCGGTGGCTGGAGGTCCACAGTTCGACCGGCAATTCTGAAACAACAGTCTGCTTTTTGGTGATCGCTTGGGAGCAGAACTGGTTAGGCTGGGCTACGAGGCGAGGTGCCTTGTGGGAGTCATCCGGCAGAAACCAGACGAACAGATGAGATAGACAGTTTCTTTGATGACTTTATTCAGCCTTTCTGATCCTTTGCATTCACCTCCTTTCGATGATCTCACTGTGTCCACCGATTGGATCTCCTAAGGCCATCAATGATCAGCCTGCATAATGTCACCGTTTCAGTCTGCGTTCCACGCTTTTGCGACCGAGCAACACGCGCTAACACCGCCAGGCATCATGCATTGGACAGACTTTGTTAGTGGCGCCACTAGTCAGGAACAACCCGATGTTTGGGTCTTTTTTCTGCCCTGACTTGTTTATTTTTATTTCCTCCCCCTCCAATCTGACTCAAGACGGCCCCGACACCGTACAGCAGGCAATGATTCGGCGATGTTCTGTCTCAACTTTCCCACTTCGGTCGGGTTGACCTTTGAATCTGGCTCCCCTATAGGATGGATGCTCCGGACATGATGCCCCGAGTGTTTGCGCTCGGGGGACTCCTGACGAACTGCTGCCTTTTTCCAGACACCCCCTTGGAGATCAGTAATATAAAAAGAATGGGACAGAGTGGAGGGCCCCATAACACCGCCGAAGGCGCAGCATCCCTTGGCCGACCTTGGGAAATGAGGACACTCACTGGATAACTCCTTCGCCGTCGCACGAGATCTCCGGGAAAACCGTTAATGTTTCCTATTGATTATTCCACGATCTTACAGGGATTATTCCAGCCAGATGATAGGGAGACGAGGGATCGCAAATCAACCCCCGCGCATATAGTTTTTAGTGGCGCCCGCCAACCGGGACTCCAAGACCCAAGTCTCCAACTACGGACTGGAGACTGGAGTACGGATAGAACCCACGGAATACGCTGTTACGGATCCTGCCAGCAGCATGATCATAATATGGAGTATGGACCGCTCCGTCCCCATCGTCAATTAATTAAATCGATGGGGAACCGATCCCGTCTTGCAAGGTTCGACAAGAAATCACAAGAAAAGCCTTTCCCCATAGAGAACGAATTAGGTTCGGGTCTATCCAGTTGGTTTGGGAGTTTTGTAGGAAAGAGAGGAGAACCAGAGGGCCTTTCTAGCGAGGCAGAACGATTTAGTTTAAGGGCCCAAGATTAAGAAAGGGGAACAAAGAGAGAGAAAAAAAAAAAAGGAGTGAGCCAATGACGCATTTAATTGCCATTGGCCACTAGGCCATTCTTTGGCGCCTGCTGCCCTCATTCCCAAGTGAACAGACCATCTTGAGAGGCGACTTGGCTCCTCTTTTCCTTAATATCGCTTGTCTACCGTCCTTTTCTCCCTCTCCTCCTTCCCTTCTCCCATTCCACACCCTATTAGGCGACGTTGACGTCCTTTCCACTCATTTGATTGTTTGTTTATATTAGGGGATTGAATCCGTGAATCCATTCCCTTCTTCCCACCGTCTTTCGTTTTCTCGCTCCTTTCTTTTGGCCCCCCTGTCGTTCCTTTTTCAGTCTCTCGTTAACACAACCTGTTTTTATTTTTGTCGAGTTCCGTTCAAGGTACCTATCTGTCTCTCATTTATCTCTCTCCCTGACAATCTGACCAAGCTGTGGTTGTCTAACTAGGAAATAGTCTGAACAAAACCCCTGGATTCTCGACAAGCGATCGAAGTTATTGATCGGCGGACACCACTACGACAATCTTAGATCATTTGAGAAAGGTATGTTTAGTCTTTATATGTTCCGAAAATATTTCGCTCCCAGTATGCCTTGTTTCTTCATGTTTTCCCTGAGCCTAGAACGCCCTCGTGTGAATTCGAGTGGCAATTGCAGAATGATAATGCAAGGGAATACTTCATCCCTTGCCTCCCCAAAAGTCAGCCACGACCGCGAAATATGCAGGATCTCAAGAGATCGGGACTCCTGAATGCCTGTCCTTTCTCCCTCATGCATGAAACCTTCTTTAGGCGCGCCTGCATCTTGCTTTGTCATTTTTTTTATTTATTGACATTGTTGATGTTGTGGTCTTATACTATGCCACTCCCCGCCATTGCACCTTCATACTACTGCGTAGTAGCGCCAAACACCCCCACCACACCCAAACGCCATCATCTCGCATTCTGTACACTTTCTTTCGATTAAAGCTTGTGTGGCGTTTTGCGCAATTCTTACTTATCGCTTCTGGGGACGTTGTAGTTGATCTCGCCCTTCAGCTTCGCTCTTTTGGAACTCAACCTCGTCGCTCATTTGCCGTTGATACTTGGTCGCCAACATGACTCGAACGATGCGACTTGATGTCGGACTGGTGACCTGCTTGGCCGCCTTGTCCAGCGTCGCGGATGCCTTCTGGCGACTTCCTTGCCGAGGACGAAGTGGTCTGGCTCGGATGGATCCATTGATGGACCCCGGAGAGCCGTCGAACCACGTCCATGCGGTCCATGGCGCAAGCGGTTAGTGACCTTGCGCGTGTTTACGTGTGCCAATTCTAAACCCGTCTCGATAGCCTTTTCGATGTCCGTCAGCGAAAGCAGCCTCAAAGAATCGAGCTGCACCTCTTGCGCAGTTACCCAGGACAAGTCGGCCTACTGGGCTCCCGCGCTGTACTTCCAGCACGAGAATGGTGATACTGAAATTGTGGAGCAAGTGGGAGGCATGCTTGCGTGAGTACATCTGATGCTAGGACTCTGCTCGACATGCTAACCAAACGGCGATTTGATAGATACTACCTGCTTTACGGAGAGAGAGTCGAGGCATTCCCTGAAAACTTCCGCATGGTTGCCGGTGATCCCTACCTGCGCAACTTCCCCTGGCCGATTCCCGACCCCCCGAAATCCGAATGGACCGGCAAACAGGCTTCCCAGGATGCCCTCCGCCAGAAGGCTCTTGGATTCAACTGCCTGAACTACGCCAAGGACGCGGAGCCATCGCTCGGCCGTCACTACCTGCCCGACAAGTCTTACCTGGACGAGCACTGTACCGATGGTGTTCGTTTCGAAATCATGTTCCCGTCGTGCTGGAACGGAAAGGACAGCGATTCTGACGACCACAAGTCGCACGTCGCCTACCCCTCGCTGGTTATGGACGGAACTTGCCCCGAGGGCTATGAGACCCGCGTTGTCTCTCTCTTCTTCGAAACGATCTGGAACACCTACGCCTTCAAGGACAAGAAGGGCAGGTTCGTGCTGTCCAACGCCGACCCCACTGGCTACGGATATCACGCCGATTTCATCCACGGCTGGGACTCCGGTGTCCTCGAGCAGGCCGTGAAGCGATGCACCAACCCCTCTGGCCAGATCCAGGACTGCGATGTCTTCGACATCCAGAGTGAGAGCGACCAGCAGAAGTGTAAATTCGAGGTGCCCGATGTGCTGAAGGATGAGGCTGTCCTCGAGTACAAGGGCAGTCTCCCCGACGGTCTCATGGTGGCGGATGGACCTGCCTATGCGAATCCCTTCTCCTACGTCTCCGGACACGCCTCCGCTACCTCGACTGCCAAATCATCTACTGCGGCTGCTACCTCGGCTGCCCAATCCTCCACCTGGACCGCCACCCCCACTACGTCCTATATCAAGGGTGTCGTTACTGAAGCCGTCATTTACGTCGAGCGAGAAGTCTTCCTTTACATCGACGAACAGGGTAACCCTCTCGAAACATCCACTGGTCCTCCGGAGACCCTTTCCACCGTCACCGAGACCAACACCCAAGTCGTCTCCACCGTCGTTACTACGCCGACTGCGCCTCCTTCGAAGCGCGACAGCCATGTTCACGCGCACAAGCGTCACCAGCATGGTCGCCACGGTCACTAAGCGTGATGATTTCGACAGATACGCTGTCAATATCTCTCGGTGTCTAAGCTTTCCCGCTCCAGTTCCATTACTTTCTTACTTTTTTTATTCTGGTGCTGAGCTTTCATACCGACTTGGTTCGTGGATTTGATTCGATTCTCAGGATATTTTTTGTCTCAACTTTCTGGATTCTTCTTCCCCTTCCTTCACCTGTCAATGTCTTTATTTCCATTTTTCTTTGGATGTACATGCTACTCTCGGTCTGATCTGGTCTGGTCAGCTTGTCCTTGAGGGAACAAGTGAAGCTATGACAAGTCTTGTGATATTCTTTTTTTTTTTCATCTTCTCTCGACGAGAATCAAGACGGATCTTTGTTAGACATAGCAAATGAACTCGTGCTGGAGAGATCTAGTTCGATCATGCTTCCCTTTTTACATTTACAGTCTTGTTTGCACTTTCGTGCTTAGTGCAGTGCTTGTGTCTGAGACATGATTTACGACTTTCGGTCAATATAGATTTGGTTTTCTTTTTTTTTTTTCACTTACTTCACTTTTACCCTAACGTAGACTTGTTACTTTTACATCTACATCTTACATCGTTGTCGAATTGATCATCTTCACCTGCATCCTGATATATGATTGATTCAAACTTGACATCCGGGTGAAGCTGGGTATGATTGGGTTTAAACTGGATATAGTTCGTCGAGTAGTAAAGAAGGGTCCCTCACTCTCCCATATACTATATATAATACTTGTTCCTTCTCAATTACCACTATCTACCAACATGTTTGAAAACAAGAGGGCGGTGGGACTTGTACATATAGCCTCTGGCCAGAAATTTCTGAATTGCAGTGCTTTTTCTAGAGTCAGCTGTCGTGGGTTGTTCATACAGTACTAAACACTATATCCAAACCCAACACGCCCAACCTATCAATTCAATCAATCAGTCCTGATGAACTAGCATGCAGCAGCACAGCACCATCTCAGAGATCGAGTATTGTCTGATGCATACGGTGTTTATCTGTTGGTCTGTCTGATCTAACTAACTACTTCCACTTCTACAGCCAAAAAGGATATACAATAACTGCAAGATCGTAAGGATAACACAAAAAATTGACCAAAACCCCGAAATAGTATAAGCAAATCCAAAAGTCTAATTCTTCGGCGGAGGAGGAGATATCCACTCCCCATCTTCTAACCAAACTCCAGCACCGCTATATATGCCCGCATCCGCGCCCCTCAAAAAGGCGAATCGGAAAAAGAGGTCTTCGGGCTTCTGGTCCTCTGTAGCTTCGCTCTCTGCTTCTATGGACATCGAGTCTATCAAGTCGGGTTCGTCGTCGCTCTCGATCATCGGACTGTGTCGGAGTTCGAGTCCGTTGTGGCCGTGTCGGTGCCAGGTGAATTCGCCGTACTTGTCCTCGTCCAGGTATCCGCGCCAGCGTTCCACATCGTTGACTAAGACAGACACGCCGTCCACGCCTAGGTCGGCCATGCGTTCGCGCTCCCACAGGAAGAAGGTGATGTTGCCATTGCCATGATAGATTTCGTCAGAGTCCCTACCCGGCAGGGAAACCTCCACGGTTTTGTTCGAAATGTTTGGGTAGGTGCCTCCCCACCAGCCGTGAGATCCGCCGGGGCCTGGGGCCTGTTCGCCCAGAGAGGCCGGTGTCTCGATGATGGAGGCAAATCCCCACCGGGCGACACCGTTGATGAAAAGACCGAGGAGCAGCCCTTGATAGATCAGCGACGGGCGTGTCGGGATGGCGGTTCCGGGCATGAGAAGGATAGCAAGAATATAATGATGGATGCGCAGGCGCAGACCGGGCAACGGGAGCAGGATCAGGAGAATCAAGCCCATGGTGCAATATATCTTTAGATAATGCGGCATCAAACCACCTTGGCGAATCTTCCAGGCTTGGCTGAGAATGATGGTAATAACCGTTGGTATCACCAGGGCCAGGGCCAGCTTCGCCCCCGGCTGTTTCTGGATGTCATAAGGCGTGAGACGTTCAAGAGGAATCAACCTGGCGAAAGTGTAGTTGTTCAAGGCGCCGATGAATACGGGAGGCAGGTAGAGGAACGCCCTCGTCATCTGGTACACCGGTTCGGAGAGCGGAGTAAGCAGGGGACGGGCACAATATTTGAATAGAACGTAGGCCACGAATGATGCCGGCAACAGTCGCGAAAGGAGGCTGGAGACGAGATCGGCGAATTGGGGGTACGACGGCGGGTCAGACACCAATCCCACCTGACAAAAGACCATGGCGAACGTGCTGAAGAATAATACGGGCGGGGAGGTGCAGAAGAGCCACAGGACAGCCAGCGACCCGATGGTGATGCCAAGCAAAGGCCACCGCGGGTCCTTGGGGCAAGTCTCCTGCGATGAGGACAGCGACGCAAAGCTGAATGATTTGGGGAACGTCGAGGGAAATCCGACCGACTGGATGCCGTTGCGCTTCGACGCAGGGTATGAGTGCGCCGCGCCCTCCAGCTGCACCACGCCGCAACCCCCCACAGTATTGGTGATGACGCCCGCATGGATGGCCGCCTGACAGACGAAGCTGTCGGCGCGGTAGATGGGGGTCTCGTCGAAATCGGGTTGCGGGCCACCAACTACAAGACCGCGGTAACTATAGGTCTGGTTGCCGACGGTATGGGGTTCCGACAGCTTGGCGTCCCGGCAGTTCGCGGGACAGCGGAAAGGAAGCGTCGATGCCGAAAATGGGCGGCAATCATTTCCATTCAGTCCGCATTCATTTCCGTAGTCCCTGTCATTGAGTCCGAGTTAGAGAAAATAAGAAAGAGGGACCGGCCTGAAGAAAATGCGGGTGCCTACCAAAGACTTGTCGAACACGAAAGGGTCTGGGGACGCCCATAGCCTTCTATATAACCGGCCGAGCGGGCATGCAAGAGGACGATAGTCCAGGGCAGGAACCAGACAAAATATAGCAAGAAAAGCAAGGCGATCTTGTGATTCCGCTTGGGGAAGAACCGTTCCAGGTACCGGACCGGGAGTTCTTGGATACGAGGGAACAAAGGCTTCAACAGAAGGTCATGGGGCGGGTCGGGGCCCTTCACCCAGGTCGCCGTGGCCCACGCAATCTTTCGAATAGGCAGAGGGACCCAGCTCCAGTGAAAGGATTTGGACGATTCCCGTAACCAGACGGGGAGGTAGGTGACGCCGGTCTCCTCATCTTGAGGCTGCAGGATATTGGGAGCGTCGGGATGATCGTCGTCGTCGTCTAGCAACGGGGCAACATAAACGCGGGTACCATCTTCGGTACCTTCACCAAGCATGCTGAAATTGATCACGGAATAGTTTGGGTAGGATCGGACCAGCGATAGACGAATGGAGAGGACGAAGAAACAAATGCGACCAAATAGGCAACGGGCGGGAGTGGGGGACGAACGGTGGGCAGGAAGAACAAGGCTAGAGTTCTAGACCGCAGGCGGGAATAAATGAATCAATCGATCAATCAATATCAATAAAGGGCGAGATCAAGGCCGAGTCCCTCACAGCCAGTGGAAGGACATAACCCGATAGCTATAACGATTGTTGAATCCAACGCACACCAGACGACACAATAAGAATAACTGGAGAGAGATGAGAAGGAAAAGAAGGGGAGCGGAAGAGAAGAAGCGCCGAAGAAGGCCGGAAGATCGCCAGGTCAGGCGGTGGCGGTGCATCTGAGTGGCTGCACAGAGTGGCGGTGGAGTGATTATGTTATCGTCTGCGGAGAGTCACGTGCTGACAGGTGACAGTGTAAGACTATGGAATATCACGAGGAAATTGCGTCCTCCGTACTCCGTTCACTCCGGGGAATCTCATGCGGAGAGGTCTGGATCGACAAGGTGACCCTATGGATCCCTTATCGACAGTCCTCAGTACGACTGCACATGTAGAAGAGTGCTCAGACTCTAGTGAATCCCTCGGATTTGTCGGATAAGACATCACATCCGCCATCGTCGACACAAATCCCGTCTTTCCCCTGCTGCGACCAGTCAGGATGGCCACCAAGAATCCAAGTGGAGCGCCCACCGGCGATGTTGTGCTTATCAAGCAAGATGGTTGCTGCTGATAACGCTGCCCTCTTATATGTGCCTGTGCCGTGTTATGTAGGATTAGGACTGGAGTGAATCTGAATGCTTTGTCTGATCACATTTACTCGTAAAGCCTGTTCATCTCCATTTTTCTTCATCTGTCGAGGTCGACAATTGCGTCATCACTCTTAGTATTGAGTAGTTGACTCTGCTTAGAAAGAAGAATCTCTCTTGCTTCCGCGATGGCTGCTCCGTTGGATTTGTCCCATCACTTTTCCTACGCAACCAAGAAGAGGGAGGCCAGTACCATCAAAGATCTATACAAATATTTCCTCATTCCGGGCATTGCCAACTTAGCCGGCGGTAGGTTTGATTATCACTCATTGATCTGATGGATGGGTGGAAAAATATGCCATACGTGATCCATACCTACCGGCCTGTCACTTGCTGATCTTCCCATTGTCGTTATCTCCAGGTCTTCCCAATGCTTCCTACTTCCCCTACGATACCATCGAAGCGTCCGTCGCTCGTCCGCAGCGCTTCCCGCCCTCAGAAGTAGATGCGACGAAGAAATCCGACGATGCGCGCTCATCCGCCCGGATGACAATCCCAAAAGAGAGCCCGACAGCCAATCTACAAAAGAAGATTGACATCACCACGGCGCTGCAATACGGAACCGTCGAGGGCCTGCCTCCCCTGGCCGAGTTTATCCGACAATTTACCCGCGAGCATCTGCATCCCAACGTGCCTTACGCCAACGGCCCCGATACCCTCCTGACCTGCGGATCCACCGATGGCTTCTCCAAGGCCGTCGAAGCGTTCACCAATATCTGGGATCCGGACCGCGACTGGCTCCCGCATCGCGAGGGCATTCTCTGCGAGGAGTTCGTGTACATGAACGCCGTGGCTACCGTCAAGCCGCGTGGTCTCAATGTGGCGCCGGTCGCGATCGACGCGCAGGGTATGCTGGCGCACGGTAGGGGGGGATTGGCCGACGTGCTCAGGAACTGGGATAATCGGAAAGGGCGCCGGCCGCATCTTCTATACACGATCACGTAAGTAAGCATTAGTGGGGGGAGTGCGGAACAATTGTAACGTGCTTTGTTGAGCGTTGTGACAATGAAGCCCACATGGCACGGCCAGCGACAGCTAACGGTTCTGCATGTTCTTGGCACTAGGATCGGCCAGAACCCAACGGGCGGTATTCTCTCCGTCGAACGACGAAAAGAAATCTATGCACTCTGCCAACAATATGATATCGTGATTATCGAAGACGATCCGTACTGGAACCTGCAGTATCCGTCTGCGAAGAGTCTCGCGGCGAAACACCGCGGCCTGTCGGTCGACCCGTCGCCGACGCGCAATTACAATGCCCACGGTCGGTCATCGGGATATCAATTCCTGGACTCTCTCGTCCCGTCGTATCTCTCCATCGACACGGACGGACGCGTCGTCCGCATCGACACTTTCTCCAAAACCATCGCGCCGGGATGTCGCTTGGGATGGATCACGGCGCAGCCGGCGATCATCGAACGGATCGCTCGTATCGCGGAGACGACAACGCAGCAGCCTTCTGGGTTCGTGCAGGCCATGGTGGCCGAGCTAATCTTGGGACAGCAGACCGATGAGACCGCCGCGAAGACCAAGAAGCAGGACGATCAGGGTTGGCGAATGGACGGCTGGGTGCGATGGCTGGAGGGACTGCGAGGAGGGTATGAGAAGCGCATGCAGGACATGTGCAGTGCGCTTGAAGAAGGCAAATACCTCATCCATGCGGGCGACGATGCGGGATCCGCGGGCGAAAGTACCTGGGAGGTGGTGGATAAGGTGCAGCTGTATGATTTTGTCTGGCCAGAGGGCGGCATGTTCGTGTGGATCAAGGCGGCCTTCGAAACGCATCCCTTGCATGGGAAGTACTCGGTCGAGAAGCTGTCTCGCGCATTCTGGGTGTTCTTGACGCAAGCTCCACATCTGTCTCTGCTGGCCCCTGGTAGCATGTTCTCTCCCTCGCAGCAGATCAAGGATCGATCCCATCCTTACTTCAGACTGTGTTTCTCGGCAGTTCCGGGCGAGGAGGTTCGGAGTATCACTGAGAGGTTGGTTGGTGGTTTCCGTGCATTCTGGCAGGTGAAGGACCTGGATGGTATTGACGTGGAAGGTGATGTATCAGATGTGCTTCAGTCCTTGCAGGTGGAGAACCTGGGGAATATGCTGGGTATGGGGTGTTAGTTAACATTTCTGGTTTAAGTGATTTGGCATCTATACCGTAATTGATTTTGTGCGTTAACAGCTTCGTTGAGTGATAAATAATGATGACCGGTCGCATCTTGAATATATATTCGGGTAACGTTTATCTTTCCCTGCGAAGAGATAGACAACATTGAGCACACACAACTTGGAAAGTAATATCCAAATCACTAAATGTTTAATCACTAAGAAATCCTGATACAAAATTAATCAATTGAAGAGGTAAACACTCTTTTTACAATGGAAATAGAAAAACTACTCCGGACCAGTGACTGACTCAGCAAACGAAGAAATGACATCGGCGGGGTTCTCTCCGATGCATTTCACCACCACAACATCAGACCTCGTCGCAAACAGCGCAGCCCCAAATGCCCAACGATGTCCTCCTCCCTCGACTCCCTACAGAACCCTGACCTGGCCGACGAAATCGAAGCCATCAATGCCATCTACGAGCCCGACACCGTGGTTGTGACCAGCACACCATCCAACACCACAACTACCACTACATCAACATCAGGATCAACATCAACAACATCTACACTCGATCTCGGCAGCTCCGGGGCCCCGACAAGCGCCCATTCTACGACCGCGAAACTACAAATACCCAATCATCCACATCTGTCGTTTATCCTCGGCTTCGATACCTCGTACCCCGACACCCCGCCTCGGATCTTAGGGACCGCGTCGACGGCGTCGCGCGGCGAGGGGAAACTAGCCGTCGATGTGCTGGAGGATATCGTTGGACGAAGCTACCAGCCCGGCGTGGTCTGTCTGTTTGATGTGATCAACGAGGCGGTGGAGGCTTTCCAGGAATTGAATATCGGGGGGAGCAGCAGCAACAACCAGAACAGTACCAACGATGGGGACAAGGGAAACGGATCAGTGACAGAATCCGATGAGACGACACCAGGCCTGAGACCCGAGGATATCGCGACTCTCTCGCTCCGCGATAGTTTCGGGATCGACAGTCCCCCCGACTGGATCCTGTCGGACGTGGTGACGGAGAAGAAATCAGTGTTCGTCGGACGAGTGGCGCGGGTGTCGACGCTTGAGCAGGCTCAAGCATACCTGGACTATTTGCTGGCGACGGAGAAGAAAGTAGCTGCTGCAACGCACAATATCAGTGCGTGGCGCATTCGGCAGCAGAAGGCTGTCGCCGGCGGTGCAGGCGGCAAAAGCGACTCTACAGAGATGATCGTGCAGGACTGCGATGATGACGGCGAGACGGCGGCCGGGGGTCGTCTGCTTCATCTCATGCAGTTGATGGACGTGTGGGATGTGGTGGTGGTGGTTACGCGATGGTACGGTGGAATCCACCTGGGGCCGGATCGATTCCGGATCATCAACGCCGTCGGGCGAGATGCTCTGATCAAAGGGGGGTTTGTCAAGGAGACGGGCGGAGGAGGTAATGACAAGGGGAAGAAGAAGGGAAAGAAATGATTGACAGATTTTGGTTATTTTCTTTTCTCCCGAACAGTCAAACGTGGATATCCGGGATTTGCTTCTGCCTCGCTCTGCCTTGCTCTGCATACCAACTGAACAGACAGACAGACCAAACCAGATCAAGACCTCCCCTTTCGCTTTCGCCCCTCGGCCCTCCGAGCTATGCAAGAACCAATCCTCCGGAGTGCCCGGTTGATGAACCTCAGATGGTACCTCGAAGGCAGCTAAAGATGGATGGATTGTCTTGGCAGAATGCTACACTGCGAGTTAGAGCGACCGGCCCCCAACACCAACCGACTTAACTCGTCCTTGTTACTGAATTTCTGAGAAAAGGGGTCGATACCGGGAGTCGCCGAGTGGCAGTGAATAACTGCCTGGAATTAGTATCCATTGAAGATGGAGACTTGGGTACCTAACTACGGAGTAGATAGGCAGGCCAATCGAAGTGCCCGGCTCGCTAGGTGTTGTACTCCGTAGAATACAAGATACCTAACTAGAATAAAGACGAGACAAGACGAGACAGATCTAGAACTCATGCCAAACCGTAGCATCAATACCACATTCCCATAGTAGAAGTAGGTGACATCGACCGCCAGTCCAGAATTAAGATCTACAAAACTGAATGATGCATCTTCTTGGCTTTTTCCCAGATATGTCGTACGGTCAGGCCAGTCCGCTGTCCACTGTCCACAAATCGACCAGTCAACAAAGAAAAAAGGGTGGGTAGTACAGAGTAGCATCGACATCCATGTATACACCATATGGAGCGGCAGAGCACCCACAGTAGGTACCTTGGTCCAGCCCATTAAGTACCTTACTGTAGGCGAAAGAAAAAGTTACGTACGATGTAGCATAGACTTTTCTAGTTCTCCACTACCTAATTTCAGACTATAGTGCTATGTCCATTGCCTGACTGGATTTTAATCAAGGATACGAGATATAATCTCCCATAACATCCAATATCTAATTTACAATTGTGTAGAAGCATCTAGAAGCTCTTAGGTAGCTATCTCATCTCTCTTTTCCGAAGTATGCCGTAACTCGTTCCTGGAAGCTAAGGTGTCTAGCTAGCTAGTTGGTTACAGTACAATCTGCATGCCCCATCGGAAATACAGTAAGCAGGCAAGCAAGCAAACAGGTAAACAAGCAAGCAAGGAAGTAAATGCTGACATCCGCCCGTCAGGAAACCCGTCAAGAACAAACCCAAGAAAGGAAACCCAAATCAGGGGTTCCTTCTAACATCTTAGCGTACCAACTACCAACTCGCACCAGGCGTACCCCGGACGGATGAGCAGGTAGAAAGAAAGAAAGTGAGAATTAAGACCAAGACCAACATTCTAGTGGATTACTACGGTAGGATAAGCCAAGGGATCGTGTCTACCTCTTAGGAGGCTAGACCTTGGGAAGTGCAGGATGGGGTATCTATCCCGTCTTTCTTGGTAGGTTGTACATAGTACTCCGTACACAGCACAGAACAAAGACTGCCGTGTGTAGACTACGGTAACTATCAAGTACAGTGTAGTACAGCGTAGGTCTGAGCCTCTGAGGTAGTACTGCCCACTGACTGACGACACGGGGTAAGTTCCAGGTAGGTAAAAGACTACCTTACATCCTGGGTAGCCTGTTTGTCTCTACCCAACTCAGTAAATTCTAGACATATTGGATGCTTCACATGCAAAAGACACCGATAGGATAGGATCATAGGGCCGAAGGATCACCTGACGTGGAGACGAGACCGACTCTTCGTTTCAGATCTACTGGAGTCTGGTGGCGTGTGTCAAGTCAAGCGTCAAGTATCGACTAGACTCTGTTAGGGACTAGTGCAGTACTGTAGGCTGTAGGCTGTAGCACAGGAGTTAGGTCCCAACTACGGAGCCCAGTTTATTAGGTAGTATCTACCATCTAGCCCTATCCTGATCCTCTCTAGTGCAATCCAAATCTACCACCGCCTAGTCGACTAGTCCTAGTAGTGTCCTGGGTCTAAGTCGAACACTAAGAACGAGCTAGATACGGGGTCCGTTCTACCCGTAGAACTGACAGTGACAACAAATGTGCACAATGGCCAAAGGTAAGCTGACGCTGTTTCGGCCCCGGAGGCTGTGCGAAGGAGCTCGTATGTTTCTCTCCTATCCTAGACAGTAGACACAGTAGTTATGTGCAGAAAAAGAAAGTACACATCGGAAAGAAAATCGGATAGATGGGAACAACGGAAGGCAAGGAAGCTTGGTTCGCATCTCCGTCTCAGGCACTCCAGTTGTGATGAGCGATGAGCGATCGATGTGATATCCCATAATCCCGAATCCATAACTTCCCCGCTTCTTGTCTATCACTTACCTGTTCCAGGATATGTAGGACGACCACTCAGAGCTTGTCCTTCAGGGTGCAGCCGTGTAACGGTGTAACTAGCATGTTCTTTCTGTCTGTCCGTGCCTGACCCTGACTCCCGTTAGCCGCTGGGCTCTCTAGTGTAACTACATTCTTTCGCCTCGGGCGGGGAGGATTGATGATCCTGGGTCCTGGTTTGGCCTTGGCTTGGTGTATTCGAATTCCATGACGTTGGCAAGTCCATGACGATCCATGTGGTGTTCCGTCCGCAGTACTCCATCGAAAGGGGACTGTAGTCTGTAGGTGTGTGTACTGCACTGTAGTTGGTGAGCGAAAAGGCCCCATGCTCGCCCGAGCGGCTAGAAGAGCCAAGCCCGTTGGTTCGTGGCTCCGGAGATAAACGCCCACGTTGAACTGGTTTTCTTTGTCTTTTTTTTACAAGGGTGGTCTGTTCTAGTGGGGATCCGTGCCTAAAGACCAGGGGGCAGGGGTTGCGGTTTGCTTTGTTTTTTTCGTGCAATGGATGTGTCTGACAGCCTGGCATATCCTGGCATAGCTACAGTACAGAGTAGAGTCTGGGCAGGGGTTACCGGAAGCAGAAGTAGGTGTCGGTCGGACAGCTGGGAGATTATAGGGTAGTAGATTCTTAATAATAATAATAACCAAGCCTCTGTAAGGTCCCAAACTCTGTCCAGAGGAATGTGCGAAAGAAAAGACTCAGTACCGGGGATATGGGCCGATTGGCAATCCTCCACCGCACGGAGAAAGTACCAGATGGAGATAGACCGCAGATCACGGAAAAGCCTCCCACTCACAGTCACAGTCCGCGTAAAATTCTAGATCGGCCAGTTCACCAAAAACCGGAAACAAGTCAGAGCAGAGGGTGCCAGAGGCAGACAGCCCCTCTGGTGGCACTCGGCAAATCATCGAGCACCGCGGGGCAAAGCAGAATCTATCTGAAACAGCCAATCCTCCGGAGATCTCGAGTCGGTTCCCTCCTGTTCTGTGATTCCTTCCCCTCCTTCCAACGTTCTAGCTCGACTCCGTACTCCGTCAATTTCTAAGCGATATGGCAAGTGGATAACGCAGGGGATTCACGATCTGTTTACTCGGAACGCTTGATAGATGAGGTCGATGGATTAACGATCCAACTTGAGTCGGTGGAATCTCCACCAGCCTGATGATGGAATGATCCGAACTTGTCGGTCGGATGGGTCAGATGCGGAGATCGGAACCATGGCTAGGCGGTATTTTTGATATCGCTGAAAGTCAAGAAGATCGTCCGCTTGGGGAATCCTTGTGTTGGCCAAGTCGTCCAAGTCCAAATGTCATAGGTCGACGAACCCTTGCATCCCAACCTCAGACCCCTCGATCGTATAGTGATGGCTATTATTATCCGCCAGGGAAGGGAGGTTTGGGGCGAATGATATTTTAAGAGCATCAAGGCATTTTAGCCCTGTAAACGCAAGATGTCTTGCACGGCGGCGTACCTGCAGAGGCTAGGGAGGGCCAAAGTGCCCAGTCAAGAGTTGTTTCTGCCCTCGTCGTTCGCCACGCACCGGTCCCCCCAGCGCTAAAGGTCACTACGGTGGCCATTTTAGCCCGGAGAATTTACGACTAGCTATCCTATCGGACCAACACACTGAACACAGCCATGCCGGGCCAAAGCTGAGGGAATCCATAATTGAGTAATCGTGCATAAACGGGATCCATCGTCAACTCTATAGACCGGAGTACGAGTCAACGCACACGGACCAGGCAGAAAAGAAAACTCTTTTCGATTACCTGATGGATTGCAGACCTCTGTAACTCTGCAATTTCGTCTGGAAATTGGATTCATCAAGTTCGATGGCAGGCTCGGAAGCGTTCCTGGCAGATAGAGGAAGCTCCCCGTACCGTCGGGGAAGCGAGATTACATGGTTTCATCAAGCGATGGGCTGTCAGTCAGTGTCGTGTGGGCGGAGGGCCAAGTCAGGGTTTATGGAATTCGCCCCACGGGCCGAGCGGTCAGCTCCGGTGTAGAAGGTCTGGATGATTATTACTCGATGTGGTGTTTCTCTTTTTCTTTTGAATTTCCAAATTCTCATCTAAGCTTTGGGGGTCATGTCGCAGGAGGATGACGATGCAGAGGAAGGATCTGTTCCGGTTCGGGGCCATTCACTCTTGACTCTAACCAGTGACACCTGTACAGTGTACAGAGACTAAGAGTATGATCCATTCATCGCAGGTGGCTACCACTTCAAGTGGGTTCCAATGAGGATGATCGTATCGAGTCTCCATTCTTGCGGTCAGTCCGGCGGGAAGGTGGTCCATGGTGGATGGGGAATATGAATACCTGTAAAAGCCATTTACCCAAGGGAGTCAACCGTTAGGTAATTCTGGAAGAATCAATATAATTGAGGGTGATATGATTCCAGGTGGGATGGGATTGATTGAGAGCGGCAAGACGATGTAACTCTGCGGAGGACAAAGAGTCAGTCAACAGGGAGAAGACACCCGACGTTACCATACACCGTACGGTCACGATGGGTATCAGAAATACTGTGCTAGCAGTGTGATTGGCGGTAGATCCGCCAGAGGGACCCATGCGGCGCCAATTGCCCGCAGCCGAGGCCAATCAGGCATTGTTCTCGCATGGTGTGACTTTCAGATCTGCCCGCCCGGTGCGATGGCTGGGTGCCTTGCTTTTGCGTCTCTCCTTTTCTTCTTTTTTCGTTTCTTTTCCTTTGGACCCTGAATAGTTTACTATATCTGCAGTGGTGAAACTTAGGTTCTGCGGAAGATCCAACTGTTAGTCTGGAGGGCTACGGAGTACATCTACATTTAGTCCTGTTGGTAGTAAGAACTGGCTGTGCAATACGACATGGAATCAATCCCTGTGGCGCCCCTGGTCAGGTACCCGCCCAAACGGAGTACAACCTACAGGGACGGCCTCCTACTGGTGATCTTCACTGCCGCCCTTCAGTCTGCTTCAGCCACTCAAGCGCCCTCCTTCACCACCGTTGGAACTGACCGAGTAAACTCTCTTCAGCGTCTCTCGCCGTAGTCCAATCCCCATCGGCCCTTCCCAAATTCTGGAGGCTCCACCCGTCGATGGGGCTGTTTCATCTTCTCTCAAATGCATCCAATTGAGCCCCCATCCGTCAGCTTTCACGCTTCTCGCCCACTTGCCAGGGTCCCCGTCCGGCCTGATGATTGACTGATTCACTGTTTGTGCTTTTTGGATTTAGGTGATTGTCTGGTGTTTTTGGTGTTTTTGGTGAATTTTTTTTATTTTTTTTTAGTTTTTTTTTCCACCCCCACCTCCTACCTTCCCTTTTCCCCTTCGGCAGTCAAATCGCCTGCGATCTGATATACTGCCCGGCTGACTGCGTTCAACCTATATAATACCCCTCGCCGTCGGCTGGTCTGCTCTCTTTTTTTCTTCCCTCCATCCCAATCACGCAGCGCGCTTCAATCCTTTACTCTCAACGGTTTCGACTGTCAAACGGGCCTGGTTCCTGTTCGTTCTTCATTCCTTCATTTGTCAATACTGTTTTTTGTGGTTTCGCCTGTGGCAGACTACGTCATTCCTTCTCTGAGAATTTCCGCCATTGTCAGTTAGCATCTGCTTCTACTACAAAGGTATTGTCTCCCGCTCTCTTTGTTGTGGTGAATGTTGGAAAATCCGGGGGCTCTTTGTCTCGACTTTCTTTCACTATTGTCGATTCCCGGCATCTCGCGCTCGATTCCTATTGTGGAGAGCCGGGGCATCTGGTCGACGACAATCTATAAATATGCCGAACATTCTTGGCCTTTCGTTCTCATCGCATCTTGCATTCATCATCACTCGAATATCCTTCAAACGAGCATTCTGCTGACTCTTGACATAAAGGCTTCTTTTTCAGCTTTTCCAACGTCTTCCAAGTTCTGAGTTCGTCCGGTACGATCAGAATTTCGCCAAATCCACAATCACTTTTTTCAAATCAAGAACGATTTCAAGTGTACACAGTCAACCTTCGACAAAATGTTCTCCAAGACTGTCGTTGCCGCCATTCTGGGCGCCTCCGCCGTCAACGCTCACATGCTCATGAGCTCGCCTACTCCCTACGGAGCCGACTCCCTCAACAACTCTCCTCTGGAGGCTGATGGCAGCGATTTCCCCTGCAAGCAGCGTGCCGGTGTCTACGACGCCCCCGCTGAAGAGAACATCCTCAACATCGGCGAGGCCAACCCTCTGACCTTCCAGGGCAGTGCTGTCCACGGTGGTGGTTCTTGCCAGGTCTCTCTCACCAAGGACCTCGAGCCCACCAAGGACTCCAAGTGGATGGTCATCAAGTCCATTGAGGGTGGATGCCCCGCCAACGTCGATGGCAACCTTCCCGAGAACCCCGACGGCTCCGGTGCCACTGAATTCAAGTACACCGTGCCCGAGGGCATCGAGCCCGGCAAGTACACCCTCGCCTGGACCTGGTTCAACCGCATCGGAAACCGCGAGATGTACATGAACTGCGCGCCCGTCACTGTCAAGGGCGGTTCCTCCGCCAAGCGCTCGCCCGTCAAGCGCGAGTCCAGCTTCCCCGACATGTTCGTGGCCAACGTCAACGGCTGCACCACCCCCGAGGGCAAGGACATTCGTTTCCCCAACCCTGGCTCCGAGGTCGAGTACGCCGGTGACGAGGGCAACCTCGCCGCCGAGGGCAGCGAGGCCTGCACCGGTACTCCTTCTTTCGGTGGTGCCGGCAACACCCCTGGCAGCTCCTCCGGTGGCTCTGAGGGCGGTTCCGAGGGCGGCTCCGAGGGCGGCTCTGAGAGCTCCGCTGCTCCCGCTCCCGCTGTCACCACCCAGCCCGCTGCTGAGCCTTCTCAGCCCGCCGACGGTGGTGTCTTCGCTCCCACCACTCAGCCCGCCGCCCCCGCTCCTACCCAGCCCGCTGGCGGTGACAACACCGGTGCCTCCGGCGCTCAGTCCGGTGCCTGCACCTCCGAGGGCCAGTGGAACTGCATTGACGGCAGCAGCTTCCAGCGCTGCGCCAACGGCCAGTGGACTCCTTCTCAGCCCATGGCTGGTGGCACTCAGTGCACTCCTGGCCAGGCTGCCGAGCTTTCCGTCGCCGCTCTCAAGCCCCGCATGCTCTCTGAGATGCGCCACCGCAAGCGTGCTCACGGTGCTCACCGCCACGCGTAAATGAATTCTTCTGAATCCCGCTGAGCGGGTGAGAAGTTCACTCGTTTAGCGCGTTCATCTTCTTTCTTTCTATCAGCTTCTTTCTTCGTTTCCTTGATTTCATAGGTGGTTTTTGTTGGCTACTTGTGAGGAATGGGACCCGATTTGGTGTGATGGTTTTTTCTTTCTTTTCTCTAGATGTACTTTTAAGATGAGGAAAGAAGTGATTTGCTCTATTGTAAAAATCGTTCCGATTTTTCATATACCTTGAATTTCATAGATTATTTGATTTGTTTCATTTCACTCTGTTTCTTGTAAATTTATCTTCCGTTTGGAGGAACTAGTAGAGCTTCAGTATTGGGGAGGATACTTGGTTGTTGGTGACTTTTCGTGTGTCACGAAGACCGACTATCGCCTTAAATGTGGTTTTGGTTTAGTTGATAAAGCGACAACGCTTTCAGTCATCTGTAGATGCGACGCTCGTCTGTTTGTTCGTGACCTGTCAGATTTTCTGATGATGACGTTATATGAGTTCAATGGCTTTAGTGGCAGTAGACGTGATCTGTCAAGTATGCCGTGACCTGCAAATTAAAGTATATATTTACTGCCTGTATAGAAATAGATAAATTGATTAAGAAAAGTTGAAGTGTCAATGAGAATGTGCATGATGCCACAACCGTACAGAGCAGAAGGTGTAGACCAACGATGACATGGAAAGCCTCGGCAGAAAGTGTTGAGTGTACACCGCCTTGACAGCTACTTTCCTTCCCGCCTAAGGCATCCGCCAAGACCGCCAGCGAGGCCTACCCAAAACGGGAACGAGGGCTTAGGGTTCCCGTAAACCGGGCCCACCACCTCGCGGCCGACTAAGCGAAAATTTCCACAGCCCGTCTCGAGATACTCGATCTTCAACCTCGAACGACGACAACGACCACCTCACCGTCGACAACAATGGCGTCTCGTCCTACCGTCACTATCGCCACGGCTGATGGCAAGGCCAGCGGGGCCACCTACCCCCTGCCTGCCGTTTTCACCTCGCCCATCCGTCCTGATATCGTCCAGTATGTGATTCGATGATTTTCTGAGATTTTTGGAGGTTGAAGGGGTCGTTTTTTTGGGAAGGGATTGAGGGCACAATTGATGGCAGAATCAGCGACAGAATGACTGACCGGTTTTTCCACCTTATAGGCAGGTTCACACCGGTATGGCGAAGAACAAGAGACAGCCCTATGCCGTGAGCGAGAAGGCTGGTGAACAGACCTCCGCTGAGTCCTGGGGTACCGGTATGTGGATATGAAAATTCTGTTTACGGGCAAGGAATTGGTCTAATTGATATCCTCAGGTCGCGCTGTCGCTCGTATCCCCCGTGTCTCTGGTGGTGGTACTCACCGTGCTGGTCAGGCTGCTTTCGGTAACCAGTGCCGTTCCGGTCGTATGTTCGCTCCTACCAAGGTCTGGCGCAAGTGGCACCAGAAGGTCAACGTTGGACAGAGGTATGATGGGAATCCGCGATGAGATAGAGGTTTGGAGGAATCGGGACACAAAACTAACTTCTGCAGACGTTTCGCTACCGCTTCCGCTCTGGCTGCTTCCTCCGTCCCTGCCCTTCTCTTCGCTCGCGGTCACCGCGTTGCCAACATCCCTGAGGTCCCTCTGGTTGTTGACTCCAAGACCTTCGAGGGTGCTGCCATCGCCAAGACCAAGGCCGCTGTCTCTCTCCTGCAGGCTCTTGGTGCCGGCGCCGAGCTCGTCAAGGTCCAGAAGTCCAAGAAGGTCCGTGCCGGTAAGGGTAAGCTGAGGAACCGTCGCCACCGCCAGCGCCGCGGTCCCCTCGTCGTCTACAACCCCGAGGTTGACGGCAAGGAGCTCGTCCGTGCTTTCCGCAACATCCCCGGTGTTGAGACTTCCTCCGTCTTCAGCCTGAACCTCCTCCAGCTCGCCCCCGGTGGTCACCTGGGTCGCTTCATCGTCTGGACCTCCTCCGCCTTCCAGTCCCTGGACCAGGTCTACGGCACCACCTCCACCCCTGCCGCCCTCAAGAAGGACTACCTCCTGCCCCAGAACGTGGTCTCCAACGCTGATCTGACCCGCCTGATCAACTCGTCTGAAATCCAGTCCGTTCTGCGTGCTCCCAAGGGTGAGGCCCGCACCAAGCGTGCCCACGTCCAGAAGAAGAACCCTCTCCGCAACAAGCAGGTCATGCTCCGTCTCAACCCCTACGCTGCTGCTTTCTCCAAGGAGAAGCTCGGCCAGAAGTCCGTTGAGTCTACTGGCAAGCCTGAGTCCGCTTCCAAGGGTTTCCTTAACGTTCTCAAGGAGGAGTAAGTTAGGGCTGACGCTTGACGTGATGAGGATTTGTGTTTGATATGAGGTTTTTTTTCTTTCAAAAGGTAGCTAAAACAAGCAAATGAATGAAGGATTTGCGCAATACCCCGCATGTTATTAATTAACGACATTCTGTAATGGTTTGGTTGTAGTTTTCTTTGTCTTTCCTTGTAGATGTTTCTTCTTGGATCTCTGGTTCGTACTGTTGATGTCGCTTCACTTGACTTGATGACAACTCATACTGGCCTGGTATTGTTCAATGTAACATCGTACTGATCTCATCTAATGACTACTGACCTTTCCCACACTATCGTACATTCCAACGTGGCCATCCATCCTGGAGATTCCCATGCAGACTCGCCTTCAGAAGATATCTTATTGAGCATCCACATCACCCTCTCTTCTCCGTTCCGATTCATCCATTCATAACATGATCCCATCCCCTCTCCAAATTTCATCCATCCCTTTGATTCCATATATCCAAATTAAGCTGATCATTATCCATCACTCTCGTCCTGTCTAGTTACTACTACTCTATAGTCAAAGGATTCCACGAACGTGTCCAACACGTATCTCTTTCTCCTGGTGCTAGAGGAAGAGTCGGTCGACTATGCAGTATATTATGTACCCTTGACTATCGACTGCACGATAATGCTGGCTGCGGTAAAGTAACAGAATTATATATCTAGGTCTAGGTTGGTTGATCAGTTGATTAGATGGTTGATTCATGAATTTCCTATGCTCTTTATATTCCCTGCCTAATATACCTCCATCTATAATAACCCGCTCCCTCTCCCTCAGCAATACATACTCAAGACATCGAACATCATCATCCATCTAGCAAACTAGCTAACCACCAAGATAGAACCTACACAGCCCAACCAACCATGCCCAAGTGAAATGACACGGCATAGCATGGCACGACAGAAGTGGAAGATTCAATACGACGAATTCCACCATATCTCATTTTTGGGTGAGAAATCAACGAGTTTCGCATCCATAATTCATCTTATAGACTACCTACGATACCTATATTGATGTACATGAACATGGATGTTTTTCTCTACTGCGCTCCTCGTGTTATGTTTACTACTTAGAAGTACTTAGACAACCTACCTACATACCTAGGGTGATTCGAAGAGATAAGAAATACCTAGGTAGAGTGGTTAGCATACATTTACACAATTGGAACTACTAGGTAAAAGATGTAGGTGTTTGATAAGTGTCGCAAGGATCTCAAACAAATAATCCCGATTTCAATCAAGATTATCCCCAATAAGATAGATTCGCGAGATACCGGAAAGCAAATGCTTATTTCGTGGAATTCGAGGTGTCACATCATGTAAATTCTATTCGTAAGGGCTCAGAGTGTTATGATCATATGTAAGAAGAGTACCGAGATCAGGCTGTATAGATGACAGGATAACTCTAGTGGGATGAACAGGTGAACCGTGCTTTTTGATAAACTATCCTAACTATGCGAATGTCCTGTCTTTGGGAGACCATTATAGCAGAGATGTGAGATGCCGTAGGAGAATAGGAAAATTGGCTTTCTACACTGAATGTTATTCATACCGCCAGCGACAACACTCCATCATCCAAAGAATCTATTCTTGAAAATGGAAAAAATAATTATACCTAAAAAAACCAACATGCCAGATCTCATCAAACAACCCAAGATTGATTAGCAAAATATACACCCATGAAAACCAAGACAAAACCAAGACGCTACCAACAACTGACTCGCGCATCAACCTCAAATTTCCCTCGGATTCCAGCTGGCCAGGACCGGGATGTATTCCTGCCCCGTATAGCCCAGGGGACAGGGAACATGACAAATTTAGACCCCGGCATTTACTGTGCCGAGTGGTATTATTATCTTGTTTACGGAGTAGAGGGTAGGGTAGCCGGTTGTATAATAATAAGCCTGGCTATTATTAACCACGGGGTGTTTTAATTTAGCTAGGAGTACGGATGGTAGGTTAGCTGTTAGCTGCTAGCTCTAGCTTGGAAAGGCTTCGTGTGGTTTTCCCTCTTGGAATAATTATTATCAGATGTAAAATAATAATACTGGTAGCTATCCGTTCGTATATGACATATGAAGATGAATTGCCCGAGGTACTCCTCCATCCAGACAAGGCATCCATGTTCTCCAAAGTCCTAATCCATCGCCGGTGAGGACAGTATACAGCATGTTAGTGGAAGGAGTATCGGAGTACCTAGGCAGGATAGGTAGTTCATTCCCTATACAAACCAACACCGACCAGGAATACTACCTTGTTCACTTCGGAAACAGGCCAGCTGTTCCGTCTACCCGTCAACCACGACGAAGTTACTAACTCAGATGCAGTCCTGTTTACCGAAGACAAGGAGCGGGAAAACAAAAAAAAATTTCCGACCTTCCCGATCTATCTCTTGTTTTATTTTTATTTCCATCAATTTTTCCCATCTACTGTGTACGGCCGGGCCAGGTTCATCTACAGGTAGCAAGCGGCTCGCCCCGATTCACCAACTAAAGTCGGAGTGATGGGCCGAAGCCAATTAATCTACGCCGTCCATATCGAAGATACCTCCAAGACCTGCTGGACCGGGGGGGGCAGAGAGGCCAGGACCACTCGCACAGACGACGGAGGGTTGACGGGCCACTTGGCACGATGCGAACTGGATATAGTGCCGTGATTATATAGGCCCTAGTCCAGGGGAAGAAAGAGGGCTGTCAGGCTTTACTCGGAGTAGTCTGTAGGCTCTAGTCTGTACGGCATCCCCGTAGACGTACGGTAGTAGTTAGTAACTTAGTAACGTAGTATGTACTGTACTTACTACTTAGTACAACAGAGACAATAACACCAGCCAGCCAGATTTCATGTTCGTTCCCCTCCCATGCGTAGACGGGTTAGTGTCGTGCTTTTGTAGTCTGCCTTAACCCTCCGTTGGCTCCGGATAAATTGGTGTCTTGGTTTAATATATTCATTGCGTA